TTTCTGGTTTATAAAAGCCTTAGGAATCCTTTGTTTGGAAAGCAAATGTACAGCCGTCCAATTTACGGATTTTTTTTAATAGTGTGAAGACTCCAAATGTATCAAAATAGAGAGTGTTAGTTCAGGAAGAAGTTCTTTCACATCTATAATAATTTTCCAATTAAGCAACATGTTTTATAAAAAGAGAGAGAATAGAATAATGCTGGCACTTATATGGAAAAGTTTAAGTTAAACATTTGGAAGTGAATGCTTACCTTTTTCAGATCCCATGTATAAATTCTGCAAAGGAAACAGAAGTTCAATTTCAATTAGTGATTCTCAACTGCCCAGTTCTGTTACATAATCGAACGCTGACAGTCCCTATCAAAATTCATATTGTGAATTATCCCCTATTACGCAGAGCTACAAAGTGGCTGGCTTGATAAGTTCTAGGAATTCAATCATTATACTTTGTAAGCCCAGCCAATTATAATTTAAAGTATGGTTTTGCAGCTCCAAAGGTTCCAGCCGGGAGAAAAATAGGACCCAAGGCCAATTTTCAGCATGACTCCGTAAGTTCCTTTTATTTTATAACTAGATTTCCCTCTTTAGATTTTTTTTCTTGCATTTCCAACACCTTTGTATTGTTACACAAGATTAAAAGTGGACTCACTATGGACAGTTTCTCATTTGTTGTGTAGCGCGCCAAGATTTCACCACGTTTGCTTGACCAAGGTTCAAAGTCACTTCCCACAGACAAACTCTCATCTTTATCACGCTTCTTCCTGGCATTATCCTACAAAGGAGTAAGAAAGAAAGCAATCTTACATAAATAGAAATTGCTGCCTGTAAGTTAAAAAAGCCTTTTTATCTAAACTGAAGATAAAACTCAGTGTTACCAGACGACTACCAGAATGAATAAAAGCCAGTGACAAAGCATAAAACTGTCAGAAATTTACATTTAAAAACTCATAATTAATTGTAGGCAACGTCATCAGCTACCCAGTAAAAGCGCACAAATTGGCTACCAATGGAAAGAAGCACAAATGAGTCTGGTCTTTGCCTTCAGCACCACGGAGAGCTCCCTGCAAGACACGTTAAACCAGGCATGTCAAACCTGTGATGTCATGTGACATCGCACAACGTATCAGGCCAGTTTTGCCATTGCCGGCAATGGGGTGGGCATGGATTCCACGTGATGCATCCGGCCCATGGGCCGGCAGTTTGACACCCCTGTGTTAAATTGCTTATCTTCTTTGCAGCCTCCCCTTCCTTTGAGTGTATCGATGAATACCAGAGCTGAAAATGACACATTTCCTACCATTTTGAATAAACAAACTCCCAAAATATATTGTTACACAGACCCTGATCAAGCTTAAAATTGATTAATAAAAGACCTTCTCCCTTCTGTCCCTCCCTCCAAAATTGAGTGGCAAGCACATCGGGGAAGGAGCCCATAAGTGTGATGCCCTATCCACTGTAGTCTTCACTATAATTTAAACATAGACATATTTTTGCTGGCTTCCCAAAAAAGGGAAGGCAGCTGAACTCTCGTCCAGATAGCTTCAGAGTCTGAGTATGACCCACTGAGAACCAAAAAGAGAGAAGCAGAAGATCTCTATCTCTACTTGCTGCTAATTATAATTTAAAGAGTTTGTGTTCTTTGTCTAGAAGTTAGAAAATATAGAAGAAACATCGTGGAGACGTTATTGTTTGGCTAGGATGACATTAAAGAACATTCAGAAGGTTTCTTCCAGTTGGTTTGATCAGAACTTTGTTGAGTTCCTCCTAACTCAATTCCTAAAGAGTTTTGGACACACACACACATTTGCAGAATGCAGGGGCAGCAGCAACATCAGCCCCTTACCTAACTGGTCTGAAATGAAATTACCGTTGTCATGGTCAGCAATGGATCAGCAGTGGCTGCAAACAAGGATAAAGGATCTGTGCCATCCAGAACACTGCTCAGTGGGTCCAGCATTGAACTAGAGGAAGAAGATGATGTAGAAGATGTGCTTCCTTTACGGCCCAGTTTTTTGGTCTTCGATTCCGTAACCTGAGGAATAAAATAGCATATGTAAGAAGTTTGCAGCCCAATCCTTTCCAGGCCTATTCCAAAGGAAATGGCACTTATTCCAAGACCCAGGCAAACATGTGTAAGAGACCAGCTCTTGTCTATTTTGGGTTGAGACGTTCAACTCTGTGAGCGAGGAAGTTACTTAAGCAGACAATGGAGCAGAATAATATTCAATGCTACAGAAAGCCTAATTCTGAACAAGCTTAAAAAGTAGATCCATCTGCTGCAATTATAAAACTAAACATTCTACCACCAGCATTTACTGAAAATAGTATAGAATTTAATTTCCCTCATTTGAAGTCATACTGATGGTATTAGCAGACCTTTTTATGGAGGTATGACAAACCAAAAAGGTCTTGCTTATTTATTAATCAAACTTGATAATGACATTGTTGGTCTAGATTACACCCAAGCAGACCAACATGGCAATATCAAGTTTTCTGCAGATTACCAGGTAAACCTACCATAATGGGTTTGAGTGGGTGGAAATCTCCAAATTCCACAGACACAGCTTCCAGTCTGCATGGTTCCAATTCACGCTCATAGTTTCGTATTCTTGCATACCTGAAGGACAAAAGTAAATATATATATTGTATGTGTATATACATGAACATATATGTGTGTATGTGTATTTTCATGAACAGACATGATTTGCAAAATTCCACTCATAGGATGGAAAAATCTTATTCATATGTTCCACTAATGCAAAAGGGGATGAGATTCCGTCAGTTATGGCTTCACCAATGTCTAGCCAAGGATTCATTTGGGGGGAAAATAAATGAAGGAATCATAAATCACATCTGGCAGACATTTTGCAACTTGTAAAATATTTACTAACAAAAGAGAAGGAAGATTTATGTCCCAAGATGAATCACCAGCGACACCAACTGGCATCAGAAAGAAATGAATGTAAAATATTGTTCTTTCTTTCCAAAATCTAATTTTTGGACTGACACATTGCTGTAAGCTTCATGTTTAATGTTGGCAGGGCTTTTTTTCTCACAGAACACCCAGAACAGAGTTCCGGCACTTTTTTTTGGATGGAACCTTGTAGGGTAGGCAAGGCGGGTTGTATGACGTGTGTGAGTTCCGGCACCTTTTTTTTTTTTTTTAAGAAAAAAAGCACTGAATGTTGGTATATTGAAGAAACCATAATGGCTAGATTCAACCAACGTGGTCAGCTGTAAGATAGTTTGTCAGTGTGAAGCCAGTCACATTTGAAAAATATACACGACTTCTCTATAAGTTGAATTAGGAAATAAAGACCTGAACACTGGTGAAATAGAAGATATTTCAGCAATATTTCCGCACTCCCACATTTCCTTTGGAAGCCTACTTTTGTGGCATAATTAAGGGAAATCACAGTACATATAAAAGTCTAGAATTTTCTCAAATACGTAACTTTTCATCACACTTTTACACCTTCAGAGTAATTTACTTAAAACCTTTATTTTGGCCATTTAACTATTGTCTTATAAACAGTACCACTTGCTGCACAATGTTTTCATGTTCGTGTGACAATATGAAAATCAAATCATCTTTAAAAAAATAAATTAAGCTATACTGTTTTACTTTATTTTTATTCAAAAAGGGGTTTCTGTAGTTTTCCTCGGTCTGGAATTTCCCTTGGTCAAAGAGAGATACATCAAAATCAACCTTTTTTAATTCTTTTTTTTTTAACCTCTTAAAACCTGTCCCTTTTTTTCCAGATGGATCCTTCGTTCCCCCCCCCCCCCCAGGAAATAGGGTCACAGTAGGATATCCCTGTTGGATTTCTACCTGCCCAAGCCTCTCTGAGGGCCTTAAGGCCACAATTCCACAATTCCAACCCCACCCCCGGCAAAACAAAGTCCATCCTTCTCAGCATGTGCAGGATGATGGGCGTTGTCATTCCGACGCTTGTAAGGAGGACCACGGAGGGGGCCGTCCTTTCAAATCGGCGCCCCCTGCCCAGCCAAGTCTGAGGCCTAGTGTCCTCTGAGGGGGGGGGGGAATAAAAAGGGCGGGAAAGCCGAGGCGCCTTTATTTTGAGGGCCCCTTCGGCTTCTTCCTTTCCTTCCCTCCCTCCCCGCCGCGATTCTCACCAGGGGAAGGCAGCCATCTTGGTTCCCTCACGTGACTCCCCGCTCGCGAACGCCGCTCGACGCCGGAGCGGCCACGTTGGAGAAGGGCGCTTGCCCGGTTGCCTTGGCTACTGAGGGGCGGGGCGAGAGACTGCTTGGAACCGAGCGGGCGAAGGCCTTAATGAGAAGTGATGCTTATGTTGATACTAGCTTGTGCTGGTTTAGCCGAGCTATGTTGGCTTATCCGTAGGGCCTCAACTTTTTAAAGCAATTTTTTTCCACCTTGGCAGCTTTCAGTTGTGTGGACTCCCAACTCCCAGAATTCCCTGGCCAATCAGGGAAGTTCCCAGCAAAGGAATTCTGGGAGTTGGAGTCCACATAGCTTCCTACTAAATCATGACATTGCAAGGCAAGCAGCAGAAGGTGGCTTGTCCGACAACCAGAGCTTGGGGTGAACACGGCTTATAGTCAGCCAGATGTGACTGGGTGCAATGTTGGAACTGAATCTTAGAATTGTTAGGATTCTTTGTGTCCTCCCCCCCCCCACTTTCTAGAATTGTGTTGTTGTTTTCTCTAGGATCCTTGCTGCCTGGCTGATGGAACTTGTAGGGCAGTCCCAAAAGCATTTGATTCCAGAAACAGATGATGTGTGTGCTTTCAAGCCAAAGAAAATAAATAAGCAACAAGCACAAACCAATCCATTTAAAGTATTTGCTTTTTTTCAGTGTCCCCTGACTGATCACTGTCCCACAGCCTAGATATGAAGGTTTTATAAAGGAAAACTGAAGTCTGCACCGTTTTGATCATCCAAAATTATCCTTAGCATCACAGAAACAGGTTGAGGAAGAAAGTGTTCATGCACACAGACAAACACTTGAGGGTGTTTTTTTTTAAAAAAAGTTTAATTGTGTAATATACTTAAGGAGATTTAAAAAAGGACAGGTGAAAACCAATATAAAAAAATAAGGCTTATAATAGCATGGCATTCCACTCAAAAAAAAGCAAACAAATATCAAACAATAAATAAATATGAAACATTAAGTTACAAAAAGGCATCCTGGCACTTGTAAACAGAAGACCATAGGTGGTTAAATTATAAATACAAAATTCTGTTCTAAAATATCAAAAGGTCCATTTAAATTACTGAACTTGTAGATAAAAACATGCTCACAGCACACAGATTAGATTATTTTTAGCATCGGCATAACATGTAAACTGTAGTCTAACATGCAAGGTAATATCCACAATGCAGAAGCATTGAAAATAAGATTTAAAACCAAAACGCAGTGAATTATTCCCATGACAAATGCTTGCATTGTGCTGCTCAAATTAGCCAAGGGCAATCTTTAAAATCATGATTGGTTACATCACAATTTGTGGCTTGTCCATTTTCCCCATGAAAGCAGAGTTAACCTCTGTAGTTCATTGACTATTTCAGACCTTCCTTCAGATAAGCAGATAAAACAAACATAGAAGCTGAATGAAAAAAGCCAGAAATATAAAGCATTTGTGCAAAATTCAAATCGGATGCTTGTTTGACCAAATGCTCGTAATCAAGTTGGAGTTTGCTTATACATCCTGGTTTAGTCAGGATGAAAAATCTACAGGGGCTGGGGCTGGATGTTGCTTAAAATTTTACACTGTTGATTTGTTCATCCATCTGTGCTGGGGTTTTGTCTACAATAAACCAGGATAACCCAGCAAGTTTGGATTACCGTTCTATCAATAATCCTTGGCTTTTTTTTGTTTACACTGGCATCAAGACAGCCCCCCCAGTCCCAAATGTGATTTTAAAACACTGCATGATGTAATAAAAGCATTAGGAGATACATGTAAGTTTATAAGCATCTTAGTCTAAATAACTGTGTCCCTGTATAAAGTTAACCCCATTTTTTTAGCTGCACCTTAATTTTTCCATTCAATTGGGAATGATTTCAGTGATACCACATCTGAAACCACTACCACTGGCAAAACATTGATGTGAACATGTAAAATTAACATTAGACATTAACTGTGACTCAATAAACTACGGGGATAAAGCACTACTAAGCTAAAAACAGCACACCAATTTATTTCCCAACATGGTCTTGTTTCAATCTGTCAAAATCACATTAAAATCCACTTGGCTTTTTTCCCCCCTCCAAAACAATATTTACATGAATACAATTTTTATTTTGAAATGGTTTAGTTCATCTAGCTTTTCTGTGAAATTTAAGATTATGGTTAATCTCATCTTATACGTTGAAAGAGAAGATATGGGCAATGTTAGTCCAATTTACCACTAGTCCCATATTAAGTTAAGTAACATTGAGCTAACATAAGTTGGACAATGTTGGTTCAATTTACTATTAGGACTGGTCGTTCATTATTCATATGTTGTTTATAAAGAACGCCCCCCAGATATCTGGATTTAAAAAGATAAATGAGGCAAATGTTTACCAACACAAGTTTCCCCACCCAACTAATAGTTGTTATCATTTGTTAAAGAGATTTCTAGTTCACTTAGGACAAAAATCAAGTTTGATAGCATCTTTTAAATGAGATCTCACCGCATGCTCGGAAACAAGACCCCAGCCAGAAAAAGGAGATGGGTGAATACAGTATTTATACTCTCTGATTAACAGCATCATTGCTGAAAACTTAAACATATGTTCAATAAGCGCCATCATGACCCTCCTGATTTCCAGAGGACTGAAGTGCCCAAGAGAAGCTTTGTGCAACACAAAAGTGCAGCCACCTTTAGAAACAATCCAGAGAGACCAACAATTTCCTTTTCAGAAGTGCTTTGAAGCATCCCAAAGCACGACAGAGAGAAGCAGGAATGCAGGACATCTAAAGCAACTACACTTCAGGGTTATTTATTGCACAATTGAAAAACGCAGCCCGGGTTAAAAAAGATCCTTGAAACATCCCTAACAAAACATCTACTCGAGGGAATAAGCAAAGCCCAAAAACCCAGAACTCAAATGGAAGGCTCGCCTTCGCAGGCGTTCCTATTTCCTTCACACCTTCATTCATTCGTATTTCCTTCGCCTTCCTTTGTATTTCTTTTGCCTTCATTCATTCGTATTTCCTTCGTCTTCATTCATTCGTATTTCCAGAGTCTTCTGAGTCTCTTTAACAGGACTACGTACAGATCTGTCATTGACCTGCATTTCGGAAGGAACATCTGGAGAACGTTGAAGGACAGCGCTACACCACTTCCTAGCCTAGGGAATGCTGCCTTCTTAGGTTGTCACAACACTTGGCTTCTTTCTTGGGATTCTTCCTGCAGATACTCCTGAAAGCAAAAATCAGAAATAACTTGCTCTTGTTTATTAAAAGGCAACTAGCTTAAAATGCCAACCATTTTGTCAGAAGCAAGCAGTTTTAAAGCAGGTGCAAATGGATCTTCTGTTCTCAAGGGCAGCTTAGCAGAGGAATGGCATTAAGTGTCCAACTACATATAGAAATAAATCAAGGTTGTCCATGATAGCAACGAGAAGCAGCGACAAACAGCTGTTTTTCAGCATAAGCAGATTTGGGAAGTTTGATTTCCTGAACTTCTAAGAAACTCAGCAGGCCCACATTAAAATTCTGTGCATAGTCAACAGATTTCGAATTATTTTGTTAAAACACTTCATGATGGAGAAAAATCATTGTGATAATGCTAGACAAACTGTGGGGAGGTACAAAAAAGCTGTGGAAAAGGTAGAGAGGTAAAACCACTGCAAGGTCGGTTGGCTGATCTTTAAACAACTTGGATTCATAGTGATTTAATTTGCAGACTGTGGTCAGTCATGGCTTATTAAATAAACCACAATGGGTCAAGTTCATCCAATACACTAAAACCACCCAAAAAAAGTACTTCCCAACCCATGATGGCTGAGTTCTCTCTCTGCCCAAACCAATCCCCATTTTGACTTAACACAATGGACAAAGCCAGACATGACTTGAGTATCGTAAGTCACCTTTTTCAGTGCCGTTGTAACTTCAAACGGCCACTAAACAAATGGTTGTACCTGTAAACCCTTTCTGCCTTTTTTCTAAATTAATGTTAGCTTTCGGAAACCTTTTGTATCGCATCCAAAAGAAAGTTCCACATGCAAAGCTCAATTAGCATCCAAAAATCTTCTAAGGCCACACACTTCCCCTCATCATATTACATACATATGATGTATGCATGAGGCACAAACATGCATGATCAGGTGAGAAACAGGTTAATGTTCCAGCCAGGAAGTTTTAGTTAAGACACACAAAACCCCCCCAACATTCAGGCATCTGGTGTTATCCACAAATGAAACACAACTAAAAAAAAAAAAAATGCCATCTGCTCAGTTTATGAAGCTTTGCTCAGAGGAACCTACTATGGTGGACCCGAATGAAACTGCCTCTTCATGCAATCGGTGATCACAACTTTGGCATTTTGTGTTGTGTTCATTCCAGTGAGGGTTAGTACGGCGCTGTTAAGAGCACAGCTGTGGCACCAAAAGGAAACATCTGCTGCTTAAGCTGCTTCTATGGAAAGCTTCCTTTTTTTCTTTGAGACATCCCAACACCGGATTTTGTGTACACACCTGAAGAGGCCTTGCTAGGCCCTCTGCTGTCTGAGGGCTTCTTTCTATTTTGCTCAGCCCTTTTCACTGAGGCCTTAGAGGTTCTGATTGAATATAAAAGGAGGTCATAAGTCACCTGCATCCACGGTAAAATGCTATTTCCCCACACACCCATGTACGAGAGGTTCTTTCTTACCCTTGTCTGGACAGCAGCCTTTGGATAGGAGCATTTTGGCCTTGGTTGGGCTGAAGAACTCTGCAGAAGAAACATTTGGATTTTGTAATAATACCGGCTGCTTTCTGATAGAAGAGCAGGAGAAAGAGAGTAATGAAAACTGCTAGAAAATTCAGGGTGGAATGGGGGAAAAAAAAGCGAGGGACAAATAAACAAGACAAGCACTTCAGGAGTTATTGGAAACTGGGAGTGCGCAAGTTTTATTATCGGTTCACAATAATGTGACGATTAGTAGTATATGTGCAGATCCAAGCAATTATTATTATTATGGATCATCGCACAGTCAGCCAGATGTTCAGACTGGATTTGGCATTTTGTCTACCTATCGAGTCCTTACCCAGGACCTGGGATAGGCAGATGTGGATGTTTGATGGTATTACAGATATCGTCGCAGGATGGAAGCAGTTCCAAGGCCGCCTTTTGCAATTGACTAATAGCGAATTTGTCAATGCCAATGGTGTTCAAGTGGTGCTCCAGTTGTTTTGGGATTGCACCCAAGGTGCCTATGACTATTGGTACTACCCTTGCTTGCTTTTGCCACAGTCTTTCTATTTCTATGTCTTTGTATTTTGTTATCTTCTCCAGTTCTTTCTCATCTATTATTATTATTATTATTATTATTATTATTATTATTATTATTATTATTATGGTTGGTTGCACAATTAGCCAGCTGTTTAGACTGGATTTGGACGATGAGGATGGTATTACAATACTACTTCAAACGTTACAAACCTGTTTTCGAAAATCTTTTGCTTCCCAATTGCTTTTTTACTTGGGATTCCCATTTCAGCAGCCCTATTGGGGGAAAAAAGCACGTGAAAATAGAGTTTGGGGAAGACAAGATTGTGTTGTTGTGTGTAAGATATTATAAGCAAGCACAGGATTCGAGTTGCCTTATTTCTATCTCCTTGTTTTGTTGAAAACTGCAAACAAAGGGAGTGAGTTGCCAAACCATGTGCAAGCAGGATGTATATATAGCTTTAGATTTTGAGCATTTTCAGACATGGCTGGCTGGGGAATTCTGGGAGTTGAAGTTCACAGATCTCAAAAGTTGCCGAGGTTGGACACCCCTGATTCAAAACCAAGGTTCTCACTTTTTGACAGCAACTGACAAACCTTAAAACATCAAGCACTTTGCCAACACATCTACAATATCTCCGCGTGCTGCTTGCATGGTTGTGTTACCGTTTCCGCCACGTACTTTATATACTTCTTTCTATCAAGAGACTTCTGCGTAGCTGTAGAAAGTGTCACTCTTGGGGACTTGGCTTTATCCTATACACCCAACAATTAAGAACGTTAGTTTTATCACAAGACAATTTGTAGGACATTATGTTGAACAAAAAATAACCTCGCCTATATTACAGTTAGAACAAGCTGTGATCATGCGTCTTGGTGACAAACTGTATTTAAAACCAGCATTAAGGCTTTTCAAAGTCCCAAAGAAAACAAAAAACGGAGGTTACTACGTAGGACGAGCACAATAAGCAACCTGCGCCTGCAACGCACCAGCTGCCGAAGCATTTTTTCTTTGCGGATTTCTCGATCTTGACGCAAGATGCTCATCCTTTCCGACGCTTCCATTTTGAAGAAAATATCATGAATATCGTACAGTGCTGCCTGCAGCTGAAACAAACAAACAAACATCAACTAAACTTCAAATGCTACAATCTTGCTCAGATAACATTCACAAGAAACACCTAGATACCACACAGATTGGATCTGGGGGTGTGTGTGAATTTTCTGTGAATTTTAGGAAAAAATAAGTCTGACTTTCACAGTAACCCCAAAGAAATCACAATATTTCTTGGACCCCCCTGAAACACTCATATGTATCTTTTGATAAGCTACCCATGACTGATTTTTAGTTGCTAACCCCTAGTTCAGGGGTAGGCAACCTTGGCTCTTTTATGACTCGTGGACTTCAACTCCCAGAATTCCTGAGTCAGCATGGCTCAGCATGGCAACCTCTCTCTTTCCCCTCAGCATGGCTGGCTCAGGAATTCTGGGAGTTGAAGTCCACAAGTCATAAAAGAGCCAAGGTTGCTTATCCCTGGCCTAGTACATCTTGACACTATTTTTGTTTTACAGAATTTACCTTTTGTGTGCTTGAGGACAAGCAGTCCTAGATGTACAAACTGGCTTAGTGACCGTTCAAAGTTACAACGGCACTGAGAAAAAAAAGTGGCGTGAATGTTTTTCACACGACCGTTGCAGCATCCCCAGGGTCACGTGATCAAAATCCGGACGCTCGGCCACTGGTTCATCTTTATGACGGTTCCAGTGTCCTGGGGTCACGTGATCCCCTTTTGCGAACTTTCTGACATGCAAAGTCAACGGGGGAAGCCAGATTCACTTTACAACCGTATTACTAACTTAACAACTGCAGTGATTCATTTAACAACTGTGGCGAGAACGGTCATAAACCAGGGCACAGCTCACTTAACAAATAGCAACAGATTTTTGTATACCCCTTACCCAGGGATAGGGAACCTTGGCTCTTTTATGACTTGTGGACTTCAACTCCCAGAATACTTGAGTCAGCATGGCTGGTTCAGGAATTCTGGGTATTGAAGTCCACAATAAGTCATAAAAGAGCCAAGATTGCCTACCCCTAGCCCTTACCTGCGCGACCACTCTTTCTTGGAGATTGGCATCTTGAGCTGGGAGGCTCCCTCTCTTCGACAGTGCTTCGGATTGGAAATTTTTGATGAACTCCATGGTATCCTACAAAAAGCAAGCACATGTACACCGTTTGTCCTACAAGTACAGTTCTTCTCACAATGAATTCAAACGCTAAGCCACTGAGGTGACGGTTGCTTCAAGGAAAGCGGGAAAGTTCCTCCAAAGAGAATATCTGCCAAATAATTCATTTTCAGGGAAAACTGATTAGGAACAGGATGGCACTGAAGAGGCCGTCAGGTAGGCCTCTAATAACTTTGGTTTCATGGATGAACACAATCACCGCTGATTTCCTAATACAGTGGTGGCGAACCTATGGCACAGGTGCCAGAGGTGGCACTCAGAGCCCACTCTGTGGGCACGCACGCCGTCGCCCCAGTCCTAGGCCTTCAGCTGGGTTTTATAAAACCTTTTCGCTTTAGGCCTCCGCCGCCGTGTGCAAAAAAAAAAGGTTCAATCAATCAGTCAAATTCAACGTCTTGCGGGGGAAAAAAAAAGATCTTGCAAAGTTGGAATTGATTGATTGAACGCCCAGCCAATGGGCCACACCCAGCCTGCACCCGACGATGCATGTGGGTTTTGAGTTGCAGTTTGGGCACTCGGTCTCTAAAAGGTCGCCATCACTGTCCTAATATCACTTGGGAACTGAACTGGACAAGACGAAAAATGGATTTTCATTGGATTCCAGCTTTCGGGGTCACTGTGGCCAGTGGCAAAAATGATGGCATAGGTAGACCTATGACTATAGTTGGGCCTGGAATTTTGGTCCTACCGGTAAGTAGAGTGATAGTTGTACATTAATGTACCCATATGACTGGATGCAATTTTTAAACTATTTCTGCAGACAATTCAAGTTTCTAAAAGAGCAGCTGGTGCAGAGAAAGGAAGAGAGAGGGGGGGGGAAAGCATTCTGCATTTTAATTATGTGTACATGCACATTCACAGCCAGAGAGCCTATGCAGCTGGTTCCTTACGTGGACTGTTTGTCTAAGATGCTTCAGCTTCTCTGTTTGCAAGAGTCTTCTGATTAAAAATCCCTTGGCTAGAGCAGAGATCTTGTTGAATTTCCTTTTCATGGCAGGACTGTACACCTTCGAGAGGAAAGGTTAAAATCAGGTAACCACAAGGGTATTTCACCCATTAGCTTGCATTTAACCACCTAAAAAAACACTCTGGAGTCTCCATTATATCGGTCGGACGCTATGGCTTTTTATATGCATTTCCTGAAAACGGGATACCAAATTCCCATGCTGATATTAGTATAAGTAACAAGTATTAATAAAAAAAATGGGGTACCAAATTCCCACACTAATAAAACAGCAATGACCAAATAGCGACTTGCGCCAATCAAATGTTAATATTAATTCCTCTAGGATTTATTTGCCAACACTGCTCTTTAAATCCTTACCTGAGACCACCTCATTTTACTCCGGCTAATAGACCTGGATATCGAAACCGGTTTTCCACTTGCTGGCTGATCCCAGAGGTAGAATGGAGACCCGGTGTTCCCAAAACCTAGGTTTAAAAAGTTGTAACAGTCGAAGTCATAACTAAGCAAACGAATTATCAAAGCTAAATAAACGGGTATTGGCGATAGGCTATTCCTTATTCGTGCCAGCTAAAATATTTCATGATCATTACTCCGTCTGTCTGGATCATGGAAATACAGGTAACCCTTGACTTACCACCATAGCTGAGTTCACAATTACAATCATAGGTCTTTGACGGTTTTTAAACAGGTTGCCACATGACCAGGCCTAATTTTATGACCTTTTGACAGCAGTTAAGTGAATGCGGCAGTCGTAAAGTGAATGGCACAGTCATTAAGGCTACACATGGTTATTAAGCAACTGGTCGTAAATAGAGGACTATCTCTAGCCTTAAAAGGTTCAGTTCTGTCTTTCAGGAATTATACAGGAAGGGAATGCAGAGTTTCTGTGGCTTTTAATACTTAATTCAAGATAGTCAACCCAAGAAAACACATGAAACTTCAATCCAATGTGAAGGACATGTTCTTCGTGTTTTATTCCCCCCGGGGCTACATATTCATACATATTTTTGCTTTTACCCTCGTTCTCCAGGTTGGTGCTATGGACAGCCTCCACTTGATTCAGCACAGACTCCAACAGATTAGTATCCGTGATTTTTCTCCACTCCAGCGTTACACCACTGCCAATATTCATGGGAGGAATCCCACTTGGAGTTGTGTTTTTGTCCTCTTTTAATCTCCGGGCCTGATCTTCGATCTCCTGGCCGTTTAAGAAACAGAGAGGTGGATTACAAACCAGCATTCTGAGGATACAATAAATGTCTGAAGGACAATGTTTTTCTAATTAAATCTTGCCTTTTTTCTTTTGGAAAGTCAAAGGGGGGGGGGAGGGTGTGACCTCACACCGGACTTTTTCATTCTCCCAATCTGGTCGTTTGATTTTAAGGATGTCTCCCTAGATGTAATTTCATTTGAATCTTCGCCGCCAATGAAATCCACCCGAGATTAAAAATGTCCACTGACCTGACCTGATATTTATTAGATATTCTTTTCACAACTCAAGATACGGTTTTGGCCCTACTTTGTGCATTCCAGATGGGTTGCAATGACCCAGTGTTCCTCAGCTGGGGATTCTGGGAAATTTGCCCTGCGACAGATCCAGAGAGCACCAGGTTGGGGAAGGCTCACTGTGAGATCCCTATCCCGGCTTTTCAATCCCAACCCTTTGTTCACTATCAGAATCCCTGCACATCCAGGTTTATGGCAAAGTGGGAAAGGTCCAGGATCTCTACCTCCAGGGATTTCCTTTGGCTCTTCTCACCTTCTGGAGCCTCTCCTGTTCCCGCTCCTGCTCTGCTATCAACAACGACAACTGCTGGGCATGTTGCTCTTCCAGTTTCTGCCTCAGCTCTGAAAGGGCCTGCATCTTCTGCCTTAATGCTTCTTCTTCTGCAAAGCACCGAGATGAGACATAATCAATTCCTGTAAAATCCAGGGGTCTTAGAGTCAGTTTGGTCCGGTGGTTAAGGCAGCAGACTAGAAAGCAAGAGATTGTGAGTTCTAGGCTCGCCTTAAGCATGAAAACCAGCTGGGTGACCTTGAGCTAATCACCAGGAGACTGAAAACCGGCTGGGTGACGGTGAGTTCTAGTTCTGCCTTATGCATGAAAGCCAATTGGGTGCTCTAATCTCACTTTTCACAATCTCTCTCTCTCTCTCTCTCTCTCTCTCTCTCTCTCTCTCTCTCTCTCTCTCTCTCTCTCTCTCCTGGTTGCCAAGCCCCCGAATTTTGATCACATGACCATGGGGGATGTTGCGATGTTGTAAGGGCGCGTACTGGTTGTCGGTCACTTTTCCCACAGCGCCACTGTAACTTTGTCCAGTTGCCAAACAAACCATTGTGAAGTCAAGGACTACCTGCGCAGTGTCTATTTTCTTACCTCCGAGACATGGCACCGGTGTTTTGTTCTTGACCTCAAGTGCAGCTCTGCCCGGATACCTCTGATCGTGCAGCCGTCGCCTCTCCAGCATGTCCATTTCCGCAGACGCGACCCACGGCGTGTTTTCCTTCTGCACTGCATCCCCCTCCAGCTCGAGTCTCCGTTTCACTTTTTCCAACCCGTTCTCCAAAACTTGCTCCTTTCCAAGAGTCACTTCCGGGGTATCCAGAGGCGGCTTACCCTGCATCTGCATCAGCAAGGGCGATGGGCGCGCCACGTCGTAGGATTTGTTGAGTTCCATGGCCACGCTGCCCTTGACCTTGTCCGGCAAGCTCTCAGTCTTGGCTGGCTTCTGGGTCAACAGGGCACGGCTCACATCCTGCAGCTCCTGGGGGCTGAGATTTGCAAGGCAGCTGCTTGATGCGGTTCTATTTTCTAATGTCGGTCCTCCCTCTATTGTAGGATGGGCCAGGAAGCTTCCACCTTCTTGCTGATGGGCTGAAAGCTGACATACTTCATCACTGCAAGTATCTGAAGAGTTCTTGTCCACCGCCTGAGCTTTGTGGGGACACACGGGGACGAGATCCGCAGAGAGATTTGGCACAGGATCGGAGGCCGTCGGCCTCTCTCTGGCATCCTGAACGATCACGTCCGCAGCCCTTCCCTTTCCTTGGGGACTCAGCTCGTAGGCATTCACGGGGTTGGTGATGACAATGTGCCCAACGGAAGAGGGCCTGGGGCGTCTCCTGTGCATCTTGGGACTCAGACTTGGCTCAGGACTGGGAAGTTTTGAGTAAGACCCGGTGAAGCTCCGGAGAACGCTGTCCTTCCCGAAGAGAGAGATCTTTTTGAATTCTTCATCCGAATCCGAGTCCAAAACGGGAGGCGTTCCGGATCTCATCGGGATATCGACTTTAGAAAAACTGGGCGAGGCTGCTCCGCTGGATAGATTTTTTGAGATCGAGGAAGGTTGAGGAGCCCCGGGCTTGATAAGGCTGGACTTCTCCGGGGCTGGAACTGGAGTATTCCTGCCTGTCAATTTTCCTCTCTCTTTCCCCAACTCGTTCATTTTAATGGCGCTGTTTTCTTTATCCGGGTGGCTTCCGTTGCTGTTCCTCTTGGAACTGTTTCGCAGGCTGCGTCGCGTTTGTTCTCGCTGAATGTACTCCCTGGATTTTTTTAAGAGGTTCTGAAGACTCATGACGTATGGGTCGGGACCTTCTCCAGCACCTAGCCCAGGGTCAATGGAATCCATCTTCTTGGTAACCTCGTTTGAAGGAGAGGTGCCTGGAAGCTTAGAAAACAGACCTTCTGAGCCAATTTTCTCTTCTGAACGATTACTTGAAGTTTCCGTGGGATTAGGAGCGATAAATTGTTCTGTTCCCTCAAAAGAATTCCTGTTTGACGCAACCTGTGTATCTATTAGTTTAATGTCTGGGGTCTGTTTAGGCTCTAGGAGGCGTTCAGCGAAAGCAGTAGAATTGGGCAAAACGCTGCACGGTTCTGTTGCAGAGTCGTTCAATATTTCTGATTCTAAATCCAACTGAATAGTCTCTTTCTTAGACTGATCTAAATCGCTTTGGCTGGACATCTTTTTCATCTGTCAGGGTTAAAAAAATTGATTTAAGGTACTCGGTTAAAAAATTAGTAGGCTGTTCTAAATGTCCCCCCCCCAAAAAATGTAAAAGGTATACTGGATAGGATCCACATAACTGAGATGGTCAACCTGTTTACCCACTCAAACCTTTACTCATTCCATCCCATTCCCACAAACCTTTGGGTTTTTAATTGCCTTTTAAGATTGATTTTATTGTACAGCACTCCGAATCTTTACAAAGCTGGACAGGCTAATAAACGTGTGTAATGCGTAGCAAGTAACTTTTAGAACTAAAAAAAAAATAAAAAAAAATCAGTGATTACAAACAGAATTGTAACCATTCCTGAGAGATCAACTGATCAGTTGATTTACAGACAAAATGCAAATTTTGGGCCGATCTAGTAACCTAACCCTACAGCTTTTAATTCATCTGAATTCCTGAGCCAGCATGGCTCAGCTTGGAAACCTCTCCCTTTCCCCTCAGCATGGCTGGCTCAGGAATTCTGGGAGTTGAAGTCCACGAGTCATAAAAGAGCCAAGGTTGCCTACCCCTGGGCCAGTACCTTAACCACTACACCAAAGTGGCTCTCAATTTGATCTGTCACAATTTTTAAAAGGTTTTTTTTTAAGTACAAAGAGCATCAAGCTAATCAGCCAACTACTGTGTAGTTGCAGGCAATTCTTAAACAAGACAATTAATTGCCTGCAAGCTACGGCATGGTTAAAAATACACACTGTGTAGAAGAAATGTGACTATTATTGTATTCTCAAAGCGCTCTTGCCGTATCTTCTGAATCCCAGGCTAGGTAATGGTTGCCAAGTGCACACTAGTAAACACAGCAAGAAATTGAATGGGGCATGTTTGGGCTCCTGATATCACTCTAGCTAAACAAGCTGAGCTAACAAGTCAGCTACTTTAAAGCAACAAAGCTGCATTGTTGGCTGAAATCCACTTGCCTTGTGCCCGTCAAGCACCAGGACAATCTCATTCACCACTTCCAGTTACCACACAGATCTCTTTAATTCAATAGTAACGGTGTCAACACCCTAATGTGCCTGCTACAGAAAGAAAAAAAAATACACAGCATTTATGAGAGGGAGGGGCAGGCCCCTGGGCCTATTTACATTGGTTTGTTACAGTAAAACACAATAAAGAGGAAATGTCAACACTAACTGTCAGATTTGTTCCAACTCAAAAGTGCCCAAATGCTGCATTTAGCAAAAGTAAACTTGGGTTACCTAAAGGTACGCTCCAATAAATCTGCTAGGGGTGTTTACGGGTGCATCCAGATCCTTTATCACATTAAATGAAAGAATGAATCACGACCTATACACACACAGACAGAGAAAGACTAGCACTGATAATGTTACCTAGTTGGGTAATGAAACGTCTGCAAGAAAACCACCAAGCTCAGAGAGCACCAAGGACCCCTCATTTCAACTCTGAACTACGAATATTCTCCTTTGTTGGTTAACATACACACACACACACACACACACACACACACACACCCATACGTACATGCCAATTGCCATCCTGAAATCTTACTTTAATTCTCAACAAGGTTATTTAACGCAATTTAATTATGTGATTAAATGTAAAACAGAGATTTTGCTCCTGGAGAGCGAAAGGGCACAGGCACCTGTTCCCTTCGAAATATGTTGCAGATAAGGCAGCTTCCCCAACTATAAAAATAAATGTTTCAAGCTCACCTGTACGTTGGCCACTATTTCTTCAACGCGGGTCAGCAAAATCCTCTGCTTGCAATTCTGTCGCCAGCGTTCTAGATCCACAGCTTTCTGTCTGTCTTGCTGAAGTTCTTTCTTTTTCTCCAGAGTCAGCTGTAAAAGCAAGGGAGACAAATTACTATTGCCATCTCATATCAGTGGATATTCTTAAAATAACCGAAGAGGTGCCCCCAGAAACAGTACAAAAGTTACAGGTGACTAAGATTGTAAAGCTTCAGGAAAAAGACCCCCCCACACACGAGCAAAGATACCAAGCTTCGAAGCCAGACCCAAAGTTTTCTCAATGCAATTGCAATGAAGCCAGCAATTCACATTTTGAGAAATTTGGAAAGAAAAGACACTACATAAAAAGTAAACCGTAAAATATTAGCATGTGCGGAAATAGACAGGCTCACAATGATATTAAAAGACAAATGTGGATCAGTTTATTATGAAACCTGGGATAAATTTTACCACTGGAGGAATTTTAAAAGGACGATCGGGATTAAAGATGAATGTTAAGATAGAAATACATGTTATTTTAGAATAAGTATTGTATATAAAACTTAGATGTATATGTAGAGATGAAGAATTGATTGTAAAAAGTGGAATAATCTGATAAGAATGTATATACTAGAATGTCACGTTAAATCCAATGTTTGTTTGTTTTTAACTGTATTATAAATAAAATTTGGGGGAAAAAAAGTAAACCATTTTGGCCCAGCCCTCACAAAAAGCAAGAAACGGGCACATGAGCTCTGGTAAAGGACTACTAAAATTTTCCCCAGTGCACAACCTTAATGATTCTTAATTTTTTTTAATGGAAGAGGAGAAAAAATTATTTGCTCTAAAAATAAGAAAAAAGCAAGGCAGAAGATTCACAATGTACACACAGCAAGGTGTCCAACATAATTCAAGTGGAGTCACTGTCTTTTTATATGGACATGATGAAACCAACTTACCAGAGGAGAAAGCACGGGGACCCCATTAAATCGAATAAGGGATACATTTCTGGGTTGAACAACAGAAGGCATTCCGTTCTCCATAAACTCTCCTTGAATTCTAGCCAGGTGCTTCTTGCAGAATTTCTCATATTCCTCCATCTTAAAATGCAGTTGGGCTGCAGAATGACACAGAGAGAGAGAGTGAGTGAGTGGGGGAAAAAAAACCTCATTTGCAAATAACAACTCAGCATATACTGTATTCAACAATACTTGTCACTCTGCCTACAGTTCCCTGGTTAATCTGTCTCTGTTGTTAATGCTGGCCTGGAAAATTGCACTGCCCACTGAAGGAACTCTGCAACAGAGCTCTACAATTGTTATGGAAATCAAGACAAAAAACCAATACTTCCTCAACCGAAATCAAAAGACAGCTATTATTATATTGTACCAAGCAAAACTACTACCTAAGTCTAAATCTATATCTATGTCTATATCTATCTATCTATCTATCTATCTATCTATCTAATCTATATGTATGTGTGTGTGTGTGTGTATATATATAAATATAAGCTTAAAATTTAATGCTGCTTGTTAACATTAAGTGCAGCTCAATATTAACTACAGCCTCACATGAAGCAAAGCTTAAATACTTAAATACAGTTTAATAATAAGCCAAGTTGAAAATCGTATACATGTTAATATTAACATGTATACAGACCCAATTTAAGCACCGCCTAACATTAAGCGAAGCTTCACCTTATATGCAGCTTAAATGAATCTCCCCCCCCCCCTTTGCTCTCTGCAGACCAAACCCCCGACAATGCGGCCCCAGAGAGGCCCGCAGCCCCCGCGGCTTCCCCACCGAGGATTCCCCGGCCGCCTCCCCGCTTCCAACGAGCGCAAAGTGCGCGCCTTCGCCTCTCCTGCCCACCGAGGCCGGCCCTGCCCAGCGCCTGGCAACGCTGGGCACGGCCCCGCCTCTTCCGGCGTGACGAAGCCGCGGCCGTTGCAAGCCTCCCGCGACGTTTCCAGGCAACCGAAGGGAAGGGCCGGAAGTCAAGGGTTGCAACAGGCGGTCTCCCCGACTCTTGCATTCTGGGAGTTGTAGTTTCAAAGGGGAAAGGGCCCTTCAATAGAACTGGATTCTTGGATGGAAATGTGGTTTTCTTGGCCACTTTGTCTTTTTTGGGGTGGGGGATAGATATTCTATTCTATTCCATCTTCTAGTCTAGTATAGTCTAGTATAGTCTAGTTTAGTTTAGTCTAGTCTAATCTATTCCATCTCTTCTCTTCTATTCCATCTCTTCGCTTCCTATTTCTATTCCATCCTATTCTATTCTATTCTATCTTCTAGTCTAGTTTAGTCTAGTCTATTCTATTCCATCTCTTCTCTTCTATTCCTATTTCTATTCCATCTTATTCTATTCTATCTTCTAGTCTAGTCTAGTTTAGTCTAGTCTAATCTATTCCATCTCTTCTCTTCTATTCCATCTCTTCTCTTCTATTCCTATTCCTATTTCTATTCCATCCTATTCTATTCTATTCTATCTTCTAGTCTAGTTTAGTCTAGTCTAGTCTATTCCATCTCTTCTCTTCTCTTCTTATTCCTATTCCTATTCCTATTCCTATTCCTATTCTATTCTATTCTATTCTATTCTATTCCATTCCATTGCATCTCTTCTAGTCTAGTCTAGTCTAGTCTAGTCTAGTCCTTTTATTTTCTCTTCTGCTCTGTTCTGTTCCGTTCTGTTCTATTCTATTCTTGTGTGCCATTCCATTCCACTCCAGCCGGCCCAGCCAATCCCGAGCACGCCCGGGGCGCAAAAACAAAAAATCCGCCCCTTCACGCCCCTCCGCCTTCTTCTCTAACGCGATTGGCTGAGGCGGCCGGCGCGCGCGGGCCGCGATTGGCCGGCGGGCGGATTGTGTTGTCACCATGGTGAGGGGAGAAGGGCGACGCCGGGGCGGCCGGCGCTGGGCCCTCCGCCCTCCGCCTGGCTCCTCCTGAGGCGCGGCGCCCGTCGCCATGTTCTGCTACTCGGAGGGGCTGCTGGTGGCCTTCTCGGCGGTGGTGCTGGCGACGCTGGTGCTGAGCCGTAGCGCCGCCCTGGCCTGCGCGCTCTCGGGCGGCTTCTACCTGGCGCTGCGCCTCTTCAGCCTGGAGCCCCTCGCCCCGCAGCGCGTCCAGGTGGTGGTGCAGCCCCGCGGGAACCCCGCCCGCATCGCCCATCGCGGCGGCGGCCACGACGCGCCCGAGAACACGCTGGCCGCCATCCGGCAGGTCGGTGTGGGTTGTGTGTCCTTGTGTGATGGTAGCACTGGGGGCGTGTAAAGAGCATTCGGGGGGAGGGGTTACATTGTGAGTTACACGCGATCGTGTGTGTATAGTATTTGTTGGGTGGGTGTAGCGTGTGTGTGTGTGTGTGCGCGCGCGCGCTCACAATAGGAATTGTATGTCTGGGCTGCAAACATCTGGATGGCAGCAAACAGGCACTTCTTGTTGACAGCTGGTTCTTCTCCCCATGAAAATATCCATCTGTCTCTATCTATCTATCTATCTATCTATCTATCTATCTATCTATCTATCTATCTATCTCTGTATCTATCTATTTATCTATATCTATCTATCTATATGTATATGTGTGTGTATAGAATAGAATAGAATAGAATAGAATATTGAAGATTAGACTAACTGAAGTAGAGTAGAGTAGAATAGAATAGAACAGAACAGAAAATAGGGAATAGAATAGAATAGAATAGAATAGAATATTGAAGATTAGACTAGACTAACTGAAATAGAGTAGAGTAGAGTAGAGTAGAGTAGAATAGAATAAATAGAAAAGAAGTTGGAAGGGACCTTGTAGGTCATTTAATCCAACGCCCCACCCAAGCAGGAGAACCTAGCGGTTGGGAAAATGAGCTGGGTCTCCCATTGATACATTTATGGAATAAGATGAATCTTATGATTGAAGAGGCCCTTGATGAATTGAAAACCATTAGAAGCAAGTGATTGCAATTAAATGTGTGATCAACACAGAAAAGGCTGGGTTTGTTTGGTTGGCAAACAAAAGTGATTAAAACATCAAAGAACCTTTAGCATGGGAGATTACCTGCTGATGTTGGTGAATCATTAAAAATAATTATAGTAACTGCCTGTTTCCCAAGATAATATGCAGTAGACTTGGATCAGAAGGGAATTTGTGACAGAAGCTGTTTACACTGTTTCTTTTCCTAGTGGCTGGTAGAAACCAGACTCTTAATACTTTCGGGGCAGCCTTTGCTGATTTCTGAATGCGAACTCTGCCTTCTTTTGCACTGTTTATTGTACCACTTAATTGCCTGATATGCAATCATAAGGTGCCCCATTCTTTTGTTGTGTTTGTACAACATGGTTGTTCTGGTCAGTGGGAAGTCCTTTTAACCCATGTTGTGGCAGCACCTGGTCATAAATATTCTGTCCGAGGAGAAACAACTATTTTGATAATCTCTAATCAGCCACAAAAGAGACCTCCAACCCATCTGAGTGATGTCAAGGATGAAGCCAGGAAAAATCTGCCTATCCTCCCTCACTGAGTATTCCCTTTTAAGTCTGGGATCGCAACTTTGATACTCAAAGGATGAAATACGTCTGGCTTGAACATTTGTTTTTAGTTGTCCCCGTTTAAATAACATGGATTTGTCAGTAGCAATTTTACTTAGGCTTCATAGCTTGGGTCATTGTTTCTCAACCTCAGCAACTTTAAGATGCCTGGACGTCAGTTCTCAAAATTGCTCAGCCAGCAGGCTATAGCTGGTTGGATAATTTCCAAGGCAAAGTTATCCAAATGCACTGAATCAAAAGCACCCCTTATTATATTCTGAAAATGTTGACTTTGTTCCTTAAGGCAGCTGAGAATGGAGCCACAGGGGTGGAACTGGACCTTGAATTCACTGCAGATGGGGTTCCTATCCTGATGCATGACGAAACGGTGGACAGGACCACTGATGGCTCTGGAAGTTTACGTGAATTGACATTTGCTGATATTCAACAGTTTAATCCAGCTGCTAAACATAGATTATGGTAAGGGAACAACCCATAGTTCATTCACTGAGTCATGCCCAATTCTATGACTTGGGTTGCCATGGCAGTTAAGGGTGTCATATGTTGTCCTTCAGCGGATCCAGCTTCCCCCGTTGACTTTGTTGGAAACTGGTTGGGAAACTCACAAATGGCAATCCTATGATCCCAGAATAGCAATAGCAAATAGCACTTTGACTTATATACCGTTCCATAGTGCTTTACAGCACTGTTTAAGTCAGAGGTCTCCAACCTTTTGGGCAACAGGGACCGGTTCCGTGGAGAAAGATTTTTCCACGGACCTAAGAATGCGTGGTTCTGTGTGCTGCCTGTATCCCACAGACGGGCTTTGCTTGTTTGTGCGGACCGGTTGCTGGCATGCCACGGCCCGGTACCAGTCCACAGACCGTGGGTTGGGGACCCCTGGTCTGAGTGGTTTACATAAATATATGCTGGTTGCCAAGCGCCCAAATTTTGATCAAGTGTCCACGGGGATGCTGTGAAAGTCGTAAATGTGAGGGTCAGTTGCAAGCAATTAATTCTGAACAGTCATTAAACAGTTATAAGTCAAGGGCCACGGGTTTGCAACTTGCAAAATAGATAGTCATGTCTTCTGGTCTTTAAATGACTCATTGTTCAGGGATCTTTAAAGAACTTGTAAGGATTTGTTTCGCTTTTTTAGTGGAATATGTCCTTGGATTTTAGTGGTGGTACAGTATGAAGGGGGCAGTAACTCCTTTTTTTTTAATTGGATACTTTTCTGTTTGAGATGGACCCCTTTCAAGCTGGTGTGGTGATTTTTCTGCAGGAGGGATTATCGTGGGGAAAAAATACCAACTCTAAAAGAAGCTGTTTTGGAAAGTTTGCATCATGACCTCATCATCTACTTCGATGTCAAGGGACATGCAGATCAGGTACCAATTTGTAACAGTTTTCCTTTCCCATAGACCTCTTCCATTTGACAAAACGTTCTGACGATAACATGCTGAAACAAATGAAGTGCTTTTTTAAAAAAAAATACTACTATTTTTTTTATTCACAGCACTAAAGTAATGATTAGGTAAAGGTTTTCTCAGACATGCTTTTTTCTCTAATTCGTAGAGCTGTGTTAAGGAAGGGACAGAGCTGGTGGACTTTTTTTTTTTTTTAAGGCACCGATAAACAGCAAAATTTTTCTGATACTAGTATAGAGTATCAGAGTATCTGTTTACATAGAATTATTCTTACCTAGCACCAGCAAGTAAAACCCGTGCCTCTGACAAGGCTCTTTCTCAGTCCTGTTATTTGAAATAATCAAAAGAGCGAGGTTGGAAATTTGTTCACTGACTTTAGGGCTGAATTCTGACTCTTTCCCTGAATCCGTGTCCTTTAAATTAAGCTGAGTTTCTGTTTTTGAAAGCAACTTTTCCATATACAGTAGTACGTTCTGCTCCATTCACCTGTATTATTGTATGTATTATTTTCCAGAGCACAAATTATTGTGCGCCATCCCCTCTGCACATGCCACTTTAATTAGTAACATCTTCTATACAAGAATTCCTGAAGTGCACAAGAAAAAAAAAAACTTCCTTTGTCCATTTAAAAAAAAAATGCCATTTTCTTTTTGCTGGCAGGCAGTTGCAACCTTGACAAAGCTCTATCTAGAATATCCACGGCTGTACAACAACAGTGTGGTCTGCTCGTTTATGCCAGATATCGTCTATAAGGTGAAGATTTCAAAGTGCTATTAATATTTCATAATTCCGTGACATGATGATAGGGTGTTTTTGAGTAAGTGGTGTTATACAAGGTAAACAAAATGCTATCTGATAAACAGGGAAGCATAAGCTACTTATTTTTTAGAGCCTTAACATAATCTAGTTTATTTTAACATGATAAATAAACTGTGGGCCTTCCCTATATTGGAGAGTCAGTATAAGAAGAGTTTGTTGGGTTAAGCCTAAGGGTTGATCATATTGGTATTTTACCTTAGCTGGAGGGGTGAAAAAATATGTCTTTGTCTCAGTGCTTTTTAATGCTTGTGTGTTCAGTTTATAACACTAATGCCCTAATTCATCGCCCTGAGGAAAGAGTGAGTAATAGATAAATTTCTGTATGCAATAGGTAGTATATTTGGGTTTTTAGGCATATATGCATTGACTGAACTGCTCATCTTCAGATGTCCTATCAAATGCTGAAGCATTTCTGAACAAGATCTGTTCAACTTGGAAGGAAATGCTCACAGGGAAAAATCAGTGGAATATTCTTCCAAGTTTTGGATTGTAATGCAAAGCAAGGTGGAACTTCCTACCGCACACGATTTGCAGTTTGATTCTCACAACTTCCCAAACTGCCCAGAAAGTAGGCACTGTTAAATCTCTTGTATCATAACCTCATTTAGCTATCAGGATGCACGTACTTAGCTCTGTGTTGTTTGGTCTTTTAGATGAAACAAGCTGATAGAAATGTCATAACAGCTCTCACCCACCGACCTTGGAGCATCAGTCACTACGGGGATGGGAAGCCTCGCTATCCAGCTTTTTGGAAACACTATTTGGCTATGGCCCTTGATGTTGTCATGGACTGGAGCATGCACAACTTCCTATGGCATTTATGTGGCGTTTCTGTTTTCCTGATTCAGAAAAATTACATTTCACAGTAAGTTAATTGCCTAGAGAAAAGAAGGCCAGTTGGTCTCACATTTATGAAACAGAGACCTGGGGAACAATGCGATCTATAGAAAGCTTTCTCTGGATGAATCCCAAATATAAATGGCATTTAATGCTGAAGGGCATTGGATCTATAACGAGCCTTTTCTGGATGAATCCCGAATTTAAATGGCTCTAATTGCCTTTTTGGGTTTTTAAAGGAGAAACTGTATCAGAACAGTAAAGAAGTTTTAGAAACTTTTTTAAAGTAAGCCAGAATACAACTGCTTATCCTCTCATATCATTTTTCCCTTCTCTCTTTTAGGGATTATATAAATAGATGGTCCTCTAAAGGGGTTCACGTTGTCGCTTGGACCGTCAACACACTGGCTGAAAAAATGTATTATGAAAATGTTCTCCAGACCACCTATATGACCGACAGCTTATTAGAGGATTGCGACCCTCATTACTAGCTTGATCTTCAACAACCGATTGGCTTCATTAATCAGACTGGAGATTCAGTGGGACTTTTATGATTTTATTTCGCGAAGGCTGCATCGCTTCCCTCAGGGAGAGAAAAATGATTACATTTCAGGTTGCACCCAAACTCCTTCCTTTTTGCTTGGATGGAGATTTCTCATGATTATCCCTTTTCCTCCAAGGATGAATCAGCATTTTTAGTCAAGTAGATACGTGCAGCTTAAATGGGGAAAATAAAACACGATACACTACAAGGTAGGCAAAATTAAGGGAGTTGGGAAATGAACTTCTTGGAAACCTCATGAATGTTCCATTTTTCCCTTAGACTATCCCTGGTTGGGCAGTTTCTCAGAAGTAAATCCTCCAAAATTAGAAATGGTGTCAAGGTGTTCCAGGGGTCTCCTTTCCCCCAAACAGCCTTATTTTATCCAGTTCAGAAAAATGGCCAGTTACCCTGGCTGCATCATTTAGCAACAGAAATTCTGGCCCCAGTTGCTGTCATAAGTTGAGGACTACCCGCAGTGAGTTTGGGGAGAACACTTCCCACTGTGGCTAGTGCGCAAGTATTTTCCCTCTCCTGCCCATAAATTCAAGGTGCAGTTTTGATAATGCAATTAATCTCTTATCAATATGTAGCAAGGCAAAGTGCAATATATTTTGATGTGATCGGGCACTTAATGGAAGCTGGGCGTGGGGGCTTTGCCAAGGCTAGGATGATCAAAGGGGTGCATTTCTTGCGGTTTTGAAAGTTAGCTTTTGTTGAAGGTTGCATTTCACACTTGAAAGAAATGTTTACATCGCAACTGTTTGTGTAAACCTGAAACAGTCCTCTAGACTGCTTTTTTTTCCCCCAGTTCTTTTCAGAACTAAGACTTGCTCAAAATCGAAAGACTGCCAATCATTTGTAAGGATTGAAAATGTCCCCTCATAAAACATCACTGTGTTAAAGAATATAGCAATAAAGGTTTTTGAAATAATTCTAGAGAACTGTTGTAATGGAAACCACTACTAGAAAAAAAGAGAAAACTGGGAATAAATTATCTCACGTAGGCAGGTTATGTGATCATCTGTAACTGTGACATTAAGAAGATGCTACACCAGTGCAGAAGCTGGTGCCTTAACGTTTTACAGTCAAACAAATAAAATTCTTCGTATGTCTTAAGCAATCTGTCACTTGGATAATTTGGATGAAGCAGAAATGGGCATTAGGCAACTGCCATTAATTTTGTTCCCAAATAAAAGGTGATTTATCAATGGATATATAAAATGCAGCTGCTAAGTCAGACAAAATACGTATTTGCCGTTATAATATTCCAAGATTCATTTCCCTGATACATCACTAACCGCTGTTTAAACTGAAAGGAATGTAAATCTGTTTCTGCCTTTTTTGCCATGCTGCTATACAAGTTTTTTTTTTAAAAAAAAATCAATGTTTCCTTTATTATTCTCTGTACTGTACAAATCTCTCTATAATTTCTGTAAAATAAAAATCCTGACAATTCAAAGAAATAAATTTGGAGAGGAAAATAATAATGATGTCTAAGGAATGATTCCTGGTGGTTATATTACCCAACTATCAGATTTCCATGATAAAATAAATTAACGTAGCCCTTTTCCTCAAATGTACAGTAAGTTTTGATGAGACCTGGGGAGAGATCGTTGTCACAAAGAATAGTTTGGCACCTGCATTTCCTGAAGTCAATAAAGACAAACCTCAACAAATGTAAAAGTGCCCAGTCGCTTAATTAAACATTTCTCAATTTTTAGAGTTCTAGGAGGTTCCTGCAAATACTTTATTTGTGCAAACAGCAAAGTTCTAGATAAAAAGTGCTTGTTGTGTGCATATTACTTCATTCTCTACTTCCACTTCAAGCTTTCTTCATCTTCCATTTCCCATTCAGCTTCTTGTCTTGCTCTCAAAGCCAAAACCAGGGCGTCAGATACTCCAGCATTCTGGGTTATTTTGTTAGCCTCTGTTACAAGCAAAAGGAAGAAAAAGAGTTGGAAGGGACCTTGGAGGTCATCTAGTCCAACCCCTTGCTCAGGCAGGAACCCTACACCATTTCAGACAAATGGCTGTCCAGTCTCTTCTTAAAAACTTCCAGTGTTGGAGCATTCACTGCTTCTGGAGGCAGGTTGTTCCATGTTTAATTGTTCTAACTGTCAGGAAATTTCTCCTTAGTTCTAGGTTGCTTCTCTCCTTGGTTAGTTTCCATCCTTTTTTGTCTTTTGGTGCTTTGGAAAATAGGTTAATCCCCCCTCGTCTTTGTGGCAGCCTATCCATGTTCCTAATAGTCCCTTTAGGATTTTTCCTCCCAAATGCCACCCGCACTGAACACCCAATTCTCCTGCCTCAGATGCCCATGGACCTGTGGCCTCATGGTCAGTGAAATCACCCTGATTTCTACAGAGGTGTGTGTGTGTGTTTTTTTTTAAACCTCTGTAGATGTGGAGAAGCCAGGAATTACCACCAAACTTTGGGTTTGTCACCAAATTTCAGAAGTACAATTTGGGATGCTCTGAGAGGTATCTCAACCTTTTATAGAAGGCTACATGCCTAGGTTTGCTCTTTCTGTCAGCACCAGGAGAAGCTTTGTTGACTTGGGACTTCCCTACAGCCTCTTTCTACACCCTTGGCCCATTTGGTTGTTGTCACTTCCCCCTGCAGACAAAACTAGAGAAACCTTGTGTCAAGCTTGACTTCCGATGATTACAGAGTTGCTTCACCGAGTTCCTTTCTCCTAGCCGTGTTTTGATTTCCCAATCTAGCCTGTAGTCATAATAGTAATGTGCTAATTATAGTTTAACTGTTCTGCCTAATTAATATTTAGTACTTACCAGGATTAAAGGTAGCCATCACAGGGTGTCCAGCAAACTGTAAAGGAGACAAACATAAACTTTGATTTGAATCACAGACCAGTTTTAAACATTATAAAGCAGCTAATTCATCAAACGTATTCTGTAACTCTGTATCCTGATAGTACTCATTCATACTATTAATTTAAATTTAAATAATTATTCATAAAAACCCAGCATGTTAATATTTTTCTACACTTAGTGGAAATTAGGTTAGCCTTTCTGCTTTTCGTTAGCATCAAATTCATGATGGGACCTATTACCTTCATTGTATTTCCATTGTATTTTCATTGTATTACCTTCATTGTATTTCCCATGCCAAAACCTTCTACATCGGGGGTCTTCAAACTTGGCTCTTTTATGACTTGTGGACTTCAACTCCCAGAATTCCTCAGCCAGGCACGCTGGCTGAGAAATTCTGAGAGTTGAAGTCCACCAGTCATAAAAGGGCCAAGTTTGAAGACCCTGGTTCTACATCAACTAGTTCTGACTTGTTAGTTAAAAGAACGAAGTTAAGGATGTTCAGATAACTAAGGCAATGATCACAATTGCTGAGCAATTTGGAGCTACAGAAAATAAAGTTCAAGACACAAATAAGTTCATTTAAAAAAAAACCCTCAAAACTTTCAGGGGTTTTGCTGTCCTGTAAAAAGGAAGGAGAGCAAAAGAATTCCTGTAAACCTCATTTCTTCTTGTGTTCCTTCTCTGGCCTGCCCCCTTCCTCAATCTTGCTCTTTATTAGGTGGCTTGGCCACAAGGGCATGGGATGAAAATTACGGATGTTTTGGTCCAGCCCATCTAGAAAGTACCAAAGTGGAGAAGGCTGGGCCAAGAGCTACCAGAAGTCCAATATTGTGAGGAAATAAGCTTTCTATTTGGCGGAGACACAGCTAAGGCCATTTATGGTTAACCATCTTCAGGCAGGAAAGCCTATCCCATTTCAGACAAATGGCTGTCCAGTCTCTTCTTAAAAACTTCCAGTGTTGGAGCATTCACCGCTTCTGGAGGCAGGTTGTTCCATTGGTTAATTGTTCTAACTGTTGATTGTTCTAAGAAGTTTCTCCTTAGTTCCAGGTTGCTTCTCTCCTTGATCAGTTTCCATCTGTTGCTTCTTGTCCTGCCTTCAGGCACTTTGGAGAAGAGCTTGACTCCCTCTTCTTTAGGGCAGCCCGAGATATTGGAACACTGCTATCATGTCCCCCCTCGTCTTTCTCTTTGTTAAACTAGACCAGGGGTAGGCAACCTCGGCTCTTTTATGACTCATGGACTTCCAACTCCCAGAATTCCATGCTGACTCAGGAATTCTGGGAGTTGAAGTCCATGAGTCATAAAAGAGCCAAGGTTGCCTACCCCTGAACTAGACATACCCAACTCCAGCAACTGTTCCTTATATGTTTTAGCCTCCAGCCTCCTAAGGTATCCTTCAGATTATCATTTCCCATCTTCTCCAAACATCAATATGGCCAAGGTTGGTGAAGTATGAAATCCAACCTAACTACAAGGAGGAAAGTGCTCATACCACACCCTCAACTGCACCTGCTATTACCTCAGTAGAAGATTCTCTCCAGAGAAAGGGCTCCACGCAGCTGGGCAGCAAAACACAGCTTTGCCCCTTAGGCAGCTGGCTGAGAGAGGAGTCCCTCTGGAAGACCAATCAAAAGTTGACTTACTTTCTGTTCTTGACTAGCGTTGTGTGTGGCCAATTATGCACCCATCCCCAGCTTCTCATAACAAATTCAACATAAAAGGTCAAATCTGCAAAACTCACCTCTGGCTGCCTTCTCAAAGAGGGCATCTTAGAAGCTTGCAGTCCACGTAATTTCTTCAGTAGAAACATTTTATCTTTGCCGGCCTATAAAATCAAGAAACAAATAAAAAAGGGACGGTGAGTTAGATGAATTAATCTAATGTTTTATTTTAGAAAGTTAATCGCAACAGTCAAACGCCTTGCTTGAAAAGTAACCCTTCCTTTTTTTTAAAATCAGTGAAGTACATTTCTATTCCGATGCAGTCAAAAATACTCTTGATGGCTTACCTAGACCCCCTAAGCTTCCACAATATAATCTGAAATTTGATTAAAACTTGGTAAGTAACTATAAAAACTGCGATACCTCAAAACCTCAAGAAGTGTAATAAAAAATAAAATTACAGATATATTGCAATCCGTTCAACAGAGCAAATGGGTATCTTAGATCAAGATATTAGGAAGCCTTTTAACCAAAAACTAAACTTTCCTGAGAGTTCAGGGGTAGGCAACCTTGGCTCTTTTATGACTCGTGGACTTCAACTCCCAGAATTCCTGAGCCAGCGTGGGGAACTTTGGCCCCTTCATGACTAGTGGACTCCAACTCCCAGAATTCCTGAGCCAGCATGGCTCAGCTTGGAAACCTCTCCCTTTCCCCTTAGCACGGCTGGCTCCGGAATTCTGGGAGTTGAAGTCCACGAGTCATAAATGGGCCAAGTTTGAAGACCCCCTGATCTAGAGTGATAGGATTTCTCGTTGAGAAAATACTTACGTTAACAATTTGCTCTTGTAGCAGTTTAACCATTGTTTTTCGTCCACGGATGATTTGCCAGAAAAGGTATATGAGCATCCTAAAACAGAATTAGGGATGTAAAATTACCGCTGGCCCGTAAACTACAGAGCCAAGATCAGCCAAGATTCCAAACTCTGCTGTCAGACCGAATAAACCAATAAAGGAGAATATTTGTAGCTCAGGGTTTAAAGGAGAAGTCCTCAGGATTCTCTGAGCTTCATTGTTTTCTTGCAGATGTTTCATTACCCAAAGTAGATAATAACTACAAATATTCTCCTTCATTGGTACCACAAAGGGGCATCAAAGATTTCAGAAAGAAGACAAATGGGAAAAACGGTGCCCGTCAGTACGGTTCCCCCAAGGAACCACTTTTCTTCCACTGAAGTTATTAACTAGATGGGTAATGAAATGTCTGCAAGAATGTCACCAAGATGGTCACCAAATGTCACCAAGAGAGCAACAATGACTCCTCAGACAGAAAAAGCCCATAATTCGTAAGGCACATCATTTATAGATGTCCTGCGTTATTAAAGAGTCCCTTTAACAAACGGGTCACCTTCCTTCTTCATCCCACCTTTTTTTCCCCCTTTTGTGGGAAACTTACAACACAATAATTGAAAGGATGAAGAAGAAGTGTGTGCTCTCGATTAAGTTGCGGTAGATCCACACTACCCATCCTGAGCCCGGTGAAGAAGTCAAGACTGAAATCCAGCCAGAGATAGCTTCGAAGGGAGCTGTCAGACCTCGGAAAGGGCCACACGCTTCGGAAGGTTTCCGTCTTGGAAAATAAAGAGAGGGGGGGGAAGGACAGGTTCTTTTCACACAAACATAGTCAGTTTAGAAGTTTGTTGAAGGAAACACTCATAGATGGTAGGCAGCATCAGAGAGATCACTAGATATCAGCTGGCACCAGGCCCCTGAGGAGATCTACGAATCTTGAGATCTCTGACCTTGTTGATAAGGATTACCATGATGGGTGAGACTAGGGCAGGGGTAGGCAACCTTGGCTCTTTTATGACTCGTGGACTTCAGTACCCAGAATTCCTGAATCAGCCATGCTGGCTCAGGAATTCTGGGAGTTGAAGTCCACGAGTCATAAAAGAGCCACGGTTGCCTACCCCTGGCCTAGGGAGAGGAGCAAAGAGGAAACCCGCATGAACAGAGGAGCTGCCAGACCTTCGAGGTAGGCTAGGTCAAGAAGATGCATGGCTCTTTATTGTTGTAGGTCAGGGGTCCTCAAAGTTTGCCACTTGAAGACTTGTGGACTTCAACTCCCAGAATGAGAGATGAGAGAAGCAACCTAGAACTAAGGAGAAACTTCCTGACAAGTCAGAACAATTAACCAGTGGAACAACCTGCCTCTAGAAGCGGTGAATGCTCCAACAAATGGACAGCCATTTGTCTGAAATGGGATAGGGTTTCCTGCCGGAGCAGGGGGTTGGACTAGATGACCTCCAAGGTCCCTTCCAACATTATTGTTATTATTATTATTATTATTATTATTATTATTATTAAGACAATTGTGGCAGGAAAGGTCATAAAATGGGGCAAAGCTCACTTAACAACTGTCTGGCTTAGCAATAGAAATGTTGAGCTCAACTATGGTTTGTAAGGCGAGGATTACTTATAAACATAATCAAAGTGGGGGTTACTGGGAGTTTCTTTCTTACACCTCCCCTCCTCAAGACCGGATATTCTTTTTCCGAAAATCCCCCCCCCTTTAATGATTGGCTCATTCCTCCCCCCATGCCCAAAGCCAGCCCTCCATTTCCTTCACAAGGAACCAAGGGATCCAGGAGAAGCAAATACACCAACGACCAGCTGCATCGTGCCCAAGATTTCTCCAGAATCTGGGCTGAAATATCAAATAAAGGCCTGCAGCTACTTGAGCAGGGTGGACCCACAGAGCTCCTGACCTCCAGACAGTGACCGCGACGGCCGAGAGGACTCCGGTGAAAGAGGGGAAAAAGAGGAGGAAGACAAAAATGGTGTTCATTTGGGACCCTCGCCAAGCTTTGCGGGGCGGCTGGCAGTTCTTCAGCAGGCTGATCTGGAGGGGCAAGGCAGAGAGGTCATAGGCAGGCCAACAGCTTGACCCACACACACAGAACACCGAATGGAAGAGGGGCAGTCTTTTGGCCTTGCCGGCAACAAAATATTCAGCCCTGATGCTAAAGGGAGCAAAGCAGTGGCAGACACAAAAAGATAGATCACGTGTCGGGAAGCAACCAGTCTTCCCATTTTTTAGGCTCTATGGGGAGATGGGAGGAGCAAAGGCAGAAACAGGTGTTTACCACCCTGCCACTTAAAAATCGGCAATTTGATGGTGTCAACTTGGGGGTCACCGAAAGGAGCAGTGGGGCACATGCACACCTGGAAAAGCTATGGCACGGGGTAGGTTTTGCTCAATACCATATGTAGCTCCTGCATTAAGGCAGGGGTGTCAAACTGCCGGTTGCATCATGCAGAGGAGGCCCTGCCCACCCCAGCTCCAGCAATGGGAAAAAAGTCATGATACATTGCAACACGTCACGTGACGCGGCGAGTTTGATGCCCGTGCATTAGGGCTTCCTTGAGAGCCGTGGTGGCGCAGTGGTTAGAATGCAGCACTGCAGGCTAACTCATGGCTCACTCCAGGAGTTCGATCCTGACCGGCTCAAAGTTGACTCAGCCTTCCATCCTTCCGAGGTCGGTAAAATGAGGAGCCAGATTGTTGGGGACAACAGGCTGACTCTGAAAACCGCTTAGAGAGGGCTGGAAAGCACTGTGAAGCGGTATGTAAGTCTACGTCAGTGGTTCTCAGCCTTTTTAATGCCGCGACCCCCAACCGGTCGTAAGTCGAGGACTACTCAACCGGTCGTAAGTCGAGGACTACTCAACTGGTGCAGCACTATTTGCAGAATGGGACTTTTGGCGGGCTCAGCAGGGCAGAGACAGCCTGGACAATTCCGATTGGCTTTGGAAAGCCAATAGAATTAGACTCTATTCAAGAGAGTCTATTCTATTGGCTTTCAAAAGCTAATAGAATAAAAGGGAGTAGCACAGCGAAGGAAAAGGGGGAAAAAATGGCGGACTGCGTTGTTTGGTGACCCCCGTGAAATGGTCATTCGACCCCAAATGGGGTCCCAACCCACAGGTTGAGAACCACTGGTCTAAGTGCTATTGCTATTGCCATTGCATGCTATCGATCATTGTCAATTCTTGGTGACCACATAGAGCAGGCATATCAAACTGCCGGCCCGCGGGCCAGATGCATCATACTGAAACCGCGCCCACCCCATTGCCGGTAATGGGGAAAAAGTCGCGTGACATCACGTGACGTCGCAAGTTTGACATGCCTGACATAGAGTAATCTTTTCCATGATGATTGGTCTTTAACCTGGTCCTTCAGCTCTTCCAAAAGCATCCCTATCGTCACTGCAATTGAGTTTATGACTCAGCAACAAGTATGAAGCAGAGCTGGCTTAGCAAACTGCACGAGTCCTGATCGGGCCTCATCCTTGTGCTGTGCCCCCAGAGTGCTCTTGATCATCAAACTGAGTAAAAGGCAACTGATCTGGGGGGGGGGGGTCCACATATAATCCGTAACAGCAAGAATCTTGAGGAAGAACAATGCAATTAAGGCTGGCGAGGAAAAAAAAATCACAAAAAGCGGCCTAACCTTTTTCACACAAAATATGATGAAAAATGTTATCATCTGAATGGCTGGAAGCAGAGGAGCAAAGAAGATCCCAATCCTGAAGAAAAGAGAAAAAAAAATGAGATTCAAGGACAAGACACACTTCAGTGTAAGCAGAGAGTGGTTTTTGTGCTTGGATAAGGGTATTTATCGATCTGGATTTGTAGCCCCCAGCCTGTGACTCTTCAGAATGTGATTTCCCCCCCCCCCAACTCACCATGTCAAAGTCTGAGCGTAGATCAAATCCAAAACGTTTCGAGCAATGTCGAATTCTGGCACGCCAATTTTTTTACAGCATTCGGTGCCAATAAGTCTGAAATGGCAGATTTGTCAGTTAGGGAGTTTGGCAACCTCTTCCAGAACAGATTATGCAGCAGCTCTGCAGTAAAGACATTCTGGATGTGTCACCGTTTTTAAGGAGTCTTTTTCCAAAACGGAAGTTGTTCTTTTGCTCAATGGAAGATTATCAGAAGCACAACCCACTGGGATATAAATAAACTAATCTGGACCTGTGAGCGATCATCTATAATAGCACGTTTCCAACTCCTAGCATTACAATATTTTTTATTATTATTATTTTGGTAGAGGAAAGGAAGAACAATTGGGGTACAATAAGGTAGACCTTCAGCCAACCCCTTCTCCCAAGTTCCATTTGGAAACTGATAACAAATTCCTGATTTCTGGATGTTCTTTGAAGGATTCTATTTTTTTTCTCTACTTTTAAATGAACGTCATTTACTTCTGGTTCTGGATTGGGGGGGTGGTTTCTGCTGATATAACTGTGGCCTAGCAGAGATGCCTCCAACCTGCTTATTCCAATCTAGGAATTTCCAATCCAGATGTGGAAATACAAATAGTTCTCAACTTACAACCAGAATTGGGACCACAAGTTCTGTGGCCAAGCAAATCTGTCTTCCCCTTTCGATTTTGCTTGTCGGAAGCCAGCTGGGAAGTTCGCAAATGGTGATCACGTGACCCCCCAAGACATGGCAATGTTGTAAATATATGCCAATGGGCAAGCACCCACATTTTGATCATGCGACTGTGGGGATGCTACGTGTCGGTTGTAAGTGCAAGGACTGGTTGTCATGTTTTTCAGTGCCATTTTAACTTTAAACGGTGCCCAACGAATTAGGCTGAGGACTATCAGTATGGAAGTTTGATTTGGATCAAATATCAGACTTATGCACGTACCGTAGTACAAATTCACCGAAGAATGAACCCAGGAGGCAGCAGACAAAGTCTGCTATAAGCAGCCTGTATATATCTTGGCCAATGAAGGTTTCCCAGCACTAATGGGGAGAACAAGAGATTTAAAAAATGTCATTTATTCATGGAACATGTGAAACCTAAATTCCGGATTTGCGGACATCAACTCTGAGAATTCTCAGCAGTGGCTGTGCTGGCTGGGAAATTCTGGGTAAACCCATCTATATTCCTGGAAATCATTATCCAGGTCAGAGAAGGTTGAGCTACACCCCCAAAGAGTTTATTTAGTTTTGTGAAGTCAACAGCTGCCTTTTAATAATCTTAGTTTATGGCTTAATGTATTGTACAAAACTAGCCAATGGCAGCTTGCTCAATGAACCCTAGGTAGCTCAACCATGGCTTAGCACAATCTGTGAATCCAGCTTAAGTTAAAGAAGGCCTCTCATCACTTAGTAAGAAGTTTTGCACCCATACCAAAACATGCTTGAAAGACCTACCTCCACTTTGGAGAGAGCTACTACGTTGAGCCAGTAGTAGCAGAGGACTCCAATGGTGGATATTTTCAAGATGACATTCCTACAGAGAGGAAGCAACAGCTCTCAGGGTTTAGAAGCATGGGATGCTCACAACTGTTTCCTCAAAATCTGCTCTGAACAGGATAACCGGCTGGCCGCATACACAAGTTGAGCTGCATATGTGCGCACTGAATCACAGCTCGTGCGGCCTGGTTCCAAATAAGCCACGCCGGAGTGGGCCACAGCCCTTGAGGTTGGGACTCCTGCAGTAAATACTATTTAGATCAGACGCCCCCAACCTTTTGGGCACCAGGGACCAGTTCCTTGGAGAAAGGTTTTTCCACGGAGCGGAGAGTGCGTGGTTTTGTGTGCTGCCTGCATCCCACAGATGGGGCTGTGCTTGTTTGTGCGGACCGGTTGCTGGCGTGCTGTGGCCCAGTACCGGTCCATGGACCGGGGGTTGGGGACCCTTGATTTAGATGGTTTGTTAGGGTCTGGTTCTCTCCAAAGGAGGACAAAAACAAGCCCAATGTACCTGATAATAGCAGTGTAGATCTGGTGCCTAGGATAGTCAAACTTTTCAACCAAGCTGGAGAAGGAGTACAGGAATGGCATCACGTGGTTGAAGAGGCTCACCACGATAGGCAAGATCAACATGGCAGCTTCGTTTTCAAGCTGGGTGTTTTCCTCATTCAGAAATAACTCGAAAAGGAGTGAAGAGAGAGAGAGAGAACCTTTGTTAAGAGCTCAGAGTAATTTCCTGGAGTCTTAGTCATGCTATATTCGCAAATGTATTGCAGGAATGGGGTGGGGGAAAAGGCGGAGGGGAAGGGGAACTAGGTGCTCTTTGAGCTTGTGGTTTTCTTGCAGATGTTTCATTACCAAACTAGGTAACATCATCAGTGCTAGAATGGAGTGGGTTTGCAGGGAGGAGGAGGGGGGGAGGGAAAGGGGAGGAGGATCAACCAGCCACTTTGGAAGGGAATTCAAGCAAACAGGCTTATTTTACAGTTCCTGGACTTTTTAAGAAAGTTGGTGATTGTAATATCTCAGTCCATCCACCTCTCTTGAATTTGGAAAGCAGTTCTCAGCTCCATACTTGGAATCAGGGCACAGTTTCCTAGATGAAAGATGGATAGGCTGAGACTACCAGTAAACTCTGATCAAAGGAAGCAAATCCAGGACAAAGAACTGGATGCCTGCCCCCCCCATCTAGACTTAATTTCAATTTTAATTTCATAAATCTAAGTAGAGTTGCATCTCATTAATTCATTACATTCCAATGATGATTCCTCCGGGATTTTCAATATTTCTTTATCCTTCAATTCTGCTTCATTAAAAATGGCAACTTGTAGCAATGTTTTGGAGAGGCTTTATGGGTGGGTGGGAGAGAAATTTAGCATTCTCAGGAATCGGTCCTTCCATCAACACCCTGTCAAGAATAGACTGTCATCTTGTTCAAACCCATTCCCAGAACAGTGCGTGTTTATTTATTCGTGATTTAATGAAGGCATGAGAAAGCAAGCCACGGGGTGGGAAACCACGGAATTGCAGCTGACCTGTAAATTCACAAGGGAAAAGAAGTAAATGCCAGCACACGAAGCCACCGTGAAGCCCAGCGAGAGAAACCAGAAGGCCAGGTGAATCGAGAAGCGAAGAATCCTTTGCTGCAGAGATAGCTTCACAGATTCAATACGCATTTCAGAAAGGGTCTCCTAGGATGAAAAAAAGAAAGTTTAGATAAGTTTGAAGAAGGAGGCTGGAATTCAGGTCTGGCTTTGCATTCAATCGCTGCCCAGAGCTGCTGTAAGAGCCTTGGTGATGCAGTAATTAAAATGTAGTATTGCAGGCTAACTCTGCCCACTGCCAGCAGTTCGATCCTGACTGGCTCAAGGTTGACTCAGCCTTCCATTCTTCTGAAGTCAGTAAAATGAAGACCCAGATTGTTGGGGGCAAGAGGCTGACTTTTTAAACTGCGGAGAGACGGCTGTAAAGCACTACGAAGCAGTATATAAGTCTAAGTGCTATTGCTATTGCCACTGACTCATCCTTCATCCTTCCCAGGTCAGTAAAATGAGGACCCAGATTGTTGGGGGCAAGAGGCTGACTCTCTAAATCGTTTAGAGAGGGGCTGTAAAGCACCGTGAAGCAGTATATAAGTCTATTGCTAAGTTGGAAGGAAGGAAGGAAGGAAGGAGGGAGGGAGGGAGGGAGGGAGGGAGGGAGGGAGGGAGGGAGGGAGGAAGGAAGGAAGGAAGGAAGGAAGGAAGCAAGCAAGCAAGCAAGCAAGCCGTAATGGCGCAGTTGTTACAATGCAGGCTGACTCTGCTCAATGCCAGGAGTTTGATCCTGACTGGCTCAAGGTTGACTCAGCCTTCTGTCCTTCCAAGGTTGGTAAAATGAAGGCCCAGATTGTTGGGAGCAAGAGACTGACTGCTCTCATCAGTGCTCTAAAGTTCTATGAAGCAGTATATAAGTCGAAGTGCTTTTGCTATTGCTAAGCTTCAGAGGTTCCTGACTTGGAATTAATAAAAAAGAATATTTGTAGCAACCAAGCTCAGAGAGCACCGAAGATCCGACTAGGAACTAATTAGCAAAACTGAGAGGTAACGTTAAAAGATAGTTTGGGGGATCGTGTATGAATATCATCTTATGAATGAAAGATTTCTCCTTTTTTACTCCCCAAAAGGAGATGTTCAAAGGATGAGTCCCTTAAGGAATGGTGAGAAAGCCATGGACCGCTAGAATGAATTATGTTCTGCTCTGTCAACTCTCCTGAGACAAACCAACCTCTTTGATGCAGAAATATGATTCCAGCCGGACTGCCATACTCTTTACCTTGATCTGCATGCAGATATTTTTCTGATTCATCTGGACAGCTTTCTCGTCCATCACACTGAAGTCCCAGATGCAAAGAAGCTTGGCAGCGTTGCCCGAGTGCATTTGAGGCATCACAATGTTGTTACGGAAGGATTTTGCCATGCTGTAGTGACATGAGAGGGGCAAGGGGAAAGAGAAAGGACGGCACACCGCTTTAAGTACCTTTTCCGCAGCCACAATGGAAAAAGATTGCATAAATGTCATTTGGGATGTTATTTTTTCAATCTGGTTTATAATTTGCTCTGCGAATTGCTGACCGGGTGGCAGTAGACAGTCCCTGGCAGGGGCCCTAAAAGTTATATGCAAAAGCGTGATGTCTTGGTACTCAACTGCTTTGAAACTCATCAAATTTGGCACCGAATTAATTTTGACATGAACATTTTGTCCCGGTAACCATTGTTTGTTCGGTACTCCATGCACAAACTAGAACTTGTCGATATCAACTGCCTTGTGATTCACTACATTATTCCTTGTGGGGGAAAAATTATTTGGTACTCGTCGTTTTCGGTACTCGTCACTCCTCCCGGAAACTATTAAGGATGAGTAGTGACGTTACCACTGTACATACTTTTTTTCAATTTGATGGGATTCGGCAGAATTGGCTAATGCCTTGGTGGATTAGATCAGGGCTTTTCAACTGGTGGTACACTTGTTGTACTTTAGCACACCTGGCAGGTGGTACGCGAGCCCTAGGGGAGGGAACCAGCCAAAGCTGTGCCGCACAGACCTGGAAGAGATCAGCTGGAGCTGCAGGGCTAGGGAAAAGCCCCAGGATGTGCAAGCGTGTCTGCATGCTGATTGGAGCTTTTGGCACATCCAGAAGAGAAAAGGAGGAAGAGGAAGAGAGGAGAAGCTATAAAAGGAGGTTTTGGCGGGGGAGGAAAAAAAACACACGGAGAAAGAGAGAAAATAGAAGAGGCTCTTGTAAGCGAAGCGGTGAGGAGAGCATGAGCGAGCAGCCTTTGCGAGCGAAGAGTGTTGTGAATGGAGCAAGAGAGTTCCACTGTTGCAGTAGGAAGGAAGCATTAACACTGAACCTCAACTTTTCACTTTTCCATAATATTACCTAATATTACCTAAGCAAGGAAAGAAGCAACCTGGAACTAAGGAGAAACTTCCTGACAGTGAGAACAATTAACCAATGGAACAGCCTGCCTCCAGAAGCGGTGAATGCTCCAACACTGGAAGTTTTTAAGAAGAGACCGGACAGCCACTTGTCCAAAATGGTATAGGGTTTCCTGCCTGAGCAGGGGGTTGGACAAGATGACCTCCAGGGTCCCTTCCAATTTTATTATTATTATTACAAACTAGCTGTTTCTATAACAACAAATGAATCTAACCAGTAAAGCCCAAAATTCCCCCCAAGTTTTTGACACCTTGCTAAGCTCTGGTGGTACTCGAATAATGTCATGTCCTAAAAGTGGTACAATCTGTGAAAAGGTTGAAAAGCCCTGGATATGTGTGTGTGTGTGTGTGTGTGTGTGTGTGTGTCTGTCTGTGTGTGTGTGTCTGTGTTCCACTGAAAAGAAAACTACTCCACTAAGCTGAAAACATAAATTGTTCAGATTGGCTTTATTGCAGCTTATGTCAAGGCGCTCTAGCTTGTACTTAGGTCTCTGCCTGCACTGCCATTGTAGTAAATCAGCATTCTTAGGGCCCATTCTGTCTCCAAGGCAACTGCTAGGGAGAGTCTCTGTGCCCGGGTCCAATTACAAGCAACAGAATAATGAAACAAGGAAGAGAATTAAAAGAAGGGCCTAATGACATTTATTTAAAGAAGTAAATCGCTTCACCACACATGAAAGTGTAAGTTGCCCTGGCTGCTCCTTTTGCTTTTCATTCTTAAAAGAAAAAAGAAAAAAAAAAGAGCATCCATTTTAGGAGAGATTATCTGGAGGAGATAATCTACTAAACTTCTTGGGTCTGTAACCTTTAACTGAGTGAAACGCTGCATCGTAGGTTAACGGTTTTTGAATCTAGATGCCTCAAATGGGCTTCCTTAATACAAGGTGTCCAAAATCCAGGACTCCTATGTAACTGAAATTTGGCAAATTTTATAAAACATTTTATGCCGTAAACCAGAGGTCCCCAACCTTTTGGGCACCAGGAATCAGTTACGTGGAGAGAGGTTTTGCTGTGGACCGGAGGGTGCGTGGTTTTGTGTGCTGCCTGCATCCCACGGATGGGGCTTTGCTTGTTTGTGCAGACCGGTAGTGGGCATGCCGCGGGGGTTGGGGACCCCTGCTTTAACCAACATACCTGTAGATCAAGCTCAGAAAGCAGATGATAAAATAAATCCCGATTGTGAAAATGTAAGCCAGTTGCATGTAATATGGCGCGGCGTTCTCAATTTTTGCTATTGTGCCGTTGGTGTAAAAGCCATTGTAGAACACCGTGTTTGTAAAATAACCCTAGGGCGATAAAGAGAAAGCATCAGAATTCAAGAGGTCAGCAAAAGATTCTTCTTGACAGTATCCCTTGTCTAATACTTTTCCCTCGCCATAGACTTGCAGAGGTTCTCAACCTTGGCAACTTTAAGACTTGTGGATTTCAACTCCCAGAATTCCTCAGCCAGCAAAGCAAAGCTGGCTGAGGAATTCTGGGAGTTGAAGTCCACAAGTCTTAAAGTTGCCAAGGTTGAGAACCCCTGCCCATAGAGGCAGAGAAGATTGCATTGGTATTTAGCCTGTTTCACACTGAGCTTATTTTGTAATTTATTTATGTATTTGATTGATTTGATTGATTGATTGACTGGTTTGCTGCCCCTCCTGCCTCGAGGTAAAAGGAAGCTCCTTTTGGGACACTTCCCTTTAAACAGTCTTTCTTTAACAGGCAATTAGAGCCACATACCATACTAAAACATGCAGTGGTTTGCATGCTGGGCTTAGCATGTTGTATGAATCCAAACACTGAGGTGAGGGTGCTCTCTGAGAAATGTTTGCTTTCTTGCAGACATTTCATTACCCAAACTAGGTGATGACTAGGATTGATGAGGTTACCTGGTTTGGGTAACGAAACGTCTACAAGAAAACAGCCAAGCTCAGAGAGCACCAAGGAGCCCTCATTTCATCCCTGGCCACAAATATTTTCCTCTATTGCCAAAACTGAAGTCTATGAAAACTATGATTCAGGGCTTGGCAAGTCAAATGAATCCAGCCAACAGTGGCTGAATCAATAAACCACAAATAAACCACCAATCCAATTGGTTTATGAAAGAAAAAACAGAAAGCCCAGCTCTGTCTCTCTGTCTCTCTCTGTCTCTGTCTCTGTCTCTCTCTCTTTTTTTCTTTTTATAAACCCACGTACAGCTCCGGTCAAAAACTCCAGACTCGTGAAGGAAAGGTGATTTGGCTGGGCTGCGATGAGTTGAGGGATGGCAAGAAAACTGAAGTTGATCAGGAATGAGAAAACGTTGAACATGAGAAGCCACGTCAGGAAGACAAAGTAGGAATGGATGCTGGTCCCAAATTGGCTGCCAATGTCTTTGAGCGTTTTCTGCCAAAACCGGAAGAGCTGAAGGCAGTCGACAAAGCTGCTCTTTAACTGCCGGAAGGACTAGGAGAGGAAAAACAAAATAGCAAACAGGAGACTTGGTTAAATACAGCATCCAGTTCTGCTTCCAATAGCAGTTGATCATCTTTTCTATGAAGATCACCTTCGTGTGGTTTGCTTGACCCAATTTAATGAAGAAACCCTCACTGCTGGGCTACAGACTCTGCAATAAGCTGAATACCATCCAATTCCTTACTGATTCGATCACGTTTCTGATGCAAAATAACTCAGTCAGGCTTCATGATATATACTCTGGCTCACAAGGCAGGAAAAGCACCTGGAGATCCACATGAAGAGTAAACCTCCAGGCCAGCTTTGAGGCTTCCTCCTTCTAAAGTCAGGGCTTTCCAAACTTGGCAATTTTAAAACTTGTTGATTTTCACTCCCAGAATGCTGGCTGAGGAATTCCGGGACTTGAAGCCCACAAATCTTAAAGTTGCCAAGTGTTAGGACGTAGGTATGTAGATTGGGACAGAACACTAAGTTTGGAGACCCCTGTTCTAAGTCACTGCAGCATACTGGCAGTGATAGGCTACAGATCGTTCTTGACCTCCTCAAGGTCACGTGTTCAAAATTCAGACGCTTGGCAACTGACTCATATTGATGATGGTTGGGGTGTCCCAGGGCCACGTGACCTTCTGGCAAGCCAAGTTATTGCGAGAACCAGATTTACTTCATAACCGTGTTACTAACTTCACAGCTGCAATGATTTGCTTAATAGCTGTGGCGAGAAGAGTTGTAAAATGGGGCCAAACTCACGTAGCAAACATCTCACCTAGCAACATAAATTTGGGGACCCCTTGTAAGTCAAGAGCTACCTGTGCTTGGCTGGGGCTGTTGAGAGACTGAAGTCTAAAATACCAGGTGAGTACAGCCTGTTCACCTTTGCAACAGGTAATGTTCTTCTCCCTCTCAACAAGGGGTCCTTAGTGAACAACCTCACTCCTTACCAAAGCCGTGTTGTAAAAGCACTGGGTACAACAATTCAGATGAGCATCCTGTCTGTAGGATTTCTTTTTTTTTTCCGTTAGGACACGGTTCCTGTCAAAGAGCAAACAGCAAAATAATATTAGGCAGAGGGAGGGAAGCCAGCTCTTCAACCACTTCATTACCTCATTCTGAATTAGCAAGTCCAAAATACTAGCTTAACTAAAAAGTATAAAACTCCAGGAGTTGTTTTGAATCAATTTTTTTCCAGTTACATTCTCCTCCTTTCAAGGTAAGACTGACGTGTCCATTAGCAAAATGAAACCATGTGCACAACATGCTTATTTAAAGGTTTAAAGCAGTGGTTCTCAACCTGTGGGTCGGGACCCCATTTGGGGTCGAACGACCACTTCACGGGCGTTGCCAAACAATGCAGTCCGCCATTTTTTTCCCCCTTTTCCTTAGCTGTGCTACTCCCTTTTATTCTATTGGCTTTTGAAAGCCAATAGAATAGACTCTCTTGAATAGAGTCTAATTCTATTGGCTTTCAAAAGCCAATAGGAATTCTCCAGGCTGTTCCTGCCCTGCTGAGCCCGCCAAAAGTCCCATTCTGCAAATGGTGCTGCACTAGTTGAGTAGTCCTCGACTTACGACCGGTTGAGTAGTCCTCGACTTACGACCGGTTGGGGGTCGTGGCATTAAAAAGGTTGAGAACCACTGGTTTAAAGCCATTTGTCACCTAAATATAGAATATTTAGGAATTTTGTATCTATATCCACTTATAGAGTAGTTTAAAAGTTTTTATTTTCCATTTATTCATACAAAATACAATTAAATTCCTAACCATTGGTACCGCCTGCCCATTCCCCCCAGGCTGCGTCCACCCTCTCTAATCTTTCCCTACTTCCCTCCTCTTTCTCTCCTCCCCTCCTACTCTCTTCTCCTAGAGTAGTTGACAAAGCAAAGAGAAATCAGTTTCTACTTAAATCCAGAGGGAAAATTAAAGTGAGAACCAGACAGTATAAAAAAAAGATTTTTCCAGCTTTTCAATTAAACAATCTTTTTTTACGTTTAACAAAAATGTCTGCATGCAAATGTTTGCTAGGTATAACGTCCGAATGCAAATATACAGTACAGATGTTTTATGTATTTTATTTCCTTCCTAGATGCAGAGAAGAAAATAGAAGTGAAATAGTTACATTTAAAATGAGGCATTTTTAACCCTCCCACGTTAATTAAGTACCCTCAGAATACAAATATATGCTTGCTACCTAATTTCACGTTTTTCTTTCATTGATTTGGGAATCTTCTGGATTGCTTTAACTCTTTCATGGGTGGACATGCTTGACAGATCGTTGATTAATTTTTCTTCTGCAAAAATAAAGATGGCAACAAAATCAGGAGAGTGATGGGGTTCACGTATCCCAGGAAGCCATTATGATTCTGTTGATTTCAGATAAATTGCTTTGGGTGAACCATCCCATAAGTAAGAGGCAACAGAGCCCCACCCAACAAAACTAGAATATTTTGCATTCCAACAGTCAATAATTATAATAACAGCAATCAAGTTCTTGATGAGCCTCTAAAATTTGAAAAAGTATACGGAAGACCGCAGAATTAAATCCAATAAATAAATAACTCACCTTCTTTCCTCTTTGCTTCCATATATTCTGGGTCTAAATGAAGCAAGTTGGGCCTTGCAAAAGTTGCATAATTGTGTCGCCTGCTACGCCTCTGGACAATATTAACTGTAATAAAGAATTTACCGTATGCAGGTTTCAATGAATAAGGCACAATCATTACATGCATAAGCAGAAATGTTTGCCTTCCTAATCTAGAACTGCCCAGTCAGTTCGGTGCATGACAGCCAGTACATGAATTGCCTTAAATCTCACCTCTCTCTGATGCATCTGAATAACTGTCTGCATCCTGAATATCGACAGCACGGCTGGTAGTAGGTAATATCCCTTCAAGTTCTGGTTCATACTCAAAAGAAGGATTAACTGATGAAAAAGAAAAAAAAGAAAAATAGAGAATGAACTGTTTCCTCCTCTTGTATTGCATACAAACTGAAATCATATATCTTCTTAATCTAAGTTTCTTAATCCGTGATAGACTTAGTAAGCCACAGTGGGCTACTCTAAATCGTAAGCTACGGTTTGCAAGCCCAAATGGTTGGATTCATAAAACATGCTAAACCACAAACAAGCTAATCACACTTTATCGTAGCCTAACATATGAACCCAGCCACCAAAAATGAGGGGTATCTAGGCTATAGCAATTCCAACTGACAGGAGAGGGGTTTTTTTTACATGCAGGGAAATATGTACAGTATATGGCACAACATTAAGTCATGGGAATCTCCCCCCAATTTGAAGTGGTCTAACCCAAAACAAAACTGGCTAGTTCATTACAACAACAGACATAGCCTACTTCATGAGATTCATGCTGGCAGACTTAGACTCAGAAGCGTTCGGATCATTGCTCCAAACATTAAACAAAAACTGCCTATCCCTGACTTAGACAGTACAGATATAAACTTATTTCTATACCGTAGACCAGCGCCCCCCAATATTTTGGGCACCAGGGACCGGTTCCTTGGAGAGAGGTTTTTCTGTGGCCCGGAGGGGGCGTGGTTTTGTGTGATGCCTGCCTGCATCCCACGGATGGGGCTTTGCTTGTGGATCAGTGCGGCCCGGTGCTGATCCACAGACCGGGGGTTGGGGACCTCTGCTGTAGACACTTCAAAACTATCTGCTTTGTTATCTATATATTCAATGGAGCTGCATACCATATTCCTTTCCATGTGGGTTTGTTCTGGGCAATTCAAACCCATAATCGGTTGGTGGATATTTGGTCTCGTCTGGACTCAGTACTAATCTCAGAGGTATCAGAACTGGTGAATTCTGTCCTTGTCCTCCTTCCTTGTCGTCGTCCCCAAAGGGGGCGTAAGGATTGTCTGGACGGTGTGTACTTCTTTGAGAAGGTCTTCTGCAGAACAAACAAAAAATTATAAACTTTTAATAAACTTTTATTGTCATTGTATGTGTATACACAGTATACACATACAGCGAAATTTATGTGACATCTGAAGACCAGGTCCCACACACATAATCCCCAAACACACTCCCACCCACCACAATTCCCCACCCCTAAAACCGCCCAAACATCCACCCAACAGACCAATATAAGAGTAATAATAATTCTTGTCGACTGTAAACTACTTGTGCCTGAAGGTGCAGAGCACTCACTAAAAAATACACAAACAATAAATTAATTTAAAAATACCGGTCTCTGGAGTGTCGAGCCACTGCATATACATGCGCTGCCATGTTGATAGGAAAAGGAGGAAGGAGTGTTAGGTAGGTTGACTGCCTTGAGTTATTTTTAAAAATAACCAAGGCTGGGTTTAAAAAATATGAGTTAAAAATCTCTATCCAGATTCCTTCTAGGCACATACTGTGTGCTGACTGTAAACTTACAACTTGTCGATTTCCAAGGTTTCGGAATAGTGATAGTCAGGATTTTCAATGATGTCATTGTAAGGAACAGACATGATGGATCCAGGTCCTGGCCTTTGTAGGAAAAGAGCCCTTGGGAGATTTACTTAGATCATCTCAGTGCTGCCAATCTCATCCTGAAACTATTTTAAAAGAAACAAACAACACGGATGTTATGGCTGGAGAGTTGCGTATTTTGCACCACACAAGAAAATTCATCTGACAGGTATAAACACTAGATAACTTAGTACAGTGTCATATAAATTAATTATTACACTACCACATCATCCTTTTGCTCAGAGACTCCTTTTGTTGGTATGCACCATATCATATGAGTATCACAGGTCTCTTGTTTACAGGCTTTTCTCCTAATCACGTCCTGTAATCTAGTTGTAAGAATATTATTCTCACCAAGTGATGCGCTTCAACTTATCCAGAAACGAATCGCCTCCGATGACTTCTGCACCGCTCAAATATCACAGAGAATGCTTGAAAATTCAGAGAGGCACTGAATTTGTTTAATGGACTCAGGGAAATGCAAAGGCCTTTGTGATTTTTCACCCTGGCGTTAAGAGACGAAGGTCGGTTATTTGCATGTTGGAAAAAAATGCTTATGTTAGCTACATAAACAGCAAATTTCTAGATAGTCATCTAGAAATAGCTGGCAATTACAACATAGAATTTATTACACTGAGCATAATAAAATGTATTCTACTTTTATCTGATGTCAAGGTACTTCTCTTCTACTTCACAACTAAGTTCTTTACAACTACTTACATCCCATCACAGAAAAACAACTGTGATTGTTTTCGTGCTTCTCTACAACAGTTTGATGTTCTTTTTATTATTGCATTTTATTTATTTACTATTAAATTTCTATGATATAAATTTATTGGAGTTTAATGCAGCAAGTACTATTTTATGTTCTATAAGAAGCCACCACTGTGATTTATTTAACAAACCATGTTAAAATAAACTAAAGTTTAGAGATTGCATCTGATATTTTACTTTGTTTCATCAAGCTTTGGGGCTTTTTACAAATGTTCTTTCTTGGCCTTCCTGTAGAATTGTAATTATTTATATTAAACAAATTTATAGGGCTGCTCAACTCACACATAGTGACTTTATCTATTCTGATGGTAGAGATTTTGTTTAGATTGATCTTTTCACTGAGATCATGTTTTCATAGACTACGTTAAACTGCTTTGAAATTCTATCCAGGTTGAAAAGAAAGGACAAATTGTTGCAGAAGTCTGAAAAAAACTTGTATGGTTCTTAAAATTCTACCCCAATTGTATGAATGTTAAAAGGTATCGTACCCGTATATTTTAAAAAAGCACTCACCACTTCCACCATGCACTAAATTATTCTTGCAATAGCTTCTCAGATGACCCTGAGGTAGAAAGGTAAAACTGATCTGGCTTTGGTCCCAGTTCCACTTTATAATTTAATGAGACATATTGTTTTCACAAAACTTATTTGCAAGCTCCTTTATAGCACAAGAGAAAGAAACTCAAATAGCCTTAAAAATAATAATACACACTGGCTCACTGCCACTGCATCAAGTTTATATTTTGCAAAAAAAGGTAAAGCAATCTTTGCAAAAAGCTGTATAAGGCTGATGCCACTTCAAGAGCAGAAACTGTGACTTACTTCTCATTGATTAGTAAATTTGGATTATACAGTTTCAAATGAGCTGCATGGAGACAGACAGACAGACAGAGAGATAGAGACAGAGATAAGCAGCATGTTGGATAGACCCAGATTCAGTTCTAACTGCCAGCTTCCCCCCATAGTCAAGTAATTGCATTTGGGGTGCTTGGCAACCAGCCAACATTTACCACCATTTGCAGAATCTCGCTGACACGGGATCACAATTAATGGCATTTTTTGCTAAAAACCAGCCTTTAGTTGCAATTTCCAGCAAAAAAACACCAATTGCGGACAATGGATTAGCTTATTGACTGCCACCAAAAAAGTCATCAAAACAGGCATGGTCACATGATAACCTAGTTAACAACCAGAACGACTTGCGACCAGAACACTGGGCTCAATTACAGTTGTATGTCAAGGCTTATGTGTTACTAAGGAACCCAACAAACAAATCATTGATAGGATTGGAACACTGCCATGTCCAAAGTCAGTCAAAAAGAAAAAAAGAAATGTTCTCATCTGATGCTTGATGTTTATCAGTAATGATCCTGTGATGGGTACAGGTAAGAAATACAGGTGTGCCCCTGTATATTAAACCAAGCGTGTCCAACTCATTGCCCTGGATAGCTAAGAATGCGGTCCCACAAGTTCATAAACTTTTATTATGTGATGATATTATATGCATTAACTATATTATATATTTTATATGCTACCCAAGAGAATTCGTCTTCACTCAACACAGCCCAGGCAAGCCGAAAGGTTGGACACCCATGAACTAAAATTCATGAAGATCACTTGAAAACACACAGATACAGATTTGCATAGCTAAGTGCATTTAAATCCCTTCCATTTCTATAGAAATTAAGCCCAATTATTTATTTAAGTGCCCCACCTGAGATGTAAACATTGCAACTAACTGATAATGCCCTCTGTGTGTTTGAAAGGTTACTGTAATAAAATAATATTGATAGAGTTACTGCTCGGTATATATAACCCTTAGAATTTTATTTGTATTTTATATCCGTTTACATCCGAAAACACCAGGAGGAAATGAATTAATGTTCTTGCTGTTTAAAGTTACCCAAATTCACTAGGAAAATGTAATTCCTATACTGTAGTCTCAATAGGAAAAAAAAATCAACCCATTACTAGCTTGTGAGATAATCAGAAATTACTGGGGAAATTATTAAAAAGACTACCCTATATTTTTCAAGAACTTTAGCAAATCTTTCAGCATTAATAATCCTTAATCCAACTTGTCAGATCACTTTTTCCCCTAGTCTTCCCTGGTCCAATAAATTGCATTTACTTCCTTATGAATGAAACCCTTGAAAGTTCCTCGTAAAATTATTATGCAGTACCAAGACTTTACAGTGGAGAACAAGAGAAAAGCTTCAAGAATCTTTTTAAAAAGAAAAAAATAAATAGCTAATTTAAAAGGCCAACACTTCAACAGATAGCTGTCATAGTCGCACAACATACTTATATAGTTTGAACAACTGAGTTTTGGGGATTATTCATAACATGAACACAAGGACAGAGTTTGCACGATGCACAGATTTAGCTTGTATATGGTTTTAAGAACTGGACTTGGGAAATTAGGATTTTCAGAATAATCTTAAGGGTACTTATTGACTGAAGTCTTGCAAAATCATGGCTTGTTTTAACCATAATTCGCTGAATAAATTTTATCAATTAACAAATGACGTACTTTAGTTCATGCTAAAACAATGATTTGCAATCAGTGTCTAGGTTGGTACATTAAAGTAAGTCAAGTGGTTTTACACAAATTGCACACAATTAGGAATTCTCACAGCCTAACCAACCTTGCCACACTGTTGAGCAGAGAAAACAGCACCAAGGGATTAAGCATGAATATCCCCTAGAACTGCTTGGAGAAAGGTTGGGAGATAAAAAAAAATGAAATAGGTGAGAAAGAAGAGAAAATATTGTCTATCCCTCAAGGAAGAATAAAACATGTATTTTGTTTTTTCTAAAAAAAAAGGGATATCCTAGAAATGGAGGAACAGAATGAAGAAATGCAGGAAACAATATCCCTGCAAAGAGAAATGTTGGTCTCTGGATTTGGCAAAGCAAGGAATTAACAGAAGACAAAATAATGCCCCTTACAAAACAACAGTGCTGGGAAGGACGAGGGGTGACATGGTAGCAGTGTTTCAATATCTAAGGGGCTGCCACGAAGAAGAAAGGGCCAAACCTATTCTCCAAAGGTCCTGAAAGCAAGACAAGAAGCAATGGATGGAAACTAATCAAGGAGAGAAGCAACCTAGAACTAAGGAGAAACTTCCTGACAGGGAGAACAATCAACCAGTGAAACGACTTGCCTTCAGAAGTTGTGGGTGCTCCATCACTGGAGGTTTTTAAAAAGGGATTGGACAACCATTTGCCTGAAACGGCGTAGGGTTTTCTGCTTGAGTAGGGAGTCGGACTAGGAAGTGACTTCCAACACTGTTATTCTGAGCTATCCTGGTAGGAAGTCTTAAAGTTACTTACTTTTCACAGGATCAGTATAATCTTAAGATTCCTTGGCTGGCACCACCATCAACATTTGTTCAGATCATCTCATCTTTGTGTGTCCTCGTTTTCTTGGAAAAAGTTGGTATAAGATCCTGGGGAAGAAGAGAGAAAAGGAAGAAGAATTCTTCTTCCACAATGTATCTTATCTTTGGAACCGTGCTGGAGGAAATGCTAGCACCTGAACCGCAGTTGCCAACTCACCCAAAGTCTCAGAAATTCAATCTTTGTCCTGCAGGGTACACACACTCATTTGCAGTTTACAGAGAGGTGTGTGTGTGGGGGGGAGGAATTAACTCACCTTGCTGCAACCAATCCTAGGCAGCCAACCTGAGATCAAATGAAGTGGATTCTTCTGATCATAAATTACCCTGCCTTGGGCTGTTTTTGCTTGTGTCACCATAGTTTTACATATTTTGATTCACTTTGGATTTTTTTTCTACACTGCTGTGCTATTGCGATTAGAGAAGGGAGCATTATTGTTGTTAACAGGTTTTGCCACCTGTTCACTTTCAATCTTTCACTTATTGGCAAATACGCCAATAAGAGGGTCTTTAGCTGGACAGTTTTAGTCTTCACTGTCTTAAGTCCAAAGGATGTTTTGAATTTTAAGGAAGGCCTGAATTACAAGAAAAGCCATAAATTAATCATGGAGGCCTCACCGAAAGTACTTTTTGTATTACTCACATTTCAATTGTCCATATTGTTACAGGAAGCTAACAATGTGTATATTACTGGCAATTAAGTTTCTAGGAAAAGTAGAAGCTGAAAGTGTTTGTCTAGTTCAGAACAGACAAATCTTGCTATTCAATGAACACTTGATTTTCATGTCATAAGACCTTATAATAAGTCAGTAAATCTCTAAAATGCCCTAATCCTGTCTCCACAATTTGCGGTTACAGACTACAATGGCCTGCCTCTCACATCCCAATAAACCATACTTTGGCTAACCCTAGTTTATTGAGGTCACCACAAACAACCCACATTTTACTTAGTGCAATGGATGACACAAGCCTGGCTTAAACCTGGAGAAAACAATTACATAACCATACAAGAAATTACATTTTTCTAGGTACAGATTCAAAAGGATGAAAGCCTGGATAGCTTCTGTCTGAGACTCTGGACAATCTTGGTTATCTTATCTGATGTAAAGGATACTAGAAGCCGTAGTTTCAGTGTCTGCAAGGCCAATGACTGGTCAACTCTTGTCTTAATGGCATACCTGGCGTCAGTTCCTTCCTGGAAGCACAACGTAGTGGTAGTGATCACATGCAATCCTTGTCTTATGCTAAGACAAGCATTGCTAAGGCAATGCTAGAGTCAAAATAAAATATATGACATTGACCAAGTGCTCAAATTTTGATCACACAACTCTGGCGATGCTGCAACAGTTTTAAATGGAAGGCCATTCATAAGTTATTTCTTCCAGTCCTGTTGTAACGTTGAACAGTCGGTAAGCAAATGGTTGTAAGTTGAGGATCACCTGTACAAAAACTTTTAAAATCAGAAGGAAAAACTCTGCTTTAGTGTTCTCAGCTACTGACCCGCTTTTAGTTCAAGCAGTCCTCTTTTATTTTGAAACTTTTCAAACATCACAGCCAGAAAGCCAAGTGCTGAAAGCCAATTGATAAGACCAGATAATACAGACACTGACTAGAATGCTGTGAACTGAACTTTTGTTAAAATATTCAAAGCTCATGTTTACCTTTAGCAAACATAAAACATGTGATGAATGGAAAGTGGAAAATGCAAGTATTGTTTTTCAAAGAATGAAGTCTCGAGAATGCAAATGTGGATGGGAAAAAAAATTGTCCAAATTAACAGTTCCTGCTGTTAAAACACCTGTGCAATTAAAGCACAGCAACAACACGACTGGAATTATTTTTGAAAACCCTGTGAAATATTTTGCTGAATACAAATGGAAAAGATGATAATCCTCATTATCCTATAAAGGCCTTTAGTGATGGAATCTATCCTATAAAGGCCTTCCTTTAGTAATGAGGATAATCAAAAGGGAATAAAATCAACTTCACAAAAAGGTATTCATTCAGTAGCAGAAAGGGAATAATAAATGTTAATAAACTGTAAATCGAATTTACAGATGAAAAAGGCTTTCATCTGTAGGAGGAAAGGGAACAGTATCAAATTCAGATAGGAGATGGCAGTCATCAGATTAAAAAAGATCAAATGTAGAAATGAGATTTTCATTCACCATGAAATAAACCAGAATTTACAGAAAAGGTTTTCCCTTCATCTAACAATCAAGAAAAATAAAACTGAATTTGCAGAGGGAAAAAAAGACATTAAACTGAGAAGGTAAAAAAAAATAAGTTCAAAGAAGAGAAAGGCATGCCTTGACTTAAAACACCTCTAATTTACTTAAGAAAAAAAATGCTATTAACCAGATCATTGAATGAAAGGAAGTTGAATTTCCACAAGATCTTATTCCTCAAAAGGTGAAGCGAAATAAAACAGAAAAAAAGCCAAATAAATAATTCCCCACGGTGAGATGGGTGACAAATAAATTTAACAAAAAAAATACAAAAAAATAAACAAAATTGATTTTACTGAGGAGGAAAAAAAGGATTTCATGTCACGAAGAAATGGACTATAATCTTGTCTGAAATGATATAGGGTCTCCTGCCTGGGGAGGGGGCTGGACTAGAAGACCTCCAAGGTCCCTTCCAGCTCTGCTCTATTCTATTCTATTCTATTCTATTCTATTCTATTCTATTCTATTCTATTCTAATTCCCATATTCTATTCTATTCTATTCTATTCTATTCTATTCTAATTCCCATATTATTCTATTCTATTCTATTCTATTCTATTCTATTCATGGGAAAGTTTTTTAAAAAATCAGATTAATAGCAGAGAATGCCATTTATCACGGAATAACGTCGCGTGTCTAGAAGAGGGGTCTATTTATTCATGGGGACGAGAAATAAAAAGAATTTCCAGACGAAAAAAGGGGGAAAGGAAGGGGCCCAACCAGGACCCCCGGCCTGGCCCAGGGCCCGAACCCCGAGACGGATCCGCCCCGCCCCGCCCCGCCCCGAAGGCCTCCCCGGCCCGGAAGCGCGGCGGCGGCGGCAGCGGCGGGGGTGGAGGAGCTAGGCCGGGCCGGGCCGGCAGGAAAGCGCGGGGAGGCGCGGCGGGAGCCGGCTGGCGGAGGCCATGAGCGGGCGGCGGGGCTCGGAGAACCCGGGCAGCAGCGGCGGTGGGTCGGGGCTGCCGGGAGGGGGCGGGAGGGAGGCTTGGGAGGCTCGAGGGAGGCGGCACTTTCCTCAGAAGGAGCCCCCTTGGGTTGAGGGGAGGGGGGGTCGCAGGCATCGAAGGCCCTGGCCCTTCCCCATGGGTCTCCCATCCCCAGTTTTGGTGGTCTTCACCCCCAACTCAGGTTCACAGGGGTCTCCTATCTCCCATTTAGGTTTCTGGTGGTCTCCTATCCCCAACCCAGGTTCCCAGGGGTCTTCCATCCCCAGTTCAAATTCCTGATGGTCTCCCATCCCCAAGCCAGGTTCCCAGGGGTCTTCCATCCCCAAATCAGATTCCTGGTGGTCTGCCATCCCCAATTCTGGTTGCTGGTGGTCTCCCATTTCCAGTCCAGGTTCCCATGGATCTCCCACCACAACCCAGATTCTTGGTGGTCTCCCATCTCCAAATCAAGCTCCTGGTGGTCTCCCATCCCCAACTCAGATTCCTGGTGGTCTCCCATCCCCAATTCAGGCTGCTGGTGTTCTCTCGCTTCCAGTCCAGATTCCCAGTGGTCTCCTATCCCCAATCCAGATTCTTGATGGTCTCCCATTCCCAAACCAGGTTCCCAGTGGTCTCCCATTCTTAACCCAGATTCTAGTGGTCTCCCATCCCCTATTCAGATTCTTGATGGTCTCACATCCCCAATTCAGATTCACAGTGGTTTCCCACCCCAGATTCCAGCTGGTCTCCCATCCCCAACCCAGGTTCTTGGTGGTCTCCCATCCCCAACTCAGGTTCCCAGTGGTCTTCCATTCCTGACCCAGATTCCTGGTGGACTTGCACCCCAACCCAACTTCTTGGTGGGCTTTCATTCCAAACCTAGTTTCAGGCTTGAGCTCTGGAGCCACCTGGAGTCTAGCTCCCCTGCAAAGAATTTTTATTTCTAATTCTGAATTTACATGGTAGGACTTAGGAATCTAAATTCGAATCACGATGATTAGAGTTAATACTTACCTCTTTGAAACCTAATTGGGTGAGATTCATGCTCTGGGTGTTTGCAACTGAGTCCTAAAATGACAGGCACTTGCTCTTTAGCTGTTGCAAGAAAGGGTTTAAACAATGACAAAGATAATCTTTGGTAAAGATAACTGACCAGGTACCCTCCAGGGACTTGAAGTCCAACTTTGATAAGCTCCAGCTAGCATTATCAGCATGGTAAATGCAAAACTTTTTAGAATTCCTTGGAAATGCTGAGAACAAAGCTTTAAAAATATCATTAGACATCCGGCATTTAATTGGTCAAAGTTAGACCTACTGCTAAACCATAATGGTGAGTTTGTGAATCATTGTTCTGTGTGAAGCAAACCTGTAGGGCTTGTTCAAGAAATTGTGACTAAACAAACTTAGCTTAACATGCTTAAACCAGCCAATGAGCTTCTCTATGTAGCAAAATGACACAGGTCAAATTGGGTTTGTCACCTATCTTTCTCGTCCTCCCCTCAATAATTTCTCAAGTGTTTCTCTTGATTTCTTTTTACTCTTCATGGGAGGGGGGTGTGTATCTAAAATAATTGGAGTTTGTGAGGTCCTTGGTGCTCTCTGAGCTTGGTGGTTTCCTTGCCAATGTTTCATTACCCAACTAGTGCACTGATGATGTTGCCTAGTTGAGTCATTAAACGTCTGCAAGAAAACCACCAAGCTCAGAGAGCACCAAGGACCCCACAGTTCAACCCTAAGTTACAGATATTCTACCAGTAATTGGTGTTTATTTATGTCTTGCAATGATGGGGCTTGAGTTTTTTTTTAAAAAAAAAATACACGGTATCTATGAAATGTTATACATGTAGCCCAGTTGTGTGCGCACCTCTGTTGTCATTGAAAAGCAAGCTAAAAAAAGCAGACCTTTTCATGGTGAGCAATTGAGCACCTGGAGGAAGGTCTCATGCTACGAATGATAAAGGTCATTTATGATTTTTCTGGCAGATGTTTTTCTTCCTGACCCCCATGTGCCAGCGGTAACTTTCCTCCAAGAACTGCCCAGTTACCAGTCTATGCGGAGAAGAAGATTAGTAACCGGAAACGTAGGCAACTTCCGCAGTTTAGCGCGATCGGCTTCTGGAGAGACCAGGAATCTCATCCAAGGAACGGAATCAAGAAATGTCAACCCGGAACGTCCACTGAGGGAATGTGCCTTGCCAATCGCGGAGAAGAGACGTTTAAGGTTTAAATGGAAACACTGCAAACTGTAGAAAGGAGTGGGCCCTGGGCAATGGCGGGATTCAAATATTCTCTGCATGGATGCCATGTCCGGAAGTCCATTCTGGGCCTGGGCAACAAAAAATTAGCTACCGGTTCTGCTGAAGTGGTGCGAACCAGCTGAATCCCACCACTGGCCTGGGGTCCCTTTCTATTGGTTAAAACAAAAATAAAAAAACTATTTGGGTATTTGGCAATGGATTATAGGGGAGATCTCAGTGCCATTAAAAAGGCGTCATGGCTCAGTGGTTAGAGACGCTGAGCTTGTCAGTTGGAAAGCTGACTGCCTGGCTTCCAGAACTGTGTGCCGCACAACGAGATGGACGATTCTTCCTTCCCCAGCTCTGGTCCACCTAGCACGGGTAGGCCACCTTGGCTCTTTTATGACTCGTGGACTTCAACTCCCAGAATTCGTCAGCCAGGACTTCTGGGAGTTGAAGTCCACGAGTCATAAAAGAGTCAAGGTTGCCTACCCCTGACCTAGCACTTTGAAAGCAAGCAGATGCGAGTAGATAAATAGGTACCACTTAAGTGGGAAGATAGCAGCCCTCTGTGTGTGCCCCAGCGGATAGTCAGTGTCTTTGGACAACGCTGGCGCTCTTGGCTAGGAAACAGAGATGAGCACTGTGCCATAGACAGCTAGACAGGGGAAAACTTTACCTTAAGTGCCATTTGTAAAAAAAGAGTAATCCACAGCTTGAAGCTTGCAGCTCTGTTTAAATGTGCCTTTGCTTGGAGGATGAGCATTCATATTTTCCAAAGCTGCCTGCTGTCTTTCAAGCTGTTTCCCACAAAAAGGGTATATGGCAGTGATGGGATTCAGCCAGTTCACACCAGTTCGGCAGGACCGGTAGCTAATTTTTGGTTGCCCAGGCCCAGAGTGGACTTCCGGAAGCATCATCCACACAGAGAACCGGTTGTTCACCTATTTGAATCCCACCACTGGCATATGGGCTGTGTTTGCCAGCCTAGCAAATCACTGAAAATTTCAGGAACGCATTCGCACATCATGCTTTAAGAGAGCTTTTAATATTTAGGTTTCATAATTCTCATAAGGGGGCTTTAAGACATCATGATTTTGTTGCAAACTGCGATTGGGGAGTTGGCAGCATATATGAATGGTACCCCGTATTTTTTAAAAATATGCTTTATGGAAAAGAAACAGTTGGGGAGATTTTCGGAACTGGCTGAGCCATAAATCTTGATAAAATAACTGCTGTTGCTGCATTTGCATAATCCTGTAAAAACCAAAGAAATCAAGTTATGCTTAGCGTAATGTAAAAATTACCTAACCTGTATTCTGCTCATTCCAAAGTGAAGATGAGATGCCTGTAAGATGTTTGTTTTTCTGAGCAGGGAGCTTGAGGAAAAACACATCCAAGCCCAGTCAAGGTGGAATCAATGGAAGAAAGCAACTAATAAATCACTAAAAAGAATTATGGAGAATATCAAAGAATTAATCTCTTATCTGGAATTGTGGAGATACGACATCCATAGCATTGAGGGTAAGTCTTATTTATGGCTTTTGCACTTTGTTACATTGCTTCTTAGCTGGCAGATGTTGCCATATAGAAAGATACGTGGGGTCCTTGTTGCTCTCTGAGGTTATTTCCTTGCAGTCTTAGCTAAATAGTACTGATGATGTTACCTCGTTTGGTAATGAAATGTCTGCAAAAAAAACAAAACAACCAAGCTCAGAGAGCACCAAGAACTCCACAGTTCAACGCTGAGCTACAAATATTCTCTTTTATGAATACTGGGAAGATGTTTTGGTATCTGAAGGAAGATTTCCCAGATCGTTTACTATCATCCTATTTGGATGTTGAATATGGAATAACGCAAGGGGCCTCTCCCCAAAATAGGAATAAGTGATCATTTCACACGCAAAAGATTGCTTTTTTATTAAAAGACGACAATAAAAGTGTAGTTAACTCAGCACAAAAGATTAATGATGTCTCTTGAGTATCTCCAGAAAGAACATCCTAAAATCTGGGTGCCCCAGTGAATTATATTTTATTTTATGGGTGTCATTTAGAAGAAACAACCCTAAAACAGGGCTTGTTTGACCAAAATTTATTTAATTAACCATAATCAATTGGTTCATGGAGTTAGGTTAAGGCACAAACCGTGATGGGGCAGGCCACAATTGGCAGACAAAGCTGCCCCAGAAGGCAAATCAACTAAGGGGGCTGTGAGTCACGTGAAGTGACCGGTTGACTGCCTTCCTACTGAACGCTGTCATTAAATGATTAATTTGTGCAAAGCTAAAATATTTCTCTCTCTTTCCCATAGAGAAATTTGGCACTGGGATCAAGTCCTACTTCTCTTTCTTGCGCTTCCTGGTGGTGTTAAATGTTGTCATTTTCCTTCTCCAGTTCAGCTTTATCACCCTTCCCACTGCTCTCGTTAGACACGGAGTTGTTAATGGCAGCTACGTGAAAGTTCTCCCAGAAACAGGTAACTCAACCTTCTCTGAACCCTGTGGTGGGATTCAAATAGGTGAACAACCGGTTCTCTGCATGGATGCCGCTTCCGGAAGTCCAGTCTGGGCCTGAACAACAAAGAATTAGCCACCGGTTCTGCTGAACTGGTGCGAACCGGCTGAATCCCACCACCGTCTGAACCCCTTTCCAGCACACGATCAGCAGTAGTCCTCAATTTACAACCATCCATTTAGCGACCATTTGAATTTAAGAACAGCCATAAAAAATGACTTAGGATTGGTCCTCGCATTACAACCATCACAGCATCTCCCATGTGATCAAATCTGAAGGTTGCAGCGTCCCAGGTCACGTGATCCCCGTTTGCGACCTTCCCAGCCAGCTTCCAACGAAGCAAAATTAGTGGGGAAGCCAGATTCTCTTAAGAACTTCAGTGATTTGCTTAAAAAGAGAATAAAATTGAGGGTAGCTCACTTAACGGTCAGCAACGGAAATTCCGATCCCAATTGTCATAAGTCGAGGACTGCCTATACTTGACTGTGGAGAAACGGGCTACGCTCGATAAAAGCTTTTGGGCAGAATATTCAAGTTTTTTTGTTCCTTCTAACGTTTCTGTTTTTGCTCCACATGTTGTTCTTTAGATCCAGAGTGCACCGTTTATGCAATCAGCAACACCAAGGGACTGGTCTACTTCTACAGTTATATTATAGATCTGCTATCTGGCACAGTGAGTACTTGACTATAAATTTTCTACAACTTTTTGCCTTTTTTTTTTTTAAAACAAGTTCCTGGATCCAATCTGGGTCGGTCACTGGAACCAGAGGTTTTTGGTCTTCTGAGGTTTCAGATTCGTGCTTGGAGCCCACCTTCAGGGAACTTCTCTCTAGCCAAGTTCCTAGTCCCTTCTGATTAAAAAGCCATTCCTTTTCACAAGTCTTCCCTATTGTTCCCAGTTGTGTGTGATAGCAGTGATGGCGAACCTTTTAGCGACCGAGTGCCCAAACCACAACCCAAAACCCACTTCTTTATCACAAAGTGCCAGGGCTGCATTAGCATTGTGGTGTCCTCAGGGGGGCATGGGGGCGTGACAAACTGGGTGGGCGTGGCCCACTGGATGGGCATGGCTGCAGTTGTCATGGCAGACTGGGTGGGCATGGCTGGGGTGGGCATGGGCGTGGCCCACTGGATGGGCATGGCTGCAGTTGTCATGGCAGACTGGGTGGGCATGGCTGGGGTGGGCATGGCCACCTTGATGTTGCTCATGGGGGACGCCTGTGGGGGCCGGGCAGGGTTGGGGGAGATCCAGAGGGTCTCTGGCATGTGGGGTGGTGGGCGGAAGGCCCAGCATAGATGGGGGGAGGCACGCAATCCTAGCTGGGACTGGGGCTATGGCATCAATGGGGATCTGGCTTTCCCTGCTCGGGGTGGCCTTTGGCCGCTGGCAGTGGCGGCACATGTGCCCACAGAGAGGGCTCTGAGTGCCACCTCTGGCACATGTGCCATAGGTTCGCCACCACTGTGATAGCATATCTAGATGTGTTTTCCCTTTCATTTCCAGGGTTGAAAAAAAAATTCTACCTCTACCTCTATTGCTAAAACAAAGAGAGACCGGTTTTGCTTGAGGCTGGGACTAGCCCCGATTCTTTTCCCCATCTCTGCAACATTCTTTGACCTCCTTCAGTCTGGCTCACAGGAATAGACATTAAGCCATACTGGGACTTAGTTAATGAACCACTCTTAGCTAAGTGTCTTGCCATGCTAAGATAATGGGAGAACAGTGATCGGGAATCCTTTTTCCCTTTCCACAAATAAGAGGAGAAAAAAAATCAGTAGTGTCTTTTCTCTGTAACCAGTTTGCAAAATTAGCCAACAGACACTTGCAGCTCATAAAACATTTTAACAGTAAACGGTGTGACTCGGAAAAGATGCAATCAAGACTCCTGATTTTTATTTTATTTTATTTTATTGCTTTCAGAAATTAACGCACGATTGCTGCGCTACAGTATGTCAAAAGGGGTATTTAGCCACCTGGCTAAATTTGTTTGTCAATTCCTCCGCAGGAATACACTTAGAAAAAGTGAATTGCGTCAGGCTTCACTTGCGAATCTTTTATCTTTATTCCCACCTGAAGTCCTTAAGATAAAGAGGATGACACCAGCTCCCTAATCTTAACACCTGCTAAAGGCATGGGGCAACGACAGCACACCACAAGCAGTGTTCTCGTAGATAAATTGCAAAAGATAGATCACTTCTCTGCAACCCCATTTTTTTTTAATTCGAGATCATCCTGAAGTATAATTTGCTAGGGACCCTATCTTATTAAAAAAAAATGCCTCTGGCAGATGGTCTGCCATCTGAAGCTGTGACCAGGTGTTATTTTGTTTTTATTTAAGAAACAAAAGAATTTATACTTTGTGCTTAAGAGTGAAAAATATGGAAAGGTGATAGAAGCTCCTAAACAGAATTTCAATCTTGGCATAGGGCCCCAAATCCTAGGAAGATGCTGTACGGCCAGTGGGCCATTGCTGATCTTCTTAGAGTTCTTGGCAAGCTGGAAAGATGTGAATGTGTACATCTTTTTTTCTCTGTAACTCTTTTATTTATTCGTTTTAGACATTTCATCCTAGATTGAGCCTATAGTTTCTGAATCCTAAAGAACCTGCTGTTTTCAGCAGGCAGCTGGGTGGCCACACGTTGGATTCGCACAACATGCTATACTAACCCTAGTTTATAAGCCATTAGCTTACAGATCACTTCTCCTTGCCTCTTGGAATCCTTCATTGTGGTTGTATATAAGAATTAAGATGGATTTTATGCGCATATGCTGGTCGGTAGACGTAATACAGTCCTACTGACTAGCCCCTATGTTTGCAGCCAGCGGTTGCTTTTTTTTTTTTTTTTTTTTTGGGACAACATGCTAAGAAATCAGACTATGGCTTAATTCATTGCACAAACAGTCTGTTGCTGTTGGATTTTTGAATGAGCCAAAGATAGAGGGGGAACAAAAATGGCTTGTATAGGCTGCAACCTAATAACCATTGATGGTTTCAGATGGCTGTGTTGAGCGTTCAGCCACTTTTCTAAAGCATGACCGTTCCCCGTGGCGAGTCTGAATGAACTAGCTTGACCTTCCTTTGTTGAATTTTGTTTGCAGGGTTTTCTTGAAATGACAAGCCTCTTTTATGGCTACTACTCCGTGGACAACGTCCCTTTGGGTCTGCTGGAATACCACGTGCCCCTGGCGTATTTGCTGATCACGCTGGCTTACCTTTCGGTCAGCTTTGTCTGGATTATCAAACGGTAAATCCCGCTGGGAAAATGGAGCTTCCCTTTGCCTAGCCAGGGCCATAGAAACGACCCTTCTAAGTTGGCGGTTGAAGAACTCTAAAGGCCTTTGTGCATTATTATTATTATTAATAATAATAACAATAACAACAACCATCAGCGCCAGCCAATTTGAATGTTCAGTTGATTGAGGTTCATGTGTAATGAATAAAAAAAATAAGAAAGAAAGGGAGAGAGAAAGAAAGAAAAAGAAAAGAAAGAAAGAAGAAAGAAAGAAAGAAAGAGAAAGAAAGAAAGAAGGAAGGAAGGAAAGAAAGAAAGAAAGAGAAAGAAAGAAAGAAAGAAAGAAAGAAAGAAAGAAAGAAAGAAAGAAAGAAAGAAAGAAAGAAAGAAAGAAAGAAAGAAAGAAAGAACTGGAGAAGTTAACAAAATACAAAGACCTACAAATAGAAATAGAAAGACTGGGGCAAAGGCAAGCAAGGGTAGTACCAATAGTAATAGGTGCCTTGGGTGCAATCCCAAAACAACTGGAGCACCACTTGAACACCATTGGCATTGACAAATTTGCCATTAGTCAATTGCAAAAGGCAGCCTTCCTAATAATACCATCAAACATCCACATCTGCCTATCCCAGGTCTTTGGTAAGGACTCGATAAGTAAACAAAATGCCAAATCCAATCTGAACATCTGGCTGACTGTGCGATGATCATCATCATAATAATAATAAAGTTGGAAGGGACCTTGGAGGTCATCTAGTCCAACCCCCTGCTCAGGCAGGAAACCCTACACCATTTCGGACAAATGGCTGTCCAGTCTCTTCTTAAAAACTTCCAGTGTTGGAGCATTCACCGCTTCTGGAGACAGGCTGTTCCACTGGTTAATTGTTCTCACTGTCAGGAAGTTTCTCCTTAGTTCTAGGTTGCTTCTCTCCTTGATTAAGAGAGAATTTAAAAGACACGGGTAGATAGCCTGACCACATGAGGGTACAGCTAGTCCTTGAATTACAACAATTGGCAACTGGTTCATATTTCTGACGGTTACTTGGTCCTGGGGCCACGTGACTCCCTTTTGCGACTTTCTGACAAGCAAAGTCATAAGGGAATTTAAATAGTGAATTACTTGATTGGGGCAAGAGAGATTGCAAAATGGGGCAAAATCTCACTGAACAACCGTCTCATTTTCGGCTCAGTTTGTGGCTGTAAGTCGAGGACTACTTGTAATATCAGTTCCCCAAATCTGACATCTCGCTATTCAGACAGCGTTAATCTGTCCAGTATTTGTTTGTACAGTAACTTTATTATTTATAGCAGGGGTTCTCAATTATGGTGACTTTTAAGAGAGTGGATTTCAACTCCCAGAGTTCCCCGGCTAGCCTGGAAGTTTGTGTCGATTTTTTACACGGCGTCCTGAAATCTCTAACAGTGCTTTTTTTCTTTTTTTTTTTTTTAAAAAAAAACCCAAACCCTTAACAGCTCGGTGGAAGGTTTTAAGCGAAGCTTGATATACAACGAAGATCCGTTTCAGAGCTACTGTAATAAAATTCTGGCTGGCTGGGATTTCTGCATTACAGATGTAAACGCCGCGCGGCTGAAACACAGCAGTTTACTTTATGAACTTAGAGTATGTATATATATATATTTTTCTTAAGAATGTACTGAACCGTGCTCTACTTCCCAGATGTCCCTAGTAGTGAACAACGGAATAAATGTGCGATACGTACGAGAAAAATAACGCCAGAAAAATATGTGTGGGTTTTCTCTTGGCATTTGTCATAAGTTCTGTTAGAAAACTCAGCAGTAAATGTGAAAAAAAGAAAAGAAAAAAAAAAAGACTAGTCAACTGGAGGGATACCTGATTGTTAAATTACACAATTCTCTTGTCTTCTCACCAGAAATAAGTAATATGCTTTGTCTCAGATGATGGTGGTCTCTTTTTTGGACCCAAAGATTTGTTTAAAAATTATTTCGATTGATTGTTTGATTTATATATTTATATATATTTAACCTATAAATATATATCTGTTCACAGGCAGATCTGCAAGATGAAAGATCAAGGCAGAGGGCAGCAGGCAGAGGCCTCAAAGAGAAAATGCGTATTTATTCTTTGAGGATCTTCTTAAACTGTGTCGTTTTAGCTGTCCTGGCAGCTTGCTTTTATTCCATCTATAGAGTAACTGTCTATTCACAAGAACACGCTTTCCCCGTAAGTAGCAAGCAATGTTTGAAACTATGTTCTGATCCTAACTTATCTCCAGGAAAGCCTATGTCATTTTATTCTTGCAGTCAGTTGTATTTTCTCAACAGCTCTGGGGGAAAAAAAAAATAGGCTTAGAAGGATAGCTGCTTCACAAATTGGGCTAAACTAGGACTTATTTTAACAATGATTTGTTGAATCCAGCCATTGTGTGTGTATGTAAACTAGGAATCTTGGAACAAATCGAAGTAACTTTTTTCCCTGCAGGAAAAGAAGGTCAAATTGGACGACCTCTTTGTGCAGTATTTACCGTCTATGGTGATCACGCTCGCCAACTTTTTTGCCCCGCTGATTTTTTCATTTCTCATCAAATACGAAGACTATTCGCCCGTCTTTGAGATATGGTTAACTCTGATCAGGTAACTGGGTGGCCTTTCCCTTGCTTTTTTTTTCTCGTGGGGTGAGTGGGTGGGACTGTCTGTAGAGCTCAGGAAAGCCCCTAAGCTCCTTTTGTGGGTCCTGAAATTAGCTAGGATTCAGAAGGAGCAGTTTTCAGCAGGAAAATAATTAGAGGAGCTTAATTTTGCACATAAGAAATGGGACCGATGGTCATGTGGTCCCAATAAACGAGAATGTGTGTAGCTCCGGGTAGAACTGGGTGGTCCTCCATCCTCTCTCAGCTTGGTTTTCTTGCAAACACTTCATTACCCAACTAGGTAACATCATCAGTGCTCGAGGAGGAGGAGGAGGAAACTATGGGGTCCTTGGTGATCTCCGAGCTTTGTAGTTTTCTTGCAGACATTTCATTACCCAACTAGGTAACATCATCAGTGCTAGAAGGGAATGGAGTTTATGGAGGCAGGAGGAAAAGGAGGAGGAGGAGGAAATCATGAGGTCCTTGGTGATCTCCGAGCTTCGTAGTTTTCTTGCAAACGTTTCATTACCCAACTGATGTTAGAAGATGGTGGGGTTTTGGTCTTTGTTTATATAATCTGTTTATATTCAAGGAACCACCCCACCAACATTGGCAGGGCAAGCCACTATATATAAACAGAGAACAAACCACTTAGCAGTGCGATAACCCTTCCTGTACCTCCATTGTGTCTTGAAGGTGTGTCTTTGTACGCTTGGCCAACATCGTCGTCCTTTTGTTTTCGCTGTGGACTCGGATCACGTCCTGTGCTGACAAGTGCAAGATGTGTGGATATAATTACAGCCTTTATCCAGTAAGTAGATTTACCTACGCAGTGAAAACGAGTCATAAAATAAGGTACGTGAACCAAAACTGTCTGTCTCTGCTGGCTCTCCTTGAACAACACTCAACGGTGAAGAGGTTCATCTCCCTCACTGAGGTGCTTTGCCTCGATATAAATAATTGCTAAGATGATAATAGCTTAAACTTTTTGTTTTATGCTGCTTTGGTGATTTTTTTAACCATTGCTACATATAATCCGGGAATCCTCTTGTCTCTTCTTTCAGTGCTGGGAATCTCGAGTTGGCCAGGAAATGTATAAACTGATGATCTTTGACTTGATCATCATCTGTGCTATTATAGTCTTCATTGACTTTCCTAGGAAGTGAGTATAAAATTCCTGGGAGGGGTCAAAGTGGCTTGTTTGGGATAGAGGATCTATAACCTTTCACAGTTCAAACTGGAGAGTCGCTGATAGTGAGATGGGCAGCCCAGACATTGAATAAAGACAAATTTAAGAATTGAATGAAGGAATAAACTCATCAGAAGCTTTTACTTTTTACTTACCACCGTTTGTAAAGTCACAATCTTACTTCTATCTCACCTTCAGGTTCAAGATTAGATAATTGCTCTCAACCCTCTGTTGGAACAAAGAGGAACTTTCCTCTTGCTTTTTCCAATACCTCATTGTTAATAATGACAATGCCTCCCAAGCTTTCCTAGTCAGGAGAACACAGCATACAAACCCACCCAATCTTAATAATAATAATAAAGTTGGAAGGGACCTTGGAGGTCATCTAGTCCAACCCCCTGCTTAGTCAGGAAACCATCTATACCAATGATGGCGAACCTTTAAGAGTCCGAGTGCCCAAACTGCAACCCAAAACCCACTTATGCATCATCACGTGCCGGGTGGGTGTGGCTCATTGGGTGGGCATGGCCAATTGGGTAGGCGTGGCTGCCGTGGTAACGGCAGACTGGGTGGGACTAAAAAGTTCAATCAATTTCAACTTTGCAAATCTTTTTTTTCCTGCGAGAAGTTGAAATTGACTGTGAACTTTTTTTTTTTTTTTTTGTTCAACCACCTTGGCCATTGCAGTGCCATTTCTACCTTTTACAAGAGATCCTTCTGGAATTTCATATTAAGTCGGCTTTTTCTGCAGTAGCTATAAATCAGTTTTTCCTGACATCTAGTTCCATTAATGATAGTGCTCCCCACCCCTAGCTAACCTGGTTATTAAGCTCCTATGGGGTGAACTTTTGGGTTTCTCTGGAGACACGGTCAGGGTTAAAAGCCAATGCATTCTTTCTGCTCTTAGGTTAATTGTTACCCATTGTCCCGTCAAGGCCTTCCAGTGGCCTGGGCTGCAGGACTTTGCCATCCCGGACAACGTCTTGGAAATAGTTTATGGACAAACCATCTGCTGGATCGGAACCTTCTACTGCCCTCTCCTCCCAGCAATTGCAGCCGTAAAATATTTCATTGTCTTTTACGTTAAAAAGGTAACTGGATGGTCTTTTTTTGTGCCTTAAAATTGTCTAGGCCAGGGATAGGCAACCTTGGCTCTTTTATGACTCATGGACTTCAACTCCCAGAATTCCTGAGCCAGCCACGCTGAGGGGAAAGGGAGAGGTTTCCAAGCTGAGCCAGGCTGGCTCAGGAATTCTGGGAGTTGAAGTCCACGAGTCATAAAAGAGCCAAGGTTGCCTACCCCTGGTCTAGAAGGTACTGCCCTTCTCCATCCTGGATCCGGTGTGAATATTTAGAGAAGTACAGGTAGTCCTCGATACGCAGCACTTCATTTAGTGACCGTTTGAAGTGACAACGGCACTTGAAAAAGCGATTTAGGAACCCTTTTCAGGCTTTCAACCTTTCCGGCATCCCAACAGTCAGGTGATGAAAATTTAGACGTTCGGCAACTGACTCGTATTTACGACGGTTGCAGTGTCATAGGATCACCCTTTGCGACCTCCGGACAAGCAAAGTCCACGGGGAAGCCAGGTTGACTTAGCAACCATGTTACTAACTGAACAACTGCAGGGAATCGCTTAACAGCAGGAAAGGTCGTAAAACGAGGCAGAATTCCCTTAACAAATATCTCACTGAGCAACAGAAATTTTGGGGCTCAGTTGCGGTCATAAAGTGAGGACTACCTGTAGATGCCTTTCCATAAAGTTAAAAAAAAAAAATCCGTCCGTGTTTTGTCTCCTGAGTTGCTTCGGGAGCAGCTCTCAACTTCTGACTAGCGAATTGCAGACAGTGCAAAGGGAGCATGAACAGAAGTTACCAAATCTCTTTTTTCACTTTCCAGCTAAGCTTGATGCACACCTGTAAACCTTCAGCTCGGCCTTTTAGAGCCTCCAGTTCCAACTTCTTCTTCTTGGTGGTGCTCCTGATTGGTCTCCTTTTGGCATTCATTCCTCTGGGACTCAGCATGACACGGTCAGTTGCTTTCCTGTTGGTGGACAGGTGTTCCTTAACGTGCCTTTGGGTTATCACCCCACATAGTGTGGTCGAGTTCCTTGCCCCGTGGCTCAGTTGTAGCTCTTGGGAGAAGTAGCCCAAAAGCATGTCCTCTGCTTGACCAAGTAGAGGAACCACGTAGCCTTCCTTGAGGCACATTCCTGCACATAGGTTGAACCTCAACCAACATCTCCAGCATTGGTAGGCTGGAGATCTTGAAGGCTGTAGTCTACATCTAGCAGCCATTGAGTGTAATAATTTGCTGTAGTGTTTATCATAGATGGCACAGTTTGATCTAGTGGCCAAACTTAAGGCACCAGGCTAGAAAGCAAGAGACCATGAGTTCAAGTCCTGCCTTAGCCACGAAAGCCAGCCGGATGATTTGGGGCCAATCACCAGGACATGGGGAGTTCTAGTTTCACTCTCCACCAGTCACTCTTTCTCAGTCCAACCCACCTCACAGGGTTGATGTGGGGAAAAGTGGAGGAGGAATGTGTGTTGGATATATTGGCTACCTTGAATTATTTGTAAAAAGGATAAAAGGCAGGATACAAATAACCCAACACACAAATAAATCCAATTTAGGACATACAGGTGCTTGATCATAGGCTGTATTTTTCTCACCTGTGCCCTTCCAAACAGCATCCCTTCCTCTAAAGCCTGCGGACCTTTCATGAATTTCAACCGATCGTGGGACGTTATTGGGCACACCATCCAGAAATTCCCCCTCATGTTGCAAAGAATCCTGAACGGCATTTCTTCTGAGACTTTCGCCGTGCCTTTCTTCATGGTAACCTGGTGAGTTTTTGCTGACAGACCCATGGGTGTGATTCACACATGGGGGGGGGATGAGCTCCCATTTCTTGCCTCACTCCTGCCCAACTAGCAGTTGGAAAGCATGAGAATGCGAGGAGATAAATAGGTACCACTTCGATGGGGAAGTGATGGCATTCCGTGCTCCTTTGGCTTATAGCCATGCGGGCCGCATAACTACGGAAATGTTATGGTTCCTTGCCAGCCAGGGGATCTGGCAGCTGAGTTTGAAGACTCAGAGGAAGAGAAGGGGGGGCCTGGAGGGACACTGGAGTCAGAGGAAGGCTCTGAGGACCACCAAGACTCACAATCAGATGAGGAGCCTGGCCCCTCTACTCACGCTTAGGCTGAGATACAGCTGTGCTGGGAACCTGAGTTGGACAGTGATGAAGAACAGCTGGGACAAATCCCGGATGCGCAGATGCGCAGAGAGAAGAAGCGAGCAAGACAGAGGAAGGCAGTGGGGCGGCTCCAGAGGAAAATGAAAAGCCATTAAGAAGCCATTCCCCAGCTGGATTATAAAGGGGGAAGGTGTGGGAGATGCTGGTTGCTGAAGGCAACTGTTCATGCTGAGGATTGTGTTTTTGTGGAGTGCGTTGCTCGCCTCTGAAGTCTTGGACATTGAGTTAGGTGTGTAAAAATAAAAGGAAAGGATTTTTTTTTTCTTGTGGGTCCTGCCTGGTTCCATAAAGAGGGGTTTCTTCTCATGAGTAAAGCAGTTGAGCAAGTACTCACATAGACTGGAACAGAACAGGAAAGTGTCTTCAGACAATGCTGGCTCCCTTGGTTAAGAAACAGATAAGCACCAGGCCTTAGAATCAGACACTATTGTGCAGGGGAAACCTTTACTTTATATATTCATGACTTCATAATGTACTTCATTTTGGTGTCATTGTGGCTTACTGCAGACCCCAATGATCCTTGATCGATTTGATTGTTTGAGAAATGTTCCATCAACTGGTGTCAGCTGTTAGTGGCCACATAGAAAAACCACATTATTCTCCATGACCAGTGATAATTACCACTCATATTTACTCTCTTCTCTTCAGAAAATGGTGTTTTACAAACTTATTCCATACCAGTGTCCCATTATGTATTTTTTTAATCACCTTGTTTTATAGCTTTATTGTGTTTTGTTTCGTTGCCTTGGCTGGCGCACACAAAAGAGTGATTAATCAACTGAGGGAACAATTAGCTACGGTAAGTTTTAATCTTACTGATATTTATTAATGCTGTCCCTCTACTTTGCTCTTAATGAATGCATAATTTTATTCAACAGATATGCACTTGAGTGAGATGTGGCTTTGCTTATTGTTTTGCCGGAAGCACAGATAGAAGTACCATACAAATTTTTATACATGTCAAATTTATGTTTAAACTTTGGATCTAGTGCAGGGGTCTTCAAACTTGGCCCTTTTATGACTTGTGGACTTCAACTCCCAGAATTCTGGGAGTTGAAATCCACAAGTCATAAAAGGGCTAAGTTTGAAGACCCCTGATCTAGGGTCGCATTACCTTCGTACAATTTTGGGCATGTATTAGTTTGGGAGGCTGTCATCTCTGACAGCAGCGTCTTCTGTTGAAGAAGTATTGGAAGATCTTATTAATTTATCTTCCACCGTGTTAGATTTTAGATCTAGTCGGCTAGTGATTCTAAGCCCTGTTTATTTGTATTTTTGCTGGATTCACGCTTTGTGACATCACAATGTGATTTATTTCATTTGGGCTCACCACGTTGACGGATGGGTTGTTAGTTTGAGTTTGGCTGGTTTGGCCTGCAGTCCAGGCCAACAACAGTTTATCCGCTAAGCCATTGTTAGTGAGGACACGTCTAAATGAGAGCTCACCTGGTTTCTGTCTGGTATCTCCCCAGGAGAGTCGGGACAAGCTGTTCCTGATCCAGCAATTGACTAAAGCTCAGATGCTTCACTGGGATAACATTTTCAATCCCCTCGAAGGGAACGTTAAGTCCAAGCAAGGAGGTGCTGGTTTCACCAAATAACTGGAGTCTCCATCATCGCAAACTGGGATGGACACGTTCAGTTTGCTGTAGATGGAGGATTGTCTGCAGCGCTGTCTTCAGTTACGTTAAGAGTGCCCGACTGCTGTGATAGCACCACACAAGAGTAACAACAAACTCTTCCCAAAAAAGAGGGGGGGGGAGTCATGGGAGAAGATGATGAACCACTGTGACTTACATTGATGTGTACAGCATCAGGACACAAGTGTAATATTGAGTGTCTCTTAAACTGTAGAGGTGGTCCTTGATTTGGGAAACCTGCCTGTTCTAGGTTCCTGTGGACTCCCCCAAAAGTAGTTACAACCCAGTTGTGAAATTCCCACAGCCCCCCATCCCCAGGTCACGTGAGCACAATCCAGGCACTTGGCAAGCCAGCCTGCATTTACGGCCGTTTGCAGTGTCCTGAAGTCCCACGGCTGATTTACCACGTTTTTGCCGAAAGCTGCTGTTTACTTGCAGGTGTTTTGGGGGGGGGGCAAAAACACCCCATAGCAAACAAAGGGTTTGCTTAATGACCTGAGTGATTTGCTTATCAACCTACCCAAAAAAAGAGGTAAAATCAGATCAGTCACATGATGACCTGCTTTATAACTGTCACAACTTATGACCGTAATGGACAGGCTCCTTTGTAGTCGTCAAGTCAAGGACTACCTGTATTTTGTTGGGACTTGGGAAGCATCCCTTTTCTTTCTTTTCTTTTTTTTTAAAGTTTTATTATTATTATTTTTAACAGAGTTCAATAAGAATTATTCAACAAAAGCGTGTTGTTCAAGCATCTTACTCACTAATGCAAATTAAATTCCTAATCCCTACATCTTTTCTCTAACCATTGATAAAATAGGTCCCAAGTTTGAAAATATTCTGTTTCTTCTTTTTCTTTCAACCTTGAAGTAAGTCTGTCCATTTCCGCACAGTCTAATTGGGAAGGGTCTCTTTTCCGTCCCAGCCCCTGGCCTCTGGAAGAGCATTCCCACCCCGTATCCCGAGAACTTTCCCACTCCAGTGATGTCCCCAAAGTCTTTGAAAACATAGCTGCTTTCCCATGCTTTGGGAGTACTTTGGGCATTGAGCCCCGTGGCATTTAATTTGTTACAGGAAAAGTCATTTTCAGATTTATGTCTGTGCTGTTTTACTGTTGGTTTTTTTATTATTATTATTGTTTGATGGAGATAAAGTTTTATGGAGTTGGCTGAGGTTCTAAACCCAATCAGTAAAGAAAGTCAAAAGTTCAGGGACTGCTGGGCAGCACTGAACAGTCACAGTTGTTGAGATTTCCCAGCTGCCAGTCTCCAGATCCCTGGCCTTGGGTGCAAACCACTTTGATCAGTGCTCACAAATCAGGGCTGCCGGCAGTCAGAAAACAGCCACAAATCTTAAGGCAGAAAAGCTGAAAATGTAAGGACAGCGGGGATCCGAAAGCTTCGTCAGCGACTTGACCAGGTAACTTTTATTATAGAATCATAGAAATCATCCAGATAGTCTTTGTTTTAGCAACTGCCTCATTTAGCAACTGTTTGCAGTTATGACAATGATGGAAAAATAACTTTATGACCAATTCTCGCACTTATGATCCTCGCGGGTTGCAAAAGGAAAGCTGAAATAAGCACAGTGGCAGCTTCACTTAGTGACTTGTCTCACTTAATTACTGGTACCAATTTGTGGTCACTAAATGAGGACTCTATACTTTATTTGGGGGAGAGGACAAAACATCTGGCGTAATGTTATAAACTTGAAATGTCACATCTGCATTTGAGAACTGCACCTGTTAAGGGTATGTTAAGACTGGCTCCTCAATGTATTTGTAAAACTAAGCAACGATGTAAATGCAATAAATATACCATGAAATCTTCGTAGAAACAACACGCTTTTATTTGTGTTTGGACAGTTTTAAAAGATGATTGGGCTAACTGAAGAAAATACTTTATAAGAAAAGATACTCAAAACAGCTTCATCAGAATAAAATTTTTGCAATGTCGTAGCATCATCGTCAGTTACATAATCAGCGCATAAGTTATTTATACCTACAATAAATTTCCATCATTTATTGTCATTTAGTCAGGATTTGGCTAAAATATGGGGAAAACATAAAAACACAATACTGATTATTTGACTGCTATGAACACTGAAATACTGTGTTAAATTGGATTTAGGTTGAGCAATAAATGAAGTAGCAGCCAGAATTAGACACAACTCAGTTTTAAAATACGCTGTTTTAGGTTCAGGGATCTGAGCTGAAAAAATTTGGAGAAACAGAAAAATAAACTCCTTGTCTGGAAAAATATGGCCTTATTTTCATGATCAGTATTGTCCGGAAAAGAAGCACATTTAGAAGTACTAGTTCTAACTTCATTATAAGGTTACATAAATACCAAATCTTAAAACCAGCATAATGCTTGGAGCAGTGGAAGCTATAATCCAACAGGTCTAGAAGGAAAACACCCCGAGAGAAATCTAGAGATCTGCAGTAAATCATCTAATGGTCTACCAAACTGTTGCGACATCCTTGAGCAAATTCGGATTATTACAAAATAATGTAAAAGTGTGTAACTTAGAGACTTCTCGAGCATCGAATGAAATGCAGTCACTGGCAAGGAAAATTTAACAAGATTTTTACTTCTATTTTTCATACTGACGGGACACTTCCTGTGGGATGGTGCCATTTTCGGGAGCCTTCTGAAGTTGCTAAAGAAACGTTATCATCTTGGGGTTGACGCCCTCCTTCAGTGTCATGTTTTCAACCTACAATGAAAGAAATTTTGAACAGATATGTCTAAATTGGGTTTTTTTTGTCATCATCTGGAAATTTAAAGCAAAAATATGGCAGGCAGGTGTATAAATATTTTTTCAACAAGTAAGAACTAGTTAATAGATACTTGGGCTCCCCAAGAGACTTTATCATTCTGCTTGTTATGATCTAGCCCACTTTTTCTCATCCTGGGCAATTTTTAAGATGGGTAGACTTCCAATTCCCAGAATTCCCCAGCCAGCATGGCTGGATGTGATGGAATCTGGCGCTGGTTTGCAGGAGAGAAGGGCTTTTTCTCAAGGAAGTGAAAAAAGAAATCAACCTTGAGAAAGAGACCCAGAAGGGATCCTCCCTAAAACCTTCCCGAATTTAACTGATCCTTATGCAGAGTGTGGTTTAGTCTGGCAAGATTCCTGTCTACAGGCAAACAGCAATAAACTACTCTGAGTAACTCATCCTGTCGTTCTTCGTTCCCTGCACCTGATGCCGGCTGCGGAATTCTGGCACCTATCTTAAAGTCGCCAAGATTAATGAAATGCTGGGCTATTTCAAATTTTTCTGAAAAGCATAAAACTGGAATGGGAACATCAACTGTCATGTCATTTGAAATAATGGAAACTACTGGCCAGCCCTATGGAGCGCGACGGTCTATGAATACAACATCTGGAAGCAGTCACCAAAATGCACGGAAAAGCTCAGTTTCAAACAATTTACCGTCTGTTCGCATAACCAGCTTGACGATCTGGCACTGCTTGAGAGACGAGTTGGTGAACTCGTCATCGGATAGTCCCCTGTCCAAACTTTTCAAAAGCACTGTAGCTTTCCCAGGAAATCCGATCTCCTGCTCTTCCCTGATTTCACACACGCAGTAATTTGGTAGTTCTGAACATCTGCAGCCAGCTGGAGCCCTGGGTGGGATGCAGATGTCCTCCTGTTTACGGGACTCTTCTAACGCATGCAAGCTATTAACGTGATCCTCCTCTGCACGGACGACTCGTGGCTCCTTCCAAGAGAACGACTGGTTCGATTCGCTCTCAGTCTGATCAGCAGGTGCTTCTTGAGTCATCTGGCAAAGCTCATGCAGAAAAGTCGGTCCTTGTTGGACTGTAGAGTTACATCCTTCTTTAATGTATCCTGTGAGCCCACATTCCTCTGGGTAAGATGCAGTGGCCCCATCATCGTCATCCCCATCATCATCAGAGCCTCTTACTCTACCCCTCTCCAAGCCAAGAGATTCCCAATTTGCAAAGTTGACCTGATGGCCTTTGGAAGCGGTTCGGGATAGTGAATCCCTTCCTTCCCGTTCGTCTTTAAACCCGTTCCTTTGCGTGCATTTCACAAGCTTTTCTCCAGGATCATTTCGGTGGGGTTTAGGATCGCTGGCCCTTTTCAGGATAGAGGACCTGGAAACCATTTCAGAACTGAGTTGCTTTCTGATCTTTTTTCCGCTCGCTGAAGGCCGGCTGCTGTAAATCTCAGCCGTTGACCTGGCAGAGGGGTGAACGCGGCTCCCTTTCGACACGTCCTGCCCTTTGGTTTTCGAGACGGCCGAACGTTGAAGCCGATCTTCATGGGCTTTGGATCCAAGGGCCTGGCTTGGTTTTGGAGCCAGGGGCTTTCTCGATGGACACTTCTTGCTTGAAACATTTTCACCGGGTTTGGAAGAGGACTCCTGTCTTCTGATTTTAAATGATGTACGAGAACGCATGCCGGCATTATCTGTACCTTTCCAAGAAGGCACAGAGTTCTTCTGCTGAGAATTCCAAGCAGCCATGGACAAAATTCTGTTAGATTTAGCCGGAGAGGGACTGCAAGCATTTGAAGCTTTGGCCTTTCCATTTATCTCTTTATCGCTTTGTCTTGTTCGGCTTTGTTGGCCTCTGAAAGATCAAAACACAAGAGCCGTCAACTGGAGCTTTCGAGGTCTGTTAAATCAGGCGGTCTGTTAAACAGCAAATGGAATTTTATCTATGGGCAAAATTGGGAGAGGGGATGTTTTTTTATTGTGTCTCAAGTCCACTAAACCCAAATCAGCAAATGGAGAGTTTGCAGTATGCTCTTCTCATCTTAAAACAAGATGCCAACAGCCATGATACTCCTAGGCTTTCGTACCTTCTCGCTTGATCCTCATGAAAATGGATGGTGGAAAAATCCTTCTTGTGGAAACTCTTAGCATTCTTCGTCTCTCTTCTCTTAAGCCCTTGAGTTGTTTCCATTTCTTCTGGGGAGATTTTAGAAGTCTAAGAAAAAAAATCAACAGAAATAAAACTCTTTTCCAAGCAAATTCATAGGACATCCATCCAAGGGAACTCAAATCTACCCAGGAGCTGACATTAGGACAGAAATGCTGTATCCTTCTCAAAATGCAAACTCTTATTCATTTAAATCAAGAACGTGATTCAGTAGCTCCCCGTCGTAACTGATCCTCAGGATGCTGAAAGTTGGATTCCAGCCGTATGTAGACGGCCTCTTCTGGTTTACAACATTTCTTGAATACTGACAATAAATTACCCAGGTTTACTTCTCATCAGAAGTAAACTGCTTTCAAGTTTACTCTCATAATAAGAACTTAATTACCAGGAAAGGGGGGTGGGGGTCAAATTCAGCCATCAAGACTTAAATTTATATAGGGTTCCACGATTAACTGGAAACAGTATGATGGTAGGAGTCACCTTGCCAACTGGCATTTCCAGAAGAAGGAACAGCACAGCTTCCTTCCCACCTCCCTCCACTCTGGGCTTATGAAACAAGACAAAAGTACAATAAGTATGCAAATAATAAAATAAGAGGGGGATGGAAGGAGCAGAACTGTCAAAGCGGAGGAAGAATGTAATAAGAGCCAGCCCCTTTGAGCAGACTGTTCAACAATTTATGAATTTACAATACCTCCTTTCAAAACAAATGCTTCCGCAAACTGTTATATCGTCAACCAATAAATCTCGAAAGGGTGTCTGCCCCTCGCAATTTGTTTGCACAGCCTGTTGAGCCATAAAGGGTAAATTCTCCTCTCCCGCAGATCAAACAAATTAGACCGTGGATGAGTTTACAAAGTGGACTAAGCTGTCCTTTCGATAAGCTATTACTGGTTCAGGATTTGCACTGCAGACTATGGTTTATCAACTGCCCGGTTTATGTTTAAAGCGTAAGCTAAAAGAAGGCCAAAAAAATTTACAGGCACTCCTCGACTTACAACTATTCGTTTAGCGGCCGTTGGAAGTTACAGCAGCCCTCGAAAAAAAGTTACAACTGCTTCTCACGACCGTTGCAACATCCCCTGTGGCCATGTGACCACATGACTCGCTTAACAACGGGGGTTAAATAGAAGTTTGTAAAATCAGGCATGGCATCCTTTAGCAACGGCCTTTTTTTTTTTTTTTTTAGCAACGGAAATTGCGGTCGTAAATCCAGGAGTACTTGCACCATTTTGGTTTACTATCACATCAGAATCAGATCTGAGTTAGAAGAGGACACGTACCGCGGCAACAATGAGCTTGGATGCTGATGAAACCAGTCTTTTCACTTCTTCTGGTGACATGCGTGGAACAGCGTTCAAATAGAGTTTGGAGAGGCTGCCTGACAGCTTGTTCGGCCTGGCGGAGGAAAGTACGCTTAGTTCAAAGGGACCACAAATGGGTTTTTAATTTTAATTCATGGCTATTAGTCAGAGCAGATCCCCAAAGATGAAAATGGGCCTCGCTTATTCCAAACCCACAAGGCAAGCAAGCTGTCTCTGGACTATCCTAGTTCAGTTCAAAGGTCTGGGTCCACCTCCAGATCCAGAAGTATCTCCTAGCACAGATTACGGATGCGAGGCAGAGTTGAGGGTGCGAGTCCAATACTAAAAGGCCCATTATCCTGTGGTTTACAGGACTATCAAGTTCTTAAGAGTTACCCAAAGTATATATTTAAAATGTGAGCTAGTTGAATTCATCAGGATTGTTTAGGAGGTTGATCAGCAGAATATAATACAGGCTTCCCCGCCCCCATAAGACAGAAACCATCACACTCAACATTACCTTGTCCTGTTCTTCATTTTCATCTCGTTTATTCTGTCAGGTACATAATCCTACAAACAAAGAGGCAGAGAGTATTGTTGGCTTGTCTGCTGTCAAGACATAATACAGATTCTTTTTAGAAAGTAGGAAAGCGTGCAGGGAAATCCCATCCAAAATGGATAAATTTTGATAAATTTGTCAATATAGAAAGGCTAGATCGGGTCAATAAACGTAATGTGGACAAACATGGTTTGTTCATTTCATTACTCCATTCATTTTCATAATGAGAAACTGAATTGCTTTCGTTATTTCTTGGCAAACTCACATTTGCTCCATTCCCAGTTAAGCACCTCCTTTCAAATTGCTGCTTCACAACCACAAGTTACTTTCCTAGAATGTCCCAGGTATTATAAGCTTGGAGTGTTCTGGGAAAGTAAAGAAATTCACAGATATAAACAAAAACGTAGGATATTTCTCTTTCAGGATATGATCCAGTTAGGAAGATAGGGTATCTTTGCAGCCTACTGGTTGACTTATAAAAATAATAATAATGAGGAGTGAGAGCCACTACTGATGGTAAGAATATTATGGCATTAATGCAGGAAGAAGGAGGAGGAGGAGGAGGAGGAGGAGGAGGAGAAGAAGAAGAAGAAGTAGAAGAAGAAGAGGAAGAAGAAGAGGAAGAAGAAGATCGGTCAGAACTTTTATATCTTGCCTTTTTGATCCACCTCTTCCCCATTTAAGCCGGTCCTCTTTCATCGGAAAGAAAGTTTGACTAGTACCATATACTGGAAGTACCATCAACTGGTTTGGTGTTGCAATGTCTTCCAACCTCAGCAATTTTAAAATGCGGGGACTTCAACTCCCAGAATTCCCCAGCCAGCATGCTTTCAGATATGTGGACTTGCTGGCTGGGGAATTCTGGGTGTTGAAGTCCACACATCTTAAACTTGCTGAGGTTGAGAAATACTAGTCTAATGAATATGAACTGGAGTAAAAAATAGCCCGTTTTTCCCCCTTACATGAAATATATAAAATGATGAATCTGAGTATTACTCGGGACATCTTTTTAATAAGCTTTTCCACCTCCCTTTGCTTGGCCAGGTTCTCCTGGATTTTCCTATTACATTCTTCAGCATTGCCAGTGTAGGCTCGGAGGAATGCTTCCAGCTTAATCTTGGCAAAATTATGTTCCTTTGTCCTCTGCTCAGTCAGGTAAACAGGGTGCTGCAAGAAAATTAAAAAAAAAATGTATTAAGGAATATACAAATTATCTATCTATCTATCTATCTATCTATCTTATTCAATTTCTATAGCTGCCCATCTCAAATATGTATTTTTATCATAAAGGTTTAAAAGTTTATTGAGAGCAGAAACTAGCATAAGTGTATTATGTCAGCATCCAATAGTTTCCATCTGCCACAATTATGGCACAAGAAATTTCACGGTCCTGATCACTTAATAGGAAATGGCATTAACAGATTGATTGAAGTAATTGTGATTAGAGAGATTATCCTCCAAGTGTGATAAATAGGGCTTTTCAGGACATGCTTAGCTGCCTCAGTTTGCCATAGCTGGATCTTGTGGTAAAGGTGCTGGCCTAGAATCCAGGAAACTGAGTTTTACCCCCCCCCCTTTAGGCATGAAAGCTATCTGGTAACTTTGGGCTAGTCCTTTCTCTTGGCCCAGTAAAGTCACAAAAAACCAGTAACCAAATTTGGTTTAAAAAAACATCAATTGCATAGTCTGTGCAGACACATCAGCAAAGGAAACATGCCTGTATTTGGAATTTGGGATTCAGCAAGCCTGGCTGAGGAATTCTGGGAGTTGAAGTCCACAAGTCATAAAGGGCCGAGTCTGAAGACCCCCTGAGCTACTAGATAGGTAGGAAGGCTTACCAAATAGAACTTTTCAGCCTCATCCCAGGAGAGGCCTGACGACTGGAAGGAGTTTTCCTTCCTTTGCACTTCAATGTAATACTTTCTAGGGAAAGAAAAGCATGTTTTTCAACGGTTCATTGCCCACCACCACCATTAAAATCTCATGTCCAGAAAGTGTGTGCCTGTTCAGACTAGTGCCCCAAACGTGTTGTGATTGTAGCATGGCTGTTATCAATTTGCAAGCAAAAAAGGGAAGAGGGGCTTGATTTAGTCTATCTTTTAGACAACCTTTTAATCTAGTTCATTAAATGTATATGCCACCCAATTCCCAGCAACCCAGAATTATCTATCTATCTATCTATCTATCTATCTATCTATCTATCTATCTATCTATCTATCTATCTATCTATCATCTATCCATCATTATCTATATCTATCCATCATTATCTATCTATCTGTCTATCTATCTATTTATCCATCATTATCTGTCTGTCTATCCAGCCATCCTATGGCAATAATATTAAAAAACACATCACAACTGCATTCTCAAAGATCAAATATGAACCTATTTAGTCTATTTAAAAATTCAAAGATACACTCTTTAAAAACATGTAAAAACAAGGGGGAAACGCCAAAAATAAAAAACAGGATGGGGACAAAGAAAAAAAAAGACATATATAAATTGACTCATCCACCCAGAGGATGGAATGGAAAGCATTCTGCACATTCTCAGGAACCCGCACACCCCTCCCCTGCTTCCCAGGGATTTCTTCTCTCCCCGGCCCAGCCCTTACAGAAGATGAGCTACCGAGCGGGCCAGCCTTCGCTCCGACCCCAAGCCGCCCAGCAGCCCCGCCGCCATCGATCCGGCCCGGAGCCCAAACAATGCGCGTCTCCACCCAACCCAGAGCCCGGGCCGCGTTCTGTGGTTCCCTGACAACCGCCGGAGGCAGTACCTCTCGGGGAATTGACGGCGGTTTTCTCCAATCGGAGACAGTATCCGATCTGGGGGCGGTCCCTAATGAGAACATAGACGAAAAATAGAACGGCGTGTTTCGTTTGTGGAAGATCGAACGAGTTAATTAAGTCTTACGTCACAGGGCGCCACGAAGCGGTTGTGGCAGCGGGCGCCCCGTTACGTCATCAATCCGCACCAAGCAGCATGGCGAAGGCCGCGGCGGGCTGTGGCCTTCTGTTGATCCGTGAGCAGTACCTGCTCAGCGCCCGCAGGGAAGGTAGAGCGCGGGCGGTATTCCTCCCTCTCCCCTCGGGATCCCCATATGATTCTCCCAACTCTGCCCTTAGAACCCTCACTCGGATGCCTTTTTTGCCCTCCCTGGATTAACTGCCCTACCGGGCGCTTTCTAACTACGATTCCCAGAATTCCCAGCAGGCAGCCATGTTGGAAAGGGGCTTTGGTGCAGCCCGTTGGAGGAGGTGGCTTGGATGGGGGTCTGAGCAGGTGTCTAAGGAAGTGCCGGTATTGAGTTCACCCAGCGCTCTTCTATTGCTACTATTACTGTTCCTCCTACTAATAGCAGTAATGTTACTACTATTAGAATAGCCCCTACTGTTCTTCATTGCATTTTATTTTTTAAAGTGGTTATGGTGGTTTTATGCGTTTGCCTGTTGCTTTTTAAGTTGCTTTTAATGGATTGCTGTCTTTAGCCACTTCTATCAATAATTCTATCCCATTATTCTATTCTATTCTATTCCATTCCATTCCATTCCATCTTGATTATGTAATTATTTAACCTCACCAGAAGTTTTTGAGATTGGACAACCATTTGTACAAAACGCTATAGGAGCTGCCCAAGCAGGGGGTTGGACTAGAAGACCTCTAAGGTCCCTTCCAACTATTATTTTGTTAATATTGGTTCACTTAGGCCTTGATTGAAAATCACAAGATGCTGAGGACTCAGAAGATAAACACAGTGGCCTTCTAGAACTAGGGAAAAAGTTGATTTTTTTTTTTTAAAAAAAATAACGAATTCCATATGCTTAGAAAGCTCTGAAAATGTTCAAGTGATGACTGCAATCTTCTTTGATAGTAAATCAATGATTGTCTGTTTGGCAGGTGCAAAAGGAAGATGGGGCTTGCAATTCCTATGCTCCCCTTACAGATTTTGTAGTACCGGAATAATTTTGGATGACATCAACAAACCGGTTATTGACCGAATAATCAGAGTGGATCACGCAGGCGAATATGGGGCAAATCGCATTTACGCCGGTCAGATGGCTGTGTTAGGCCGAAGTTCAGTTGGACCAGTCATTCGTGTAAGCGTTTTTACCCCACTGATTTCATCATCCTTGTTCTGATTCTTTTTCTGTGTCTTAAGTTCAGTGGTAGCCAAAATAGATTTTTATTACAATTGCTTGATATAGTTAATTATCCACAATAATTTGTGAAGGAAACCCTTGTTGGCTGGCGTCCTATGTTGTCCGGGGGTCTTCAAATGTGGCAACTTTAAGACTTGTGGACTTCAACTCCCAGAATTCCTCCGCCCTGGCTGAGGAATTCTGGGAGTTGAAGGCCACAAGTCTTAAAGTTGCCAAGTTTGAAGACCCCTGTATTAAACCATAACACAAGTAGTCCTTGACTTACAACTGTTTGTTTTAATGACAGTTCAAAGTTACAAGGGCCTTGTGGGGGGAGGGGGTTTACAACCTGTCCTCACATTTATGACTGTCATGTGGTCATATGATTGTAATTCAAGTGCTTGGCAACCAGCTCACATTTATCATTGTTTGCGGCATCCTGCAGTCATCTGGTCACAATCTGAGAGCTTCCCAGCCAGTTTCCGACAAAAAAAAAAATCAATTGGGGGAAGATGGATTGACTTTTTTTAAAAAAAGCCACATAATTTCCTTAACAACTGCAGTAATTTGCTTAGCAACCACAGCAAAAATAAAATTAGTCGTGGTCACCGGGTGACTCACTGTGACTGATTTATGACAGAATTTCAGGTCCCAACTGTGATCGCAAGTCAAGGACTACCTATATGATTGGATTAGGTCTGGCATGGACTGTGGCTTGCATCTAGCCATTGTTTATTGAAAATGTGGCTTGTGGCTCAGAGCAGTGCATGACCTCGGCTGATATGGGCTTCATGTTGGGTTAGCAGAACTAAGAGACTACAGTATCTCCAGATTGAGACAGCATACAGATAGAATATTTCTTGAACATTGGGAAACTGTCTTTATGTTTTTATTTTAATCCAGCAAATGTGGGAACAAGAGAAGGACCATTTGAAACAAATGAAGGACTTGATGATTTTGTACAGAGTCCGTCCAACCATTTTGTTACCTGTGTGGGACGTTGCAGGCTATATGTTAGGTGAGCATCAGTGTTCTTATTTTTCTAATATATATATATATCTGTGATATATATTCTCCATGCACAGCCATGATGTTGATGTTTTCATTTTAGGCGCTGGCACAGCTTTGCTTGGGAAGAAAGCTGCAATGGCCTGCACGGTGGCCGTAGAAGAAAGCATCGCTGACCATTATAACAACCAGATCAGGGTCCTTGTAGAAGAAGATCCCGAGAAATACAAGGAGTTATTACAGGTATCAGTGTGTGTTAAAAAGATACGGATATAATGTAATGTATGATATTATTTTTGTTTCATTTAGAGAGTGTATTTCAAACTTGGCAAATTGAAGATGTGTGGACTTTCAACTCCACAGCATACTGGCTGGGGAATTCTGGGAATTGAAGTCCAAAACACCTTAAAAGTTCTTCAGTATGGCTGGGGAATTCAGGGAGTTGAACTCCACACATATTAAAAGTTCCTCACTATGGATAGGGAATTCTGGGAGTTACCGTAGATAGATACAGACAGACAGACAGACATATAGAAATAGATATAAATATAGATTGATAGATGAGATTATTTAACGTAATAGATGATAGTAGATGGATATAGATTATTTAATAGATATTAGCTAGCTAGATATTGCTAGCTAGCTAGATGATAGATAGATAGATAGATAGATAGATAGGATAGATAAGATAGATGATATAGATATAGATTGATAGATGAGATTATTTAACAGATAATAGATGATAGTAGATGGATATAGATTATTTAATAGATAATAGCTAGATAGATATTGCTAGCTAGAAGATAGACAGACAGACAGACAGATAGATAGACAGATAGATAGATTTATTTGAGAAGGAATCAGGTGGGCCAAATTTCATTTTTTTTTTTTAACAAGTTACATAGGTTTTGTTTTCTCATTTGACTTGCTTCTGGGATACAACCCCTCCCCCCCACCAGATCATCAAGAAACTTCGGGATGAAGAGACGCAGCATCACGACACCGGACTTGACTTCGATGCTGAACTGGTAAATTGGCAACTACATCCTCAGAATTTGCATAATCAAAAGCACCCTTGCTGGCTCAGGAATTCTGGGAGTTGAAGTCCACGGGTCGTAAAGTTGATATGGTTGCCCGCCCATGCTCTATCAAGACATATTGAGAAGGGATGCGAGTGGCAAGAATTTCAGCAACTGGACCAATGTACCGAAGGGGAATAGTGGGACTAGATCTCAAAGCATCTAAGGGTGCTTTTTTTTATCTTCATCATTTTCTTCTTTCTTGCTCTTTCTGGACATCCGGAAGCTGGTAGATCTCTTCCCTGGGGACAGAGGAGCTGTTTTCGAGGAACTGTTTACAAAACCATCTCATAGAGCTGGAGCAATTAAGATTTCTTAAAATAGCATTTAAGAAAATAAAAGAGAATAATAAAAGGGGGTTGTTTTTTTCCCGTGGTTCCAGCCTGCTTGTTGGAAGAAGGGTTTCTCCTTGTGAGCTCAACAAGGACTCACGTGGGCTGGGACAGAACAGATAACGGAAAATATAAAGTAGTTCTAATATTCAGTGTTCTTTCTTTTTTTCTTTCATAGACTCCGGGATACTCCATTTTGAAGAATGCTATACAACTTGGATGTAAAGCAGCCATATTTTTATCGGAAAGAATTTAAATTTGGTCCCGGTAGATTTATTGCTAATTAAGAGGTTATTACTCCTGTGTTTCCAGTAGAGCGAAACTATCCTTAGATCTTGTGGAAAAGTCTCTAGATGGGGATTATTTTATTTTCTTTGTTCTTCTTGTCAGTGGGGGAAAGTCGATGGTTACCATTTTGGCTCGTCTGTCTGAAATTGCTGGAAACTTGCTGATGAGTTTAGACAGCTGTTTTCACGCGCTTTCCGGCTGCAAAACTGACCGCAGTTTTGCTGCAATTTCGGGGGCAATTGCAACATCTTTTTTTTCCAACGAAAGGAATTCCTTGTAGAATAGCCATTTATAGCCTCCCCTCCTGAGATACTTTAACTTATTATTAAAGTTTGTGCCGAAAAGCAAGTCACACTTCCTAAAAACCAATCATGTTTTCAAACGGGAAGATTCGGGAGTAGATGTTGTTGAAATAAATGGTGCTTCATTTCAAAGATTTTATTTTAAGCTTTTTTATTTTTTTAAGCTTCATTTTTTTTTTTTAAGAGCAGCTTTAAGCGGGAGCCAGATGTTGTAAATCCTGCTAGCTAGGTCAGTAAAACGGGGCAAAATCCACTTAGCAGCTGTCTTGCCTAGCAAGGAAAATGTGAGGCTCAATTGCCGTCGTAAATCAAGGACTACCTATAATCCAGTTCCTTCCCCCCCTCGCCCCCCAACCGCGTTTCTCTGATCCCTTTTCTTCTGATCTGATTGCTGGCAGATTTCTGCCTTTGGAAAGGAGACGTGGCCCCACTGAGGGTGGGCAATCCTGGTCTGTTTGGACATCCTGGCTTCTCCCTCCCTCCTTCCAGCCACCGCCCCTGGCACGGCCCATCGGGGAGGCCGTTCGTTTGCTCTCTCTTTCTTCCTTCTTCTCTGCCGCCGCCTTCCACTCCTCTCTTGCGCTTCTCCCGCCCGGGCAGGGCTGGAGCCAAACCGAGGGGACAACCCAGCGCCCGTCCCCTCGGGTCCCACCGCCCCTTCCTCCTCCTCCTCCATCCCAGACTTTGGCATTTCCTCTGAGCTCATCCACTGAGTGACGCGCCGCGCTCCCCAGTCGGAAGAGGAAGCGAAAAAAAAAAAAAGTTTTTGCAGAACTTGGCTGGTTCTGCAAGCGACGCCGTTCCTCCCCCGGGAGCCGAGGCGGCCTCCGGCTCCAGGACGACGGACACCCGGGCTGACCAAGCCGCGGCCACCGACGGCGACGGCCCTACAACCGTGAGTCGCCGCCGTCCCTTCCTCCAACTCTTAAGTCCCGGGGAAGTCTGGTTGGGGCGCCCGCGGGCGCCCGGCCAGGGCGAGCAGCAAGTAGCGGTCGCAGAGCTGGGAGCGAGCCCGTCCCGGGAGACGAGGAAAGAGGGAGAGGCGGCTGTCCTGCCCCGTCGGAGGAGCGAGAAGGCTGCCGGAGCCGCGGCGATGGGCTGAAGTACTGCCGTCCCGGAGCGAAGCAGCAAGAGCGGCGGGGCTCCAGGAGCAGCGCTGAGCTCGACGGGCGATGCACTCGCGGCGCGCTCAGAGGCACTGCTGCCAAGCCGGCCTACCCCGAGGAGCCTCGCCGCCCTGAAGGCCCCCATGGCCGTCTACAGCCTCAACGTGCGCGTCTTCTGGCCGCTGCTGACCTGCGCCTGCACCCTCCTCGTCTGCCTGCTGCAAACGCTGCGGGGCAAGGCCGGCCCGACGGGCGGGGAAGCGGGCTGGCCGCTGCAGTCGCTTCTGAAGCGGCTGCCGTTGCCGCCGCCGCCGCTGCTGCTGCTCCTGCTCTTGCTGGCCGCGCTGGGCTTGGGCTGGCGCGCCTGGTGGACGGGGCGGCGGCAACGGCGGCCCAAACGCGGCGGCCCCGGCTCGGCCTGCCCCGGCCGGGAGCCCCGGCGCCGCGCCCTGCTGGACGGCTTCTACGAGACGCGGCTGCGGCTCTCGCCCCACGTGCTGGGCCACAGCAAAGCCCACGTCAGCCTGGTGGTGGGCGAGCTGGTGCGCGCCGGCAAGGCGGCCGGCCGGCTGGCCCTGCGCGGGGATTTCGTGCAAGTGGGCAGCGCCTACGAGCAGCACAAGGTGGGCAGCCCCGACGCCTTCGACGTGCTGCTGCCGTTGCGCTTGCCGCCCCGCCTGGAGCTGCGCGCCCTGCCTTGCGCCCCGGAGCAGCAGCGGCAGGAGAGGCAGCCCGGCTCGCGGGGCGCCTTCCTCTGCGCCCTGCGCGTGGCCGCGGGCGCGCAGGGCTCCCCGAGCCGGGCTCTGTGCGTGGCCGCCAGCGAGGGCGAGGAGGCCGGGGCGCCGCTGCTGTCGGCGGCGCTGGTGGCCCGCTGGTTCCAGGCGCAAGTGCAGCGCTGCCTCGGCGCCGTGCGCGCCCGCCTGCAGGACCGCTGCCGGGTGCAGCTGCTGGCCGTCGGCGGGCCGCCCTCCCCGCTGGCTTTGCAGATCGCACCCCGCTCGGACTACGTCTGCTGCCACCTCTCTCTGACCGTCCACCTCACCCCGGCCATCCCGCTGGGCGAGGGGCTGTACCTCACCCCCTGGGTCTGCCCCCGGCCGTCTGCGGGCTCCCAGCTGGGCCTCTTCTGGACCCTCAACCTCTCCAAAGCGGAGCAGCGCTTGCTAGCCTGGCTGCGGGACCAAGTCCCGGTCGACTCCTGCCACCTGAAGTGCCTGCAGATCCTCAAAGGGTTGAGGGAGCTGGGGGGGCGCGCTCTGGAGCCCCCCTGGGCCGCCCAGTGGGACCGGGTCCTCTCCTCCTACGTCCTCAAGACGGCGCTCTTCTGGGTGCTCCTGCGTAGCCCGTGGCCGGCTTGGGAGGACCGCTTGCTGGTGGCCCGGCTGGAGGACGTGGTGCTGTTCCTGGTGCAGGCTCTGCAGCGAGGGAGGCTGGCCCACCTGTTCCTGGGGAACCCCCACCTGCCTGAAATGCTGAGCTTGCCCAAATTCGTCAAGGAAGCCCCACCGGTGAACCTGCTGGCTGATTTTGACCGGCCCACCTTGGAGATGGTGGCTTCGCAGCTGCTGAGCGTCTGGAAACAGGCGCCCAGGATCATCCGGGTCTACGGTGGCCACAGGTACCGAAAGCAGCATCTCACCTGAGCGCTCCTCGCCAGTCTGGATTTTGCACTCGAGATGAAGGTGGAATTGCTGTCTATTCCCCAAGGCAAATTTCCTTGGGGCTTTAGGGGCGGGGGCTAAGTCGGGTGAAAAATGGGGAGCTCAATTCAATGGTGAGGACATCTGAAGGACCTTATCGTGAAGATTGTCTACATCAGACTTGAGATCTTAAGAGTTGGACACGTGGGTTCCCTTCTGATCCTATGCGGAACTTGGGGGCTGGGTCAAATTTAGGGTGTTTTTACCAGAGGTTGGACACGTCAGGGGCTTGTTTGAAGGAGGGAGGTGTGGAAGATGGAGGGAGCACCACCAAAGTTCACCAAAGTTCAAGAGGGCATCTTCTTGGGGTTCACCAAAGTTCAAGAGGGCATCTTCTTGGGGTTCACCAAAGTTCAAGAGGGCATCTTCTTGGGGTTCACCAAAGTTCAAGAGGGCATCTTCTTGGGGTTCACCAAAGTTCAAGAGGGCATCTTCTTGGGGTTCACCAGAGTTCAAGAGGACATCTTCTTGGGGTTCACCAAAGTTTACAGAGGGCTCTGCTTCTGACTTCTGCTCAGGGTTTCTGCCTTTGTCAAACAAAGGTGGGCAAAATATTCAAGCCGTTCTTTGGTGAGTTTGAAGGGCAATTCTTGATAGGGAAAAGTTGAGAGTCCTACTTGGGAAATCTTAGGCTGTTATGACTCATGCTCCTTCGTTTATTATTTTTTTTTTTTCCCCCAGCCAAGTTAGGCATTGGAGTGGGCGTTCGTTGCCTGCTTTGGCATTTTGCCCAGTGTCTGGAAGCAATCTTGATTTTTTTTTTTTTCCAGCTCAGGAGTGCTGGTCAAAGAACGAAAAGATGGGACTGCGGCCCTGAATGTGGCTGCTTATTATGGGCTGGAACAGAAGAGAAGAAAGCACAGCCTCGTTAGGATTTAGACCAGGTGTCTTCCAACTTGGCCCTTTGATGACTTGTGGACTTCCAACTCCCAGAATTCCTGGGAATTGGCTGGGGAATTCTAGGAGTTGAAGTCCACAAGTCTTAAAAGTTGCCAAGGTTGGACACTCCTGTCCGAAGGGACTTAATACCAATATGTATTCAGAGACCAAAATTAATAGCACTTTATGTTCATGAAAAGTTCTTTTTTTTTTTTTTTGGCATTGCCTAGGCTGTCAAATTTTCTGAAGCATTCGGACATGAATTAAAATAATGATAAACGGAGACATTCAGCTTGCTAATAGGCCGTCTTCTTTAAAAGACTCTTGATTCCACACACAGTGCAATATTGTTAATTGGAAAGCAGTCATTACCCTTAACGGCTGTGTTTTAATAAAAGCTGACCTCCAGAGCTTGTCATTGAGAAGGTTTGGAAAGAAAAGGATCACTCAGACTTCCACTGTTTATTATTCCGGTGAATTCCTTGGCATTTGGCCACACAGACACCTTTCTCAGATTAAAAAACAAACAAAACAAACCAAGAAACGGGAGTCTTAAATCCTTCCTATAGGATAGATAGTGACAAATTGAAGATGCAAGGATGTGAAGTTGTTCAATAAGTAAAAAATGTTTTCTGGCATTGCCAGTTCCATTTAATTCAGTTTGTGTGCCGCGAATCAGATCTGGGAAGGCTATTTTACAATGCCTTGTAGACTGCAGACTGAGATGTCCAAAATACATTTAAAAAAAAAAAAAAAAAATCCAGTCACCGTTCGTGTAAGGCCACCATTTAGTTGCCAAATGTTGAAAATCATCTCTCTGTCTTTCTCTTTCTTTCTTACTCCCTCTCTCTCTGTCTTTTTCTCTCTTTCTTTCTTTCTTCCTCTCATTCTCTCCCTCTTTCTCTTTCTCTTTTTTCTTTCTTCCTCTTTTTCCCTCTCTCTTTCTTTCTCTCTTTTTCCCTCTTTTTCTTTCTCCCTCTCTCTTTCTCTCTCGTTCTCTCTCATGTGTAAAAGATTAAACCCGCTCCCCCTCATACATACACATACACACAAATTCCACAGGGCCAGGAAACATTTTGAACGCATGTTCCACGCTGCAGCCTGAGGTGTACCATACAACAGGAGAACTACAACGGGACTTTCAAAATTAGCTTTATTTCAAGTGCCTCCTGCTTAGGTAGGAAATGGGGGGGTTTCAAAAAAGACAAAGATAAATCTCCTTTTGTGTGGTGTGCCGTTGGTTTCAGCCAAGGAAATGGAATCGGAAAGCCAGTTATGTGCAATGTTAAAGATATTTTTTGTGATCTCAAACGAATTGACGTTGAGAATGATGAAGATGGTGTTTAAGGGGTAGCCATGGGTGGGCTGGTTGGCGGGCATTTCTCGGTGGGGCAAGACAGTTGATGAAATGAGAAGAGTTGGCACTGATTGTGGATCCAAACATTTGCCAGAGGGCACCAGGTGCTAAGAAGGAATTATTTTCCCAAGTGTGGAATTCCTGAAGCTGGAATAGGGACTGAACACATCTAATGGGCTTTCTTTCATCAGCTGCAAATCTCAAGAAGGTCTTAACAGCCCTGTTTTTGACTTGACTAACTTTTTTTTCCCATAAGTTTCGGGTTTGGTCCTCATTCCTGAGGTTATGAATAGTTGCAGGCAGATGTATGAAATGTACGAACTCATGAAATACACACCCTTGGGAAGAAGGGGGCTGTTGGCTGAACGGGTGGGAAAGCCGGAAAAGAAATGTTGTGAGCGTGAGAGAGATGACGAAACGAATTTGAAGAAGCAGTTGAAGAAAGGAGAGCATTGAGGAAAAACATATGTGAAATCTCTGTTGGAGGATAGTTTGTGAAACATTGGCTAAAAATAACCCATTTCTGGGTCATTGGTCCTGAGCTAAACAAGTGTCTCTCACCTTGTCGATTTTAAGGTATGTTTAATCCACCACAAAGAAGGTATAAAATTCATGTTTCTTCTACATCTGCTTTCTTCTAGCAGTTTCTATCTGTTTTCTCCGAGATCATCTCGGTGGCTGCTTCTATGTGTTGAGAATTTATTTTGCGTTTTTCCGGTGGTGCTTTTTTTTGAAGTTGCACTATTTTTGAGGTGTGTTCTCGATGTTCCCCAGTTGGCAAAGTTCCCTCGCGATTGTACGCCCTAGAGGTGGAACGGATGTGTGGGAAGCCACAGAAAAAGCAGTGGTGCAACAACAACACCTCTGTACACATTTTGGCTGCCTGGTCACTAACTCACTGCAAGAACCTCACAGCCCTCTTTTCAGAGAAATTTTGAAATTCTCTTTCACCAGTTTGGAAATTGGTAAAGCAGTGTGTGTTTCTCTCTCTCTGTGTGTGTGTGTGTCATTTTTGTGATTTTTACTAAAAGTTTAAATCGCATAGAAAAAACACTTTTCAAGGGAGTATTTAAAAGCACGTTTTCACGCCAAGCTTCATCCTTGGCAAGCGATGTTTATGGTTTTGGGGTTTTTTTTGTTTTTTTTTAAAAACCCTTCTATCAGTCCTCCAGATTTAATTTAATCAGGATGAGTCACCCATCAGTCTCTGCAGAAATTAATCATTAGGAGTTATTACGGCTAGGTTTACAAAGCTTTGAGGGATAGACTTATGTATTCTACTATCCCGGGGTCTAACAAGAGCATTCCTGTTTAATTGGAAGAGCCATCCGAGGTAAGGCAAGATTTCAGACACGGGGGGCTGCTGCGTGGCTTTTTAAAATTCCGCCTGATCTGCTCTGCGTGTTTTCTGAAACGTTGAAATATAAGCGAAGCTTTGACTCAATAGCCACCAAGCGACACAAAGTACATTTAGATGTCTATATTTTATTAGGAGCAAATGCACTTAGCGCAGGGAGGCTTCTGAGCAAGCAGGCACACAATGGCATTGTTAAGATCACTTGCGATTGAGGATTTTTTTTTTAAATTGAGGGACAAGCTTTTCACAAAAGCTGATTCTCTCAGCAGATCACTTCCATTTGCTAAATCAGGGGTCCCCAACCCCCGGTCCGTGGACCGGTACTGGGCCACGGCATGCCAGCAACCAGTCCACACAAACAAGCAAAGGCCCATCTGTGGGATGCAGGCAGCACACAAAACCACGCACTCCCCGGTCCGTGGAAAAATTATTTTTTAATAATAATATTAATTTAAAAAAGTTGGAAGGGACCTTGGAGGTCATCTAGTCCCACCCCCTGTTCAGGCAGGAAAGCCTATACCATTTCGGACAAATGGCTGTCCAGTCTCTTCTTAAAAACTTCCAGTGTTGAAACAGTCACAGCTTCTGGAGGCAGGTTGTTCCACTGGTTAATTGTTCTGTCAGTTGATCCAGTTGTCTAAAGTTTGGTTGAGAAGATAATTTGTATTTAATTTTATCCAAGCCATGTTTTTTTCATATATATATATATATATATATATATGTCTGTTGATTTTGTAAAAGGACAAAATTGATTTGAAATTTGTCCCTAATAATAAAAACAACCTCTGGAGACTTCTGTGCCCGATTATTTTCTGCAAAGCAGCTAAAGGACCCTGCTCATCTAGACGGACACACTAGCCAGCTGTAACCATCGTCACAAAAAGTTCTTTTAAAATCTAACTTCTCTCGGAAGAAGTTGGCTTTTGAGGTTGGAGTTACTGCAGGGACATTTTTGGTCTCTCAAAAAACTTCTAATTGTTCAATGTCCAATAAGCACCTATTTGATAGGCAGTCGACCAAGTTGAGGCTGCAATGGAACATAAGGAACACCAGATCAGATCAAAAGACTCCCGCAGCAGCCAGCTACTTACCACGTTTTCCCCAAAGTAAGACCCCATCGGAAAAATAAGCCCTAGCATCATTTTTCAGGACATTTGTAATATAAACCCCACTCCAAAAATAAGCTCCAGATAAGATTGTCAGCCAGATGGGCGCATCTAGTACCGCATTTCCCTGAAAATCAGACTAACTGGAAAATAAGCTCTAATGCGTCTTTTGGAGCAAAAATTTAATATAAGACCTGGTCTTATTTTTGGGAAAACGTGAGTATCTCCAGAAGACCCTAAGGCAGCGACTCCCAACCTTTTATGTAGTCCGTACCCCTAGAACCCTTCTGAAATATTCTCGCACTCCTTAACAAAAGTTGAAATAATGGCAACGAATTATGCATATACGCTATAATTTTGAAAGTTTTTGCACCCTCTGGAATATTATCTCACACCCCTGGTTGGGAACCCCTGCGCTAAGGGGAGATAAAATGGCAAGATCCTTCTTCCTTACAATCCTCTGGGTCTAGGCTAGACTAAAGAGTAAAATCTGGCCTCAGGAGGCCAATAAGGTCGAGTGGCAAGTGAGAATTTCCATCCAACAATCAATCCTGAGTCAACAATGAATCTTTGTTCCACTCCGCAGTCGGATTCTTCCTGTCCCACTTTACAAGGTTTCTCCTCCAACGTTTTGCAGCCCCCTGCTAATATCTGCTGCTTAAGATAGTGGCCGCACACACAGGTGATGGGAAGGTCCTTTCCGTGGCATCGGCCATGCCCCGATTCCTTCCATGGGATCAGCTGCCTCTACCCATCGTCCAGTCTGGGGCTCGCTCTTCTTCCTTCAAACATGCCCTTGCAGAAGGGAAAACGGACCCTCCTGTCTTTTATTTAGGGAAATGTTGTTTTTTTCTGCAAAGCCCATCCTTCCAGCCAAGCTCATGTTTCGAAAGCAGCCCTTTTTGCACATGGCGGCGTCTCTTCCCTTCCCCCTCCTCCAAATATGGTGCCTTTTATGTTCAGCTGTTCAGTTTTTGCCAGCGTAAAGCATGAATATTCCAATTTTGGAATCAGTGAAGCCGTAGCTCAACAGTTGGAAAGGAAATGAATCATTCTTCTGTTTCCCATGTAAAAGCTGGCTGGCCAGCCTCTGATGGAGCTTGATGGCTTTTTTTTTCTCTCTCTCTCTTCTTTGCTCCAGCAAAAATGGAAAATTCTTCCTTCGCCGTTCTGTACAGAGAGTCCTCGACTTTACAGCTATTTGCTCAGTGACCATCTGAAGTTACAACGATGCTGGGGGAAAAAATGACTTCTGACAGGTTTCTGAATAATAATAATAATAATAATAGTTAATAATGATTAGTTTCCATCTGTTGCTTTTTGTTCAGCTTTCAGTGCTTTGGAGAATAGCTTGACTCCCTCTTCTTTGTGGCAGCCCCTGAGATATTGGAACACTGAACAGAATAACAGAGTTGGAAGGGACCTTACAGGTCATCTAGTCCAACCCCCTGCTTAGGCAGGAAACCCTACACTATATCAGACAAATGGCTGTCCAGCCTCTTCTTAAAAACTTCCAGTGTTGGAGCATTCACCGCTTCTGGAGGCAGGTTGTTCCATTGGTTAATTGTTCTCACTGTCAGGAAGTTTCTCCTTAGTTCCAGGTTGCTTCTCTCCTTGATTAGTTTCCATCTGCTGCTTCTTGTCCTGCCTTCAGGCGCTTTGGAGAATAGCTTGACTCCCTCTTCTTTGGGGCCTGAGATATTGGAACTTGTGACCGTTGTGGTCACGTGATCAAAATTCAGATGCTTGGAAACTGGCATGTATTTTTGATGGTTGCATTGTCCTGGGATCACGTGATTCCCCATTTGTGACCTTCCCAGGTGGGTTCCTGACAAGCAAAGTCGATGGAAAAAGCCGGGTTTGCTTAACAACCACTTAAAAACTGCCGCGAATCACTGCAGTTGGTGTGCATGAAAAAAACGGCCATAAGTCCCTTTTTTTCAGCGCTGTTGTAACTTCAAACGTCACCAAATGACCTGTTATAAGCCGAGCACTACCTTTGCATACATTCATGTAAAGATGCCCATCCCCTGGATAAATAGAATTATCAATAAATGAGATGGGTGTGTTTTTCTAAGCCGGGTGCGCCAACTGGACCATTCCTGTTAGCTGGATGCATAGAATCGGGAGACAGCCCCTCTGCCCCCCCCCGAACAGCCATCCTGGGGGGGGGGAGGTTTCGCAGAGCAATCCGACAGATGGTCTTGCAATTCACAATCCTGTCAAGGAGCCAACTTTGCATATTAATCACTCCAACTTTCCCTACGGGGATGAAAGACGTGGGAGGCAGCCTTCCCCCCCCCCCATCTGAGCAGACACAGCCAGTTTTCAACTCTAAACGAGAAGAGCTTCAAATACCATCTGCAACGGTTTCTCAAAAGGCTTTGGATCAAACTAATCCAGGCCAGGAGGATGGCTCCTGCTTGAGCAGGGGGTTGGACTAGAAGACCTCCCGGATCCCTTCCAACTCGGTGATCCTGTTATGGTGGCTTCTGTGTGTCTGTGTAAAAATCCCCGATGGTGTTTTGAATACCCGGAAGAATAAAGACATCAAGAGCTGCTTGTGTTTTAATTTGGGCAGCTCACGCTCACTCTCCTATGTGAATCATAAAGAAAAACAATTGATCTGATCCTGACAGGTGGAACCCTCGTTAAGAAAAGGGCAGCTGAAACCGGTGGCTTATCCATGGAAAGTGATAAAATGAGGCCTGGAGGATTAAAACCCAGACAGATTTGGTTTTTTTTCCCTCGTTCGACTGCATTGATGAAATAAAAAAAAGGTGGGTGGGTGGGGGAAATCAAAGTGAGAGAAACTTAATTTTGCAGATTCTAGCCATTACAGCTCTCTGGGTGATCAGGTAGCGAGTGGATCCACACGGGAAGCTGGCTGAGATATTGTCTGGGGCAGGGCTGGGATTTGAAAGGACTCCTAAAAGAAGGAGGAGAAAAAGAAAGAAGGCAGATCATGGTCTCCTTTCTCACTGCAGGGGATGTGAAATGGATAGTTAATGAAGCTGAGCTCATTGGAGAAGCTGGGAAGGAAAGGGAAAGGAAGGGAAGGGAAGGGAAGGGAAGGGAAGAAGGACAGAAATATTCAACCCAAGTGCGCTTGAAAATCCCAGTGCATCGTATATCGTGGTCCAAATTTGGGGCAGAAAGCCATCGCTTTGAAGACAAGAGTCAGACTTAACGACCGGCTTTTTACTCTGATGATCCTGAGTTTGCCAAGTCCAGTTTGCAGCCGTCCTGTCAAGCAGTGTTGCTTGATTAGTATCTTGAATTTGTGGGGTCGTGATGGTCTTCTTGCAGATGTTTCATTGCCAAACTAGGCAACCTCATCAGTGCATCAGTGAAAGGTTTGCAAGGAAACCCACCAAGCTCAGAAAGCACCAAAGAAGCCACAGTTCCACCCTGAGCTGCAAATATTTTCCTCTGTCAGTATCCTGAATCTGCAATGCTGGTTTGGAAAATTATGAGTAGCAACAGAGAAGGGAGACGTTTTATTTTTACTGTGGTTTGCCCAAGGGAACGGGGTGGGGAGAAGATTTCAAATCATGGCTTGGAAGCCTACCAAGGAATATAACATCAACATATGGATTGCATTTCTGATTTACATAAGCCTGGGGGATTCGGACGATTCTCTAGAAGGAACAAGATCAAAACATAGCTTCCTCCAGCAGCTTTACAGTTTTCTGCAGTCTTCGTAAGTTCTTCCTTGTTGCTTTTTTCCCCCTCATCCTGAAAAGTCAAACCCAAAACCAGGCCCCAAACCAAGATTGACACACCACAATTCTTCCAAGCTAATTCTTTATGGACAAAATCCTATCGGACTGAGGACTCTACTATCTGCATTTACAATATGCTCTGGGAACTATTGAGGAGAGGCTGTCTTCATCCTCTTTCTCACACACATGATATCTCGGTTGAGTTGCCTCTCACGCCTCTGGAAGGTACCCCTTCCTTCCTTACTCACCTCCTCCCTACGGTTGCAGGAATTGGATATGTCTAGTTTAAGGAAGAGAAGGACGAGGGGAGACATGATAGCAGTCTTCCAATATCTCAGGGGCTGCCCCAAAGAAGAGGGAGTCAAGCTAGTCTCCAAAGTGCCTGAAGGCAGGACAGGAAACAAATAGATGGAAACTAATCAAGGAGGGAAGCAACCTAGAACTAAGGAGAAACTTCCTGACAGTGAGAACAATTAACCAGTGGAACAACCTGCCTCCAGAAGTGGTGAATGCTCCAACACTGGAAGTTTTTAAGAAGAGACTGGACAGCCATTTGTCTGGATTGGTATAGGGTTTCCTGCTTGAGCAGAGGGTTGAACTAGATGACCTCCAAGGCCCCTTCCAACTCTTGTTATTCTATTATTCTACTTTCCATCATAGGCAATGCCAAATAGCTGGACAGAGTTGCCATTTTTCATTTCTCACAGGGCCCTTCCCTTTTCATCACCTGGAAGAATCGTGGGAGGTAATTATTTATTTAGCTTTTTCAAGCATCTCCAGCCTAACCAGAACTGGCCTCTACAGAGGGGGAATGCTTAGCAGAAGTCACTTTGCTTGGGATCCTTCAAAAGAGAACATGTCCTCAGAGGAGGCATCAAGCTGGCTTCAGCTGCATCTAGAACTTCCTGCATTTTCTCCAACAGATGCCCACCTTCTGCTGTTTCATTCCAAAACTCATACTCGTTTCTTTGAGATCGCCTTCTGAGTCCATGGACACCTTCTCACCTAGCAGTTCAAGCACAACTGTGTCTCTCTTCAGTTCTCAAGTAGGTGGCAGTATCTCACTGATCTTGCTTGATCTTAGAAAGCTAAGGAGAGTTGAACTGGTTAGTCCTTGGTTAGACAGGAACCGCCCGGAAATTTGAGAACGATTGGCTTGACCTGGAAGTCCAAAACATATCTCAGAAGAAGGCATTAGGAAACCCTTTTATAACACTGCAAGAAAATTAATCCTGGTGATGAAAGATGTGTTTAACCTGAGAGTTATTTTATATTATTGTTCTATTTTAAGGTCACTTTGGATTATTTTTATGACTAACACAAGGTGGTGAACAGACCAATGGGAATGAATGTGAGAAAGACCTTGGGAGACTGAATGGAGAGAAGCTGCCAAGGGATGGTCAGATAAGAGACAGCATATAGCCCGAAGCTAGATAGCGAGTGGGGCAAGAAGAGACCCTCTCTTGTTTCTCAGGCTGTTAAGGAGATGGGGGAGAATTGTGCTTTCAGATTTGAAAGACTAATGTTGCCTTCGCTGAGTTCACCAGATAAGAATCTTGTAGGAGGGGAGATAGTTTTGTGTAGTGGTTAAGGCACCAGCTAGAAAGCAGGAGGTGGTGAGTTCTAGTCCAATCTTAGCTATGAAAGTCCACTGGGTGAGTTTGGGCCAATCACCAGGAGACTGTGAGTTCTAGTCCTGTTTTAGGCATGTAAGCCATCTGGGCGCCTTTGGGCCAGTCACCAGGAAGGCTGTGAGTTCTAATCCCACCTTAGCCATGAAAGTCATCTGGGCGGCTTTGGGCCAGTCATCAGGAAGGCTGTGAGTTCTAGTCCTGCCTTAGGCATGAAAGCCAACTGGGAGACTTTGGGCCAGTCACTCTCTCTCACCCCAACTCAATCACAATGTTGTTGTTGTGGGGGAAAACAGGAGGAGGAAGATGTGGTGGATATGTTTGCCATCTTGAATTATTTGTAAAAAAATAAAGGCAGGATAATAATAAAATAAAATAATAATAAAATAAAATAAAATATAACCAGATGAGCTAATTCTAGTTTACTGTAAAGTTACATTTACAGAATCTTGCAAGTCTGAAAATATAATTCTCTCCTCCCACCCCCACAACACTACCCAGCCTTCTTTACAGCAGGGGTCTTCAAACTTGGCCCTTTGATGACTTGTGGACTTCAACTCCCAGAATTCCTCAGCCAGGCACGCGTGCCTGGCTGAGGAATTCTGGGAGTTGAAGTCCACAAGTCATCAAAGGGCCACATTTGAAGACCTCTGCTTTACAACCTAAGAAACTAGGGAGGGTCTCTTCTGAGCCCTTGTCCTGTCCACTGTCCAGCTGAGGGCTGTGCTGTCTCTTATCTGACCACTCCTTCAGCAGCGATCTTTTAATCCAGTCTTCCAAGGTCTTTTCACACTCCATTACAGCTGGCCTCCATATTAGTAGATTTTTACCTCTGCAGGTCTTCTATTACAAATTCAGTGTTTTATGGCGTGCGACCGGACACGTTAATCTGCAGACAAGTATATCACTTTCCTCTGCAGAGATTTCAGCCCCGAGTCCCTCAAACTGCTTTGATGCACACTAATTGAGCAAATCCGCTCCAAATTTCTCTCGCTGGTTGCGTTGACCTTCCTACAGATTGCTCTTTAGCAACTGCTCCGTCTGCCGATCGACAGATTGATGCTTCCGCTTCAGGAGATGCTTCCTCCAGATACAATCCCTGGAGTTTAAACTATTTTTTTTTTAGAAAAAAGAAAAAAAAGGAAAGAAAAAAAGAGGAAAAGATGCAGTACGCCAGGAAAAAAGAAACCAAGTTATTAAAAAGGGAACAGATCTGGGTTGCTACCATAATAACCAGGCTAACCAAAATTCCTCGCTTGCTAAGTGAAAAAGAAGAGCAAAAAAGAGGAACATTAATGCAATAGGTGACATATTCAAGGAAGTTTATCTAGTTTCCAGAAAAGGAGGCAATCCACCTTGGAAAAACAGAGCGTGATGTCCAATCCATGTCCACCATTCTTAGGACACTGTCTTAATCCTAGCTCTGAGTGTGCAAGACAAGAACAAGACATGACTAACTTCTTCCTTGAACAAATCAACCACGTTTGTAACGAGAGCTAAAAAAAAAAAAAAGCAAGGGAGAGATGAAACGACAATGAGGCCGTGATGGGGACCAAAAGGCACTCAGATGGAGCAGGAGAATGCGACCAGGTAAGTTTTAAGCATCTCCGGGGAACGAAAGATGCTCCAAGCGTCAAAGGATATACTGAAATCTTGAGTAAGCATTGGGTTTCTTAAAGAAACTGCTGGTTCCCTGTTATAGGAAAGCGGTGTGCGAATAGAGCAGTACCATTTTAGCCCAGGTTGGGGTTGGGAATGAGAGACGGGAGGAACCGAAGCTGCTTAGGGAAATATCAATCATTAAATTCTCTCATCTGTCCATCAAGCCTACAACGGGAGAGGCTGTTCCTTTGAGACAGCTGGAATTTGCTCAGCCACTTGACGGATGGATGTTTGGCTGCTTTTCACCATCAGAGGCTATAGTCAAGTCTACATTCCCATGCTGGTATAGAGGGGGATCTGGTAGTAAATGTACAGGGATCTGGGAGCAGATCGGCAGCTGCTGAAGCCAACGAGCAGGGTGGCCACGCCCCTGGCCTGGGATTTGCACCACCCCAAGGGCTGGGTGTGATCTTCCAGCAACAGGAGGTCTTCCTGTAATAGGGACAGCCCCCTGACTAAAACCTTTTATTGGGGCAAAAATCAGCTCTCCCTTCCTCTTTTAATTTTTTTTTTTTTAAAGCAAAGATTGGAACGGCTACAGCAGAACAGGCCCAGGGAGGTTTTTCCTTTCTCTAGGTGTGATCTGAATGGAGAGTCCTCTCCCCCCCCTCCACCGTGGGGGGGATTGTGAGGAGGCACCCCAGAAATATTGTTGACGGGTGTTGTTGCTTCTGAGCGCATGGGAGAGGATGCAAAGGCAGAGAGAGGAGCATGCTCACTCATGCAAGCAGCATTTGCCCAAGCCAGAACAGTTGTGTTTTATCCATCCACAATTTCTCTCCTTCTTCCTCCTCCTCTTCCTCTTCCTCCTCCTTCTCCCTGAGATCCATCTCTCTAGATGTCTGCTGCGTTTGAAGGAGCTGGAATTGTGAGTACTTACTTGGCAAAGCAGTTGTAGAGCTTTAGAGTTGCAATTTATCTAAATTGATTTTGGCATTTCTCGGGGAAAGAGCAATGCCCTTGTTTAGTTTCACTTTCTCGCTGGCTACCTGTTCAAAATTCCCTTCCTTTTCTCTCCTGCCTTTGGCTCTCTGCGGCAAAAGAGGGGAGCTCTGTTTATGCTCAGAGGTCCCTGGGTAAGCAGCCTGTAAAGCAGATTTGGGTATTTACTATCGGAGAATCTAGTTAAAGCCTTTCATTTTAGCAGCCTGGAATGGAAGAATCGATGCTGTTTTGCCCCGAGAAAAAGCTGACGGCTGAGATATTTGCACGCAGATGGTTCGACATCCTGCTACCTATGTCCCTGGGTTCACACGTTGCATTCAACCGGAACATGGTTTAACAGGTTTTGGTTTAATGTGTTGTGTGAACCCGTTGATTGTGGTTTATTTAGTGAGCCGTAGGAAACTCAACCGGTGTGAACCAGCTTACTTTAAGGGCTCGACTACCGAGCCCATCATGCCCAGTGGATTGGAGTGAGTCAAGGATTGTGTAATCTACGTGTGTGGGGAGGCATTAGTGGAAGAAAAAAGAGAGACAGTATGGATTTGCATGTTGGTAGAAGAAACTTTTATGCACTGGTAGTCCTCAACTTACAACTACAATTGAGCTCAAAATTTCTGTTGCTAAGCAAGACAGTTGTTAAGTGAGTTTTGCCTCATTTTACGACCGTTCTTGTTGAGTGAGCCACTTAACACGCTCTTAAGTGAATCACTGCAGTTCTTCAATTAGTGACACAGTTGCTAAGAGAATCTGGCTTCCCCATCGAGTTTGCTTGTCAGAAGGTTGCCAAAAGCGATCACATGATCCGGGACACTGCAACCGTCATAAGTACCAGTCAGTTGCCAAGCCTCTGAATTTTGATCACGTGATCCTGGGGATGCTGCAACGGTCGTTAGGCGTCAGAAACAGTCATAAATCCCTTTTTTTTCCAGTGCCGTTGTAGCTTTTGTCATTAAACAAAGTGTTTTTTATATCAAAGACTACCTGGAGTAGACTTCTTTTTACATATGCCTGGCTGAGGAATTCTGGGAGCTGAAGTCCACAAGTCTTAACAGTGGCCAAGGTTGAGGACTCCTGCTGTAAGGTTCATCCGAGCGCCCCCTGCAGGCCTGTCCGCAACCAGGGGAGTCCAGTTGTGCCTGCGGGCGGCTCGTTAGCGCCCCCTGGAGGCCAAAGCATGGAACGCCACCCTCTAAAAAAGCAAAACAGCTGACTTGCTTAGGCGGGTCCTTTCCCGGTGGCAGCTGATTCAAAACTGCTGGAGGCTGGGAAGACCCCCCCCCCCTCCCTCGCCGGTCGCCTGCGGCATTTTCGCCCAGCCGGTCGCTTTCCTCTTGACCACCCGTGATTCCCACCCTCCCACCCCAATCTGGCTGGTCAAGAGGGGGGGATGACCAAAGGGACGGAGGGAGGGGCAGCTGCGATGCAAAGAGAGTCCAGCCAGTCGGACAGGCTGGTCCTTCTCTGCCAGCCCAACCTGCCAACGCATCCCTCCCTGGTGGCCAACCCAGCCTGCCGAGCCCCGGCGCGAAGAGTTCAACGGGCTGGTCATTCCGTCAGTCCTCATTGAGCAAGCCAAGCACGTCGGACGGACTCCTTTTGTTGAGGGCAGACGCCATGCTTAGCCTGCCAAGGGGGCTTAAGTGAGCGCCCGAGGAAGATGGCGTATATGCAGGTAGGGCTGAACGGCCGGGGGGGGGGAGGAAAGGCGAACGGAGAGGAGAAGGGGAAGGGGCTGGAGACCCCCCCCCACCCTCCAGGCTGCCTTTGCTGGGAACCGAGCAAGGCAGAGAAGAAGAAAGGGAGGGGGGCAAAGGCAGAGGCGTTGGGGGGTCCCCCACACCAGCATCCCCAGCGTTGCAAAAAGCGAGAATTTTTCCCGCAGCAAACTTGAGTGAGCAGGCTGGAGTTTCCGAGCTGCTCCGGAGTTCCCTCCGACCAGGAGGCAAATGCAACCTGTAGCATGAATAGGTGGAGTCCCCCCTTGCTTCGGCCCCATCGCTCGGGGCTGGGGGGTCCCCTCGACGCCTGTCCCTCCCTCCCTCCCTTCTCGCGTCTTTCTGAGTCTCCCAGCCGCCTTCGGGCAGGATTCCCACGACCTTCTCGGTTTCGGAGCAACGGAGCGCGGCGGGCAAAGGGGACGCTTGTGGGGCGGTGGGTGGAAGGGGCTTGCCCCGATATTAGGCTTGCCAAAGAGGGCGTGAGGAAGGAAGGGGAGGTGGGTCACCCATCTGGCTGCAGATGCGTGTACAATGCACGGCGGTGGCTGCTGACCTTTCCTGGGCAGATGGGAGTGGGCTTGCGGGCTAAGGCCAGGGGAGTGAGTGAGTGGGTGGGTGGGAGGGCCCCGCGGATGTGATCGGGGGAAAGGTTGGCACGCATGTTGTGTGAAGCCGGCAGATGGAGGGAGAGGAGGAAGGGAGAGACGGTGGTGGTGGAGGGGGGGAATGGAAAATGCAAATAGCAAATTTTGCACCCAGAGGCCAGCCGCTTCGCTGGGTTGATAACCTTTCTTTCGCTCAAAAAATAATAATAAATCTCCCTTCCTGGGTAGATCTGATTTTATTTTGGTTCCCTTGGGCTTGCGTTCCCTGTTCCAATGTAGTTTTCGTTTTAAATGACTGAAGGTTGTCGATTAAAATCGTATTAAAGGATATAAGGGGCCGGAGGGGGGGGTTCACTCTGAGACTGAAGAAGCTGGAATAATAATAGAAAGAGACTCCCGAGGCTAATTTGGGGAGGGGGCTGCCAAATCCGGAGAAGAAAAGGAGGGGCAGGGGCAAAGAAAGCCCAAGCTGCTTCATCCTCCCCCCCCCCTCCGCTGCCGCTTGCTACTCTTGGAAAACTTTTGAGGTGCGTCAGATTTCAGTTGCCATCATCCCCATCCAAAGCAACAAGTTTGCCTCCCCAGCAGCTTAATTTCTCTCAAGGGCATTGTCTGTTTTTAATGCCCTCCAACCTAAGGTTGCAAGTGTGATTTTCTTACGTTGTTCTCACAACAGTCCTGCGAGGTAGACCAGGCTTAAGAGAAGAAAAAATGGAGAAATGCGGAGACAGAGCAGAAAATAGACGATGGGTTGGGGGTCCATTTCTAAGGCTTTCATAGGGTTTGGGAAAGGTTTCTGAGATCTTGTGTAAGTACGATGTAGGATGGTAGAGGCTTAATTAGTCCAGATAATTAAATAATGGACTGCATGCACACATTTTTCTGGATGCACAACATATGAACTGTAAACTAATCACAATTTGGAGTTGGTATACTCAACTTAAAACAGTTCATTTAGTGACCGAAGTTACAACGGCACTGAAAAAAGGGACTGGGACCATTTTTCAAACTTACAACAGTTGCAGCATCCCCAGGATCAAAAGTCAGAGGCTTGGCAACTGGCATGTACTTATGACGGTTGCACCGTCCCTGGGATCACGTGATCCTCTTTTGCGACCTTCTGACCAGCAAACTCAATGGGAGAAGCCAGATTCATTAGATTTTTAGATTAGATAACCTTTATTGTCCTTTTTTTCCCCGCATGTGGGGAATGGCACAATGGCACACATGAAAAATGAAATTTAGTTGCTTCCTCTCCAAGTGTACACATACACAACACACAGTTAAAGCATACTCTATACCAGTGGTTCTCAACTTTTCTAATGCCGCGACCCCATAATACAGTTCCCCATGTTGTGGTGACCCCCAATCACTTATACATCACCGGGTGCCAGGGGCGTGGCCAAAGAAAAGGGAGGAAAAATGGCGGACAGCCTTGTTTGGCGACCCCTGTGAAATGGTCGTTCGACCCCAAATGGGGTCCCGACCCACAGGTTGAGAACCACTGCTCTATACAATATGTGTATAGACCTACACCAGGGGTAAGCAACCTTGGCTCTTTTATGACTCGTGGACTTCAACTCCCAGAATTCCTGAGCCAGCATGGCTCACCTTGGAAACCTCTCCCTTTCCCCTCAGCATGGCTGGCTCAGGAATTCTGGGAGTTGAAGTCCACGAGTTATAAAAGAGCCAAGGTTGCCTACCCCTGGCCTACACTCTTACATATAAGTAACATGTAAATATAAATATTATTCACTGTCCAATAAATGTTATTCACTGTCCATAAATATTATTCACTTCACAACCGTGATGCTAACTTAACAACTACAGTGATTCACGTTTAACAACTGCGGCAAGAAAAGTCATAAAATGGAGGCAGAACTCACTTAACGGCCGTCTCGTTTAGCAGCAGCAAGTTTAGAGGTGAATTGTGGTTGTGAGTCCAGGACTGCCTGTCCTCGAACTGCTCACAGCTGGTTCTCTGAAAACCCCCCAAGTGACTCATGCAAAACCTTTAAAAGAAAACCTCGACTGGTATTTCAGATGTGTCGTTTTGACTATTATACGATCATGGAAGGGAAAAATGAATTTCGTGGCATTTTTCAGAGCAAAAACAAAAAGGAGAATGGAAACTTATAAAAGTAACCATGGATCGATACAATGATATTGTGCGGTGGGCAAAAACACCAAAGTAGCTGGGGTTTCGTAAGTGGAAACCGTGGTTTATTCGGTCCTGGAGAATTAACCGCCATCGCTTGTAAGCCCTGTTTGCAGATGTCAGTGGTGAAGTTAATACGTGCCACACCTGCAGCACAAAGAGTGTTATCAAAACACACTCCGGGTTTTGGCTTTCTGTTTGTGCAAGCTTGAGCAGCACCGGGTTTGCCTGCAGGGACCTTTGTGATGCCACAAAGTTTGAGAACAGCTGTGATGTTTTCTGAAAATGGAATGATTACAAGTAAATGATGTCGTTACGCCTTGCCCCGTCTTAACCTCCGCGGAATCGTTTGGCTTTGTTTATTCAAGAGGAAGGTGTGTTCTCAATAAAGGAGAATATTTGCAGCTCAGGGCTGAAATGAGAGGTCCTTGGTGCTCTCTGAGCTTGGTGGTTTTCTTGCAGACGTTTCATTACCTAAGTAGGCAACATCATCTAGGCTAGAAGAGAGTTGGGGTTGTGGAGAGAAGGAGAAGGCGGTAAAGGAAGACTGTGGAGTCTTTGGTGCTCTCTGAGCTTGGTTGTTTTCTTGCAGACTTCATTACTTAACTAGGTAACATCATCAGGGCTAGAAGGGAGTGAGGAGGAGGAGGAGGAGGAGGAGGAGGAGGAGGAGGAGGAGGAGGAGGAGGAGGAGAAAGTTCTTGGTGGTCACTGAGCTCGGTTTTTTTTCTTGCAGACATTTCATTACCAAACTAGGTAACATCATCAGGGCTAGAAGGGAGTGTGTTTGCATGGAGGAGGAGGAGGAGGAGGAGGAGGAGGAGGAGGAGGAGGAGGAGGATTGTGGGATCCTTGGTGCTCTCTGAGCTTGTTTTTCTTGCAGACATTTCATGACCCAACTAGGGAACATCATCAGGGCTAGAAGGGAGTAGGGTTTGCAGGGGGGAGGAGGAGAAGGAGTTGTTGTTCTTGGTGCTCTCTTGGCAACTGACTCATATTTATGACGGTTACAGTGTCCTAGGGTCATGTGATCCCCTTCTGCGGCCTTCGGACAAGCAAAGTCACTGGGGAAGCCAGAGTCGCTTAATTACTAACTTTACAACTGCAGTGATTTACTTAACAACAGTGGCAGGAAAGGTCGTATAATGGGGCAAAGCTCACTTAAGAACTATCTCACTTAGCAACACATTTTGGGCTCCGTTGTGGTCGTAAGTCGAAGACTACCTGTAGAGTATTTAATCTAACATTGCTCACTTGAGCTGGCTGGAATTTCAAGCTGTCATTTCCTCCACTCTTCTTAAGAGAGTCAGGAGATTTGAAGAAGATGGAACTTTCTACATGCCAAACAGAAATTTTACTCCTGGGCTAGCTCTGCTAGGGACAATTAACATAGATCATTTTAATATGACTTTCTCGGCCCTTTTCATTTCTACGGAAAGTGTTTTCTTGACTCACAGCCTCGGTGAACGCTATACTCCTGTTTCTGAACTCTTCCATACTGGTCCAGTGTTATTTAAGGCGAGAACAGCCATTAGCAAGCAAACAAACCTGGTTGACAATGCACCGTTTGTTTTCCAAGATAGGGTTTGTACATCCATGGTTTGCTAGGGCTTCTGAAAATGACTGCTGGGTGGTCAACAGCAGCTGAGTGAGTCCTTTTCGCTTCTGTCTTCAGTGATTTTGGGAGCCTTCAGCAACACTAAATAAAAATTGGATAACTAAATAGGCAAAGGCTGTCTCCAGGGCAGAATGAAGGGGTCCATAAGCCAGCTGAATGGTGGCTGAATAAAGCAACTCCTGGACTGTATTTTATTGCACCGCACACATCTTATATGAAGAAAGATTGCAGGAATTGGGTGTCTCTAGTAGTTTGATGAAAAGAAGGACCAGGGGTGATAGGATAGCAGTCTTCCAATAGTTGAGGGGCTGCCACAAAGAAGAGGGGAGGGGTCCATTTGTCTGAAATGGTATAGGATTTCCTGCTTGACCAAGGGGTTGGAGTAGTTATTCTATTATTCTGGGTCAACCTATTTTTCCAAAGCACCAGAAGGCAAGACAAGAAACAATGGATGGAAACCAACTAAGGAGAGAAGCAACCTAGAACTAAGGAGAAATTTCCTGACAGTGCGAACTATTAATCAGTGGAACGGCTTGCTTCCAGAAGTTGTGGGTGCTCCAACACTGGAGGCTTTTAAGAAGAGACTTGGCGGCCATTTGTCTGAAATGGTATAGGCCAGGGGTCTTCAAACTTGGCCCTTTTATGACTTGTGGACTTCAACTCCAAGAATTCCTCAGCCAGCCAGCGTGCCTGGCTGAGGAATTCTGGGAGTTGAAGTCCACAAGTCATAAAAGGGCCAAGTTTGAAGACCCTGGTCTAGGGCCTCCTGCCTGAGGAGGGGGTTACTCTAGTCTAGAAGACCCCCCAAGGTCCCTTCTGTTCTGCAATTCTGCAATATCAGTCTGTGTACTCCTTATGGAACGACTGCTTATCCTATATTAGAAAGATTTGCTCCAGCACTGAAGACCTAATTTATGCTTTTGGGATTTTGGAACATGAGTGCAATCAAAAGTCTATTTAGAGCTGGACCTTGTGAGAATAAGAAACACATTTTGTTTCTTTCCCAAATTGAGAGGAATATCTCTTACTTTGCAGGATGGTTTTCATTCGTTTTGGCGCTCAGGACTCTGTAGGAATCCATGCATTATAGGCAGTTCTTGACTTACGATAAATCGATGAATTGTTTAGTGACCGTTCAAAGTCACAACGACACTGAAAAAAAGTGACTTTCACACTTACGACCGTTGCAGCCTCCGCAGGGTCAAAATTTGGATGCTTGGCAACCGGCTCGTATTTATGATTGCCTCAGTGTCCCTGGGGGTCACGTGACCTCCCCCTTTGCGACCTTTGGACAAGCGAAGTCAATGGGGAAGCTGGATCCACTTAACAACCATGTTACTAACTTAATTTCAGCGATTCATTTAAGAACTGTGGCAAGGAAGCACGTAAAATGGAGCGAAACTCACTGAGCAACTTTCTCATTTAGTAACAAGAAATTTGGGGCTCAAGTTACGGCCGTAAGTCAAGCATTACCTATATAACAGCCTGAAATACAGAGAGATTTTTATAAAAAGGCTTTTTTTTTTTTTTTTGCAAAGGGACAAAAATAGTAAGCAATTGAGGAAAATTCACAATAGCCATTGAATGTCCCTCCTGGAGATTCTTCTTTTACCTTCCCTAAAATAGAACTCAGTATAGCTCCCTCCTCACACACACACACACACACACACACACACACACACACACACACACACACCGCTTGAAATGAAAGCTGAGGTCCACAATTACATATTTGGTCTTGCAGGTGGGGGAATAAAAAAATCATTAAACCTTTACTAAACCAGTCTCGTCTTTTTCATTTTCTCTCCCTTTGCTTCATCATGGATATCTAAAAGGACAGTTGGAACCGATAAATGAGGTGAGTTAATCTGATGAGTCACCCTTTCTCTTGACACACAGAACGAGACCGTCGGGTGTGTGTGTGTGTGTGTGTGTTTTCCCTTCGCCCCTTCGTCTGGCTTTCTACGCTTGGTGGTGCAAAATTGTGTGTGTAAAAATACACCTTGGTTTCCTGTGGCTAAACAGCCAGGGTTTTTTTTTTCTTTTTCTTTTTTTTCCTTTAACAAGGAGAACTGTGGCTGACACGTTTTTGTTTTTTAATTGATTTGGCTGCAGATAATTCTATATGCTGTCAGTCCACTGGTGTACAAAATTTCTACTCCTCATGTTATGGGAGAGGATTGGGAATCCCCACTTGCTCTGCTCGGATGATCTCTTTGAGGTACACGTCGTCCTTGACTTAGGATCATTGACTTATTTTGGACTTACAACAGTACTGGGAAAAGTGATAATCCTCATACTTATGACCGTCACAGCATCCCCCCAGTCAGGTGATCAACATGGGGGCATTTGGCAACCCCATGTTTGTGGTGTCCCAGAGTTACGTGATCGCCATCTGCGATCTTCCCAGCCCGCTTTCGAATAGGCCAGACTCACTTAGTGCCTACATGATTCATTTAACTGCAGTGATTTGCTTAATCATGGGAAAACAGGTCATTAAACAGGGCATGGCTTACTTAACTGCCTTGCTTAGCAATGGAAATTGTGCCCTGTATTGTAAGTCAAGGGCTTCAGTTCACAACTGCAGCTGGCCAGCTGTAGAGATACGATATAAACTGAAAGTGATTTTGTATATAGGTTTGTGTTTATATTTTCAGTTTATTCCCTGTGACAGTAAGGAATTAACACCTGGTCCAGTTGTTTTCCTTCTTCACCACTATCGTATACATCGGGATGGGCAATTAAGTCAAGTTTACAGCTTGACTTCAACTCCCAGAACTCCTGAGCCAGCATGGTCCAGACCCAGAATTCCTTAGCATGGCTGGCTCAGGAATTCTGGGAATTGAAGTCCACAGGTGGTAAAGTTGATATAGTTACCCACCCCTGGTATACATTTTTCCATCTCTGATCTCTTGATCTTTCTGACTTCAAACTTGAGAAGTCCTAGAACAGGGGTCTTCAAACTTGGCCCTTTTATGACTTGTGGACTTCAACTCCGAGAATTCCTCAGCCAGTGTGCCTGGCTGAGGAATTCTGGGAGTTGAAGTCCACAAGTCATAAAAGGGCCAAGTTTGAAGACCCCTGTCCTAGAGAGATGTTACGTTTTTGATCTTGTGGAAGCCAAGGGCTTTGGAATGAGTGCCATCCTTTTAATTGATAAGGTTTATTCTGAAAAAAAAACAAAACCTAATGGAGCCCTAACGTGCAACTCAATTTAAAATCTTAGTTTGGGGCTGAAACAACATTTCAGTGGCTCCCACAGGGCTCCATTGGGGGGGGGGTCCTCCTGGAGCTGTCCAGGGTCCTGATTCATTATCAACTGCTCTCATAGATTTGGTTTGGCCAATTGTAATTGTTCAATTTCTTCTTCTTTTATTCAAAAGATTAACATCCAAAATCCAAAAGAAGACAATTGAACAGAGACAGAACAAAACTAAAAAAAATATTGGAAAAAACTCCCCCCCCCATTGGTTTGGCCAATTGTGATTTGCTTCCCTGAAACCTGGACTTCATCTTTGTTTTACCATCCCTTGAGCATGATGCTCACACCCTACTCCCCCCCCCATGTGGTGCTTGCTTTGAAAAGTCCAGAACTGCTTGACCTTTCCTTCATGATCTGATTCACTCACACAGCTTCTATTGCCTTTCAAAGCACGAAAGCTTTCCTCGTTTTTTAAATGCTTGCTCCATTCCGTGAAGACGATGGATTATAAAACTGTACAGCAAAGTTTAAATTCCCTCAATTCCGCTCACGGCAAAGCACTGAAATTCTTCCAGCTTGGCATATATTTTATTGGCTTGGGTTAGTGTAGCGGAAACCATAGGCTTTTCCTTGTGGGCAAGTTCTGGAATCTTCTCATTTAATTAGGATTTGTTTTTAATTTATGACCCTTTATTCCTCTTCTGCATCTTCCATTTTTAGCAGGGGGTTTGGAAAACATTTTGCCTTGGGCATTACAATTTTACAAGAATGTAAGTTTGCAGGGAAACTCAAGATCCAGCACGGATGGCTGGGGAATTCTGGGAGATGAAGTCTACAGGTTTTAAATTTGCCAAGGTTGGACATCCCTAGTTTAGTAGGTTGTTCGAACTTGGACTACAGTTTGAACAAACATTATGCCAAACCATGGATTTTCAGCCAACGTTTGGATGAGCCATAGAGGCTGGGGTCCTGCTGACCCATAAGCCATGGTTTAGGAACCAGAGAAAATATAAAAAAAAGATCCTATTGTGGTTTTCATACCCATCTCCCTCTGCTTGGCTCTTGGCTGGAAATTTTGGATACAGGCTCATATCGTTTCCAGTTTTCATGAATGATAGGTTTGATGTCCAGTATTCCAGAAGTCGGAGAGAAAAATCTATCTCTGCGGTCACTAGGAGTCAAAAAATGACTTGATAGTCCAACATCCAACAATAAGTTGACCAAAGCAGAATAAGCAAAAATCTAGATCTGTGGTTACAGAGATATAAACACACACACACACACACACACACACACACACACACACACACACACATGGAACTGAAATCCTCCTGGGATCTGCCTGTTAAATTACAATTGTTTATCCTTGTTCACCATCAGCTGCTTGTAATTTTGCTTTCTGGTTTCTAACGGCCTCAGGGCCTGTTGTCTAGAATCTCGGATCTTTTGCTGTGCAGATGGACCTGTCGCAACTGTTGTCAGAAGTGCTACGAGTGCAGCTGTTGCCAGTCCAACGAAGACGAGGTGGAAATCCTGGGGCCTTTTCCAGCTCAAACCCCTCCCTGGTTGTAAGTTTGGGAGTGTTTCGAAGGCACCGCTTATTTGAAGGGTGGTTCGGAGGAGGTCACCGAGTTTGGTAATGAAAGGTCTGCAAGAAAGCCATCCAACTCAGAGACCCACCAAGGACCCTTCGGTTATATAATGCTCCCAATTTAATGGCAGGTTTCTTCAAGCTAATAGTAAACAGCATCCTAATTAAGAACCAAGCCACTAGTATATAAAAGAGAGCAAACCCTACACCCTTCTGGCACTGATGTTCTCTAAACCCAGAGAGCACCAAGGATGATTCCTCCTCCTCCTCCCCCCTCCCTTCCTCCTCCTCCTCCTCCCCTCCTCTTCCCTCTCCCTCTCCCCCCTCCCCTCCTCCTCCTCCCCTTCCCCCCTCCCTCCTCCTCCTCCTTCTCTATTGGCGTGATCTACAAGCACGGTACCCTTCCTTAATAAACACATACAGTATATTTGTGCCATCCTAAGCAGGGTATCCTTCCTTTATAAATATTTATTTGTGCCATCTATGGGGAGGATATCCTTTCCTTAAATATATATATTTAAGGCATATATATATGCCATGTAGGAGCAGGGCATCAGTCCTTTATAAGTATATATTTGTCCCCTTTATGAGCCGGGTATTCTTCCTTTATAAATAAGATATATTTGTGCCAACTGCAAGCAGGGTGTCCTTCCTTTATAAAAATATATATATATATTTGGAGCCAGAGAAAGAGACGTTAGGCATAATTTTATGTCAAAGAAGAAAAGCACTAGGTATTTTCAATTATGGCACCTTCTGAGGGCTGACCTCAACTGGTCTGTCTCAAGGCAGCAAATCTTATTATGCTGATTTAACAAATAGGGTGGGGACCCCTTTCTCTAATCATGTGCTTTCTTATCGCTTTTTTCCCCCTTGTTGCTTTTATTTCTTTGAGATGAGAGCTGTGGGGGGTGGGTAGTTCTGAGGTGTTGTAGATCATAAGATAAATGACATGCCTGTTTCATTTTTCATATATATATATATATATATATGAAATGCCTTGTATTCTGTGAAATTAAACTGGAAGCGTAGCTCCATTCTTCTTCTCAGCAGTTGCCCTTGTTAAGCAAAATCCTGAGCGTTTCAAAAGGAAGCAGAGCGAGTGAAAAGAATTGTAAATTAGCAGCAGCAGTGGCTTGCTGGATGGAGAGGGGGGAGGATATTTGCTTTCTGTTTGCATTAGTTTTTTTTAAAAAAAGTGAATATTTATTTTGTTTTTTTTTTTAAATTCAAGATGATGTATATTTTTAGTACTCCCTCCTTCTCCTATTTTCCCCACAGTAACAAACGTGAGGTGAGTTGGACTGAGAGAGAAGGACTGGCCTAAAGTCACCCAGCTGTCTTTCATATAGTAGCTAAGGCAGAACTAGAATTCAGTCTCCTGGTGTTGGCCCAAAGTCTCCCAGCTGGCTTTCATGTCCAAGGCGGACTAGAATTCACAGTCTCCTGGTGACTGGCCCAAGGTCACCCAGCTGGCTTTCATGTCTAAGGTGGACTAGAACTCACAGTCTCCTGGTATTGGCCCAAAGTCTCCCAGCTGGCTTTCATGTCCAAGGCAGACTAGAATTTACAGTCTCCTGGTGAGTGGCCCGAAGTCACCCAGCCGGCTTCCATGTCTAAGGTGGACTAGAACTCACTGTCTCCTGGTGTTGGCCCAAAGCCAGCCAGCCGGGTTTCACGTCTAAGACAGGACTGGAACTTACCATCTCTTGGTCATTGGCCCAAAGTCACCTAGCCAGCTTTCATGTCTTAAGGCAGAACTAGAATTCACAGTTTCATGCTGACTGGCTGCATGTCACCCAGCCAGCTTTCATGCCTAAAGTATGACTAGAACTCACTAACTCTTGGTTTCTAGTCTCTCTCAGTCTTGGCCAATGTAAGACCTGTGGACTTCAACTCCCAGAATTCCCTAGCCAGCATCCTGAGGAAATTTCAGCTGTTTGGCCTTCCGTTCACAACTTAAAGCTCCTCAGCCTATCTGGTTGGAGAATTCTGGGAGTTGGTCCATATTTCTTAAAGTTGTCATGGTTGAGAAACAGTAGTCTAGGGTCTACGGTCCCATCATCTACTGTCTCTCATCTATTTTGAGAGTTTAGAAAAAACTTCAGAGAAGAGCAACTAAGATGATCAAAGGCTTGGAGGCTAAAACATACGAAGAACGGTTGCAGGACTTTGGTTTGGCCAGTGTAAAGAAAAGAAGAAATAGGGGAGACATGAAAGCAGAGTTCCAGTATCTGAGGGGCTGCCACAAGGCAGAGGGGGTCAGGTTGTTCATCAAAGCACCAGAGGGAAGGACGAGAAACAATGGATGGAAACTGATCAAGGAGAGAAGCAACCTGGAATTAAGGAGAAACTTCCTGACAGTGAGGACAATCAACCAGTGGAACAGCTTGCCTCCAGAAATCGTGGGTGCTCCATCACTGGAGATTTTAAAGAAGAGACTAGACAGTCACCTGTCTGAGATGGTATAGGTTCTCCTGCTTGAGGGGGGGGGCTGGACTAGAAGACCTCCAAGGTCCCTTCCAGCTTCTATTCTATTCTATATATTTTTTACACTCCATCTATGATCTATCATCAATGCACTCATGAAGTCAAAAAAGGGTTTATCTTTTCCTCAAAAGTCCAGACACTTGCATGCTCATGGCACTGGGGAAGAAAACGCGGAATGGAAGCGTTGCCTGGATGATTCCAAGATTTGATCTTTCCAACAGGCTAAGCAATCGAAGTGAAGACAAAAATGGCAACACGGATAACGCAACGGGTGAACCATCCCCAATCCCTCAGAATGTTTCACTGGACAGAAGACGGTCGTCCACGGATACCTCCCGTTCCACTTACAGCCTTACAAGACGAATTTCAAGTAAGTTAGCTGGTGATCAGAGAAGCTGGACCACACCTGACCGCCATCTTGGCAGATAGGATGGGTGGAGCTTGATGGAAAAGGAGCTTAGTTATCCTGATGATAGATAGGTCTCTTTAAGTACCTTTTACATTTAACCCGGACCAGTGAAAACCCAAATGATAGGGAGTGCCCAGCTGATTTATCAGTCAATGAATCCTGCAAATTCAGATCATTCCGGAAGCAAATTAAATAGGTCGTGTGAACATAGAGTCTTGGGAAATGAATGTTCTCTGCAATCTCCATTTGCTTTCTCACTTGCTCCCATGCCTGCTCATTTTTTTTTTTAAAAAAATCACACTTTCTGCCTCAGACACACACACACATACATTCTGGAACAAAGGTATAGGTAGATAGATAGTTCTCAACTTACAACTGTTTGTTTAGTGACCGTTCAAAATGACAGTGGCATTGGAAAAAAAAGTGATTGATGAGCGTTTTTCACACAACTGTGGCAGCCTCCCCCCTGGTCACTGATCAACATTCAGCTGCTTGGCAACTGACTCACATTTGTGACGGTTGCAGTGTCCCGGGGTCATGTGATCGCTCTTTGCGATCTTCTGACACGCAAAGTCAATGGGGAAGCCAGATTCACTTAATGACCATGTTACTAACTTAACAACTGCAGTGACTCACTTTGCAGCGGTGGCAATAAAGGTTGTTAACATGGGGCAAATCTCCATGAACCGTCTTGCTTAGCAATGGAAATTTTGGGCTGAATTGTTGTAAGCTGAGGACTACCTGTACACACACAGCCACACATGTAACATACACACATATATTCTGGAAGAAAAGCAAATTCTTCCCCTTATTTTTATCAGCCCTCCCCCCCAAAAAAAACCCTGCAGAAGATTTTTATTATTTATTTATTTATTAATAAAATTTACATGCCGCCAATCCAGGCCTTTTAGCAGGAGTTCAACTGAATCCAAAGCATTTTTCTCTTTTGGACAAGTGCTGTCTGGGACTTTCTGCCCTTTTTTAAAAATCCTGTTTCTTCCTCCCTCTCATCCAGGTCTAGAGCTGAGGAGACCAAGTTCTCCCCTGGTTGACATTAAGCCCATCGAGTTTGGAATTCTAGGCTCCAAAAAGGAGATTGTCCAGCCCAGCATCCTGCGGAAAACCTACACTCCGGATGAGTATTTTAGGAAATTCGAGCCAGGACTGTATTCTCTTGATTCAAATAGCGACGATCTGGATTCCTTGACGGACGAAGAGATCTTAGCCAAGTATCAGCTGGGGAAGCTCCATTTTAGCACTCAGTACGATCTCTTGCACAACTATCTCATTGTCCGGGTCATTGAAGCCAAGGACCTGCCTCCCCCCATCTCCTACGATGGCGCCAGGCAAGACATGGCCCACTCAAACCCCTATGTGAAGATCTGTCTCCTTCCCGACCAGAAGAACTCAAAGCAGACGGGGGTCAAGCGCAAGACCCAGAACCCCATCTTTGAAGAGAGGTACATGTTCGACATCCCGTTTTTGGAAGCTCAGAGGAGGACTCTGCTCTTGACCGTGGTGGATTTCGACAAATTTTCACGCCACTGTGTCATCGGGAAGGTGTCCATGCCGCTGAGTGAGGTGGACCTGGTGAAGGGCGGCCACTGGTGGAAAGCGCTGGTGCCCAGTTCTCAGGTAACTTGTGGGTTTCCATTCAATGAATTCAAAGGGCATTTTTATTTTTATTTTATTTTAATTGTTCTTTTAATTTACTGGGTTTGGTTTTAAGGACTCAGTTGCAGTGATATTTCTTAGGCCATTTTAGCCTCAGGTTGCTTACAGTTTCTCGTGCTGACTATAGTGGAGTTCCTTTCCTTTCCTTTCCTTTCCTTTCCTTTCCTTTCCTTTCCTTTCCTTTCCTTTCCTTTCCTTCCTTTCCCTTTCCATCTTTCCTTTCCTCCCCTCCACTCCCCTCTCCTCTCCTCTCCTCTCCTCTCCTCTCCTCTCCTCTCTTCTCCTCCTTTCCCCTCCCCTCCCCTCTCCTCCCTGCCCCTCCCCCCTGCCCCTCCCCCCATCCCCATCCTTTCCTTCGCAATTTCAAAAATGAATTCAGCTTGTACTGCATTGCATTAAAAAAAGTGACACATCAAGAATCCTTTTTGCAGTGTTTGATTCAGCTTGCCCTTTTCTGTTGCAGAACGAAGTTGAGCTGGGAGAGCTTTTGCTCTCATTAAACTACCTTCCCAGTGCGGGGAGACTCAATGTGGACATAATTAGAGCAAAGCAGTTACTGCAGACTGATATGAGCCAAGGGTCAGGTAGGGTTTGTGTGGATGCAGGTGTGTATTTTGTTATTGGACTTGGAGCATGTAGATGAACACGGGAGTATTTTCCCCAATGTATTTATATAACACTGGTTGTAGTCTTTCCCCCCTAGTATTATTACTGAGAGCCAGTTTGGTGTAAGGGTTAAGGCACCTGGCTAGGAATCTGAAGACCACCCCTCCTGGTCCTTCCTAGGGCACAAAACCAGCTGGGTGATCGTAGGCCAGTCCCTCTCTCTCAGCCCTAGAAAGGAGGCAATGGCACACCACTTCTGAAATCTTGCTAAGAAAACGGCAGGAACCTGTCCAGGCAGATGCCAGGAGTCAAAACAGACTCAAAAGCATCTCTTCTCTTCTCTTCTCTTCTCTTCTCTTCTCTTCTCTTCTCTTCTCTTCTCTTCTCTTCTCTTCTCTTCTCTCTCCTCTGATCTATCTATCCATAGTATTCTTTGCTCTCTCTCTCTCTTCCCCCCATCCGTCCCTACTTACCTATCATGTATCTAGAAATTATTTATCTATCAGCCATCTATTGGTTCTTTGTGCTATTATTTATCTATCAGGTATTTGATTATCTATCTATCTATCTATCTATCTATCTATCTATCTATCTATCTATCTATCTATCTATCTATCTATCTACCTACCCACCCACCCACCCACCTACCTACCTACCTACCTACCTACCTACCTACCTACCTACCAATCTCTGTTCTTTGATCTATCATCTGTTCATTTTATCTGTGTCTGCCATTCTTTCTATCTATCTATCTATCTATCTATCTATCTATCTATCTATCTATCTATCTATCTATCTATCATCTACCTACCTACCTTAACAACATCTCACAAACGGGAGAAGAGAATGACTTAGTTCTTGCTTCTTCTGGTTCTCTCTGTTCTCCAGGACTTCACCCAGATGGGGTACCATCAGGCACAGGATCTTCTGCCCCCTTTCCAGGCTTCAGTGTACCCCAGTGCTGTCTTGATGCCTTGTTCTCCAGCCGGAGACGGCACAGCCAACCTCTCTACCAAGGAGAATCTCCTTGGCTGTTGCCTTCAGCCCCAATCTGATTCCCTGCCCACTCCTTTCCGCTGAAGCACTCAAAAGAGAGCAAGGGATCCGCTTCTCTCTCTCTCCCCCAAGGTCTGATTGAAAGCAAACAGCACATTCTGACCTCTCCTGCTGAACAATAGCTGCCTCTCATTTGTCATTTGAAAAATTGAAATAGCAGGCCTCCTTCTGGTCCAGAAGCGGCTTCTCTTTCTGAGAAGAGGTCAAGGCTATTTCGTTTCCTCCAGAAAAAGGATCCCCTCCCCTTTCAGGTTTTTCCACCATTTTGTTTTTTTTTTTTTACCATGGACCATTGTTTCCCCTGGAATGGAAAAACGTTACCAATAACCGTGGAGAAAAAAAATAAAAATAAACATTCATATTTCCAGAGGAAAGGGATAAGAAATTTTTCTACCTCTGAGGATGAGGTGCTGTGGCCTTAAAAAAGACGTGTGTTCCCCCCCTCCCCTTTCTATTCCTTAAAAGCCTGCATTGCTATACAGGTAATCCTGTACTTATGAGCACAGCGGGGCCCAAACTTTCCGTTGCTAAGTGAGACACTTGTTAAGTGAGTTTTGCCCCATTTTACAATCTTTCTCACCGTAGTTGTTAAATGAATCACTGCAGTTTTTAAGTTAATTACAGGGTTGTTAAGTGAATCTGGCTCCCCCCCCCGGTTGACTTTGCTTGTCAGAAGCTTGCAAACGGGGATCATGTGACCCCCCGGAACATTAAAACCGTCATAAATATGAGTCAATGGCCGAATGGCTGACTTTTAATCACGTGATCAAGGGGAGGCTGCAACGGTCGTACGCCTGAAAAAGGTCATGCCACTTTTTTTCAGTGCCCTTGGTCAAAGAATGTACTGTTGTAAGTCGAGGACCACCTGTATAATGCTGAATTTTTATTATAGTATGTATTTAACGACAATAAAAATATAACAACAATAAGGAACAATATGCATGATGATTCAAACCAAGAAGAAAGAGAGAGAACGCGAAAGAGAGAAACGATTCATACAGCATGAATATCGAACCAGCTTAACCTTTTAACATATAATTAAATGTAGATTATAGACCTAGGAATATTGCGCTCTCTTTTCTCATTTGTACATACGCAAAACATTTTAAAGATGGATAGAAGATATAAATGTTTTATCCACTCTTAACATCTGGCGGGTTGGTTTCTTTCCACCTACGTGGGACAATTCTCTAGACACAGCTTGAGATTTTCATAAAATGTCAAGTTCCATATTTTAGGAATATAAATGCCTCATATTTAATGGTTATGTGCTTCCCCAGAGTTGTGTAACATATGTTTATGACTTGAAACCTAAAAAATTAGTCTGTAAAGGAGCATGACCAAATCATGCGAGTCAGACAGCCCTCAAATCTCTTATGGTGCCAACACGGAAAAAAATGAATATCCATCCTTTTTCATACAGTCTTCAAAGATGCCAATTAAATGGAACAAAATGTCTGGGAAAACAACTTCATCTCTAGATCGTAAGAAATACGTTTCACATTTCTTAAAACTTGAAGAGAAGATTACGAGTCAACCATGATTGCCTTTAGGATGATAATGCACAGTTTCTTCTTGGTTTTCCGATTGGAATTGTGACTTAGCATGACATGTGACTAGGGCATATATTTTACCGTTTCCTGGTTTGCTCTTGGTTTAAGCAAACTGTAATTACGCAGAATGAGAACAGAGAGTAAAAAAAAAAAAAATAGGAGCTGGACAAGCAAAGTAGGATCTCCAGCTTTAAAATTCACTCCGACTGGTTTTTGACCTGCTCAATAAACTAGGGCTCAAATAACTCCTAGCTTAATCTGATGCAGGCGTGGAGCTGTTCATTTGCCAAGCTGGAATTGTTTGTGCTTTCTCTTCAGATCCTTTTGTGAAAATCCAGCTTGTTCATGGGTTAAAATTAGCCAAGACAAAGAAGACCTCCTGTATGAAGGCCACCATTGATCCTTTCTACAACGAGTCCTTCAGCTTCAAGGTGGCACAAGAAGAACTTGAAAATACTAGCCTGGTTTTCACAGGTATGTGACTCGTATCTTTCCCGTGTGTTTTTCTTGCGATACAATTAAGGACATTGGGGGGGGGGGCGAATTTCCACCAACATCTGAACATGACCAAATGGGGAAGGCTGCCCTGTAATTGTAGCATGCAGCCTGCACTGCGCCTGGTTCCTTTCTCCAGATCAGAAACCCTGATAATTATTGCAGGAGTGAGTCATCCCTTGCCAGCGTTTGGGAAAGGAAAGATGGTCAAAATAACATTCGCTGTTTAAAAAAATAAAACAGCAATGCAGTTACAGATCTTCTCCACCGTGTATTTCTTTTGCCTCTACAACAGGACGGCGTTGTGTCACATCTCTGTGGTTTTGTTCTGGGTGTGGCTTCTCTGGATGAGCTGCCCTAGTCTTGAAAGTTGAAAATCAAGGCACCTTTGAACAAGGCAAGACGCTCCTGGGATCAACGGGCCATGCTCAGCAATTATTTAATTATGCTTTATTGAATGAACGTGCCTTGAAGGTTTATCGTGAAGCCATTAATCAAGATGGGCAAACATCTCCTCTGAGTTCAGGCAACAATCACACTGACGTTCATGCCACATCCTAAGCCCAAACCAAACCAACCTCATGATTGGTCAGCATGTTGTTCAGCATCATGATTAGTTGAGCTATCATTTGAACCATCACTGGCTGGGTTGGATATTCCTTGAATGTTTTTAATTTGTTCCGGTCTTTGACTATAATAAGCACTGACTTGACTTGGCAGAGGTTCTTGTTTTTAAAAATGGTTTCTCTTTTGTCCATAACTTCTATTCTGCAACTTTTGCAGATCCCTTTTTTAGAGGGGAAACTTTCCTGCTGAGTTTGGACTGCTTTTGTGTCATGTTATATTGTCAGTTTTCAGGCATCTCTCTCCCTCTCTCTCTCCCTTTCTCTCTCCCTCCCCCTTCCTCTCTCTCTTACTCCCTCCCTCTCTCTCCCTTCCACTCTCTTTCTCTCTCCCTCCCTCCCTCTCCCTCCCTCCCACCCTCTCTCTCTCCCTCCCTCCCTCTCTCTCTCCCCCTACTTTTTTTTATTCCTCCAGTCTACGGCCACAATGTGAAAAGCAGCAACGACTTCATCGGGAGAATTGTCATTGGCCAGTATTCGACAGGTTCCTCAGAGTCTAAGCACTGGCGACGGATGCTCACCTCCCACCGTACCGCCATTGAGCAGTGGCACAGCCTCCGCTCGCGAGCCGAGTGTGACCGAGTCTCGCCAGCTTCCCTGGAGGTGACGTGAGCCACCAATGCTGCTCCAGAGGCCCGTCAGACCAGTCCCCTCCATGCACGCTGTATACAAGTTCATTGCCTTTGGATTGACCATCCACAACCGTTGGCAGCGCAATGTTTGCCATTGATCACTGAGTGTTGGTCATCTTCAAGTCTCACCTGCAGTTTTAGTTGTCTCAGGTTATCCAAGATGCTCTTGTCGTTGTTGAGGAAGCCTGGGCTTTTGGAAAGATGTCCATGGTTTGAAGGCCTCCTTTGATTGCCACCCGGCATTAGCCATTAGGACAGATCATTAGCCATACAAAACGCTGGGATACATTGACATTTTTCTGTCCTTATTGCTCCACCATAACTCTCCATTCCTACGGTCCGTTGTCTTAGACAATGTCAATTCCCCCATGTGCTCTCTTTGGTGAATGTCTGGTGAACCAGCTAGAAGCTCTGACAGTATTTTAGCAGTAGAGTGTAGGGAGAAGTCTGTGGTGTCTAAATCCCGTCTTTTGTTCTTGTGGTGGCTTAACAAAATATCATGTGTGCTTCTGTGTCTTGAATGGTCCACATGGATGAGGGTCAGGGGAGGCCACAAGCTCTTTCCCCCACAACCATGCTTGTTTGTCCCACATGTTATCTGATGGATCCCACAGCCAGAGTGGACCACCGCAGGGTCAAGAATGGGTTTGCCACATGGACTCCACAGGGGAACCGCTATAGGTTGGAAGCAAGGAGAGGGCCGTGGGTGATGAAGATGTGGAAGACATCAATCTGTGACTTGGAAAAAATGTATTTCATACCTGCCTCTCAACTGCACATCTTTGACCATGAGTGAGCTGGCATGAAAAGCTTGTGAAGAATTCTGGACAATGGTTTATTTTTTTAACCATCTATCTTTCTTGAACCTCTGGCACTTGAGTTTCAAAAGCCTCTGTGAGTCGATCTTTACTCTCCCATCTTTGGATCTTAATGTAATTAGCTGCTTCAGGGCTTCAGCTTACGATGAGCTTTTGATTGTTGGAACAATAAAAAAGTGGCTTAAATTTGAGAATATGATGTTTAGTTCGGCGCCAAAGGGTCCAAATTTCAGATAGTCCTCGACTTACAATCACAACTGAGATCAGAGTTTCTGTTGCTGAGCAAGGTATTATTGAGGAAAGCATGTCTTGTGAAGTGAACTCCTGCAGCTGATGAAGTGAATCACATATTACAGTAACAATAATAGAGTTGGAGGGGACCTTGGAGGTCATCTAGTCCAACCCCCTGCTCAGGCAGGAAACCCTATACAATTTCAGACAAATGGCTGTCCAGTCTCTTCTTAAAAACTTTCAGCGTTGGAGCATTCACAACTTCTGGAGGCAGGTTGTTCCACTGGTTAATTGTTCTGTCAGAAAATTCCTCCTTAATTCCAGGTTGCTTCTCTCCTTGGTTAGTTTCCATCCGTTGCTTCTTGTCCTGCCTTCAGGTGATTTGGAGAATAGCTTGACTTCCTCTTCTTTGGGGCAGCCCCTGTTGGGGTTCCTTTATGACATGGTCATAAAATCCAGCTTCCACCTTTGACTGGGCTTGTTAAAAGCTGGCTGGGAAGATTGCCGATGACCATCACATGACCCTGGGATGCTGCAAATATCATAAATACATATCCAGATGCCAAGCTCCTGAATTTTAATTATGTGACCATGGGAGGGATGCTATAAAAGTTGTAGGTGTCAGGACCAGTCATAAGTCAAATTTTTCAGTGCAGTTTAACTTTGCTCACTATATGAATAACGTTAAGTCGAGGATTAGATACGAGGATTGAGGGAAAGTATTGGCCACATATCAAACTTACTTTCCTTCTTATCTCTTGAAACCAACCTATAATGGTTCCTTTCCGGATATCATTTTTGCCTCATTATATCAAAGGCATAATTAGATTATGGAGTCCCTTTAGTTGTGCAAACAATTTCTTTACACACGAGGATTCCACTGTGAATTGGCTTCATGGTGTTTAAACATGTTTTTAATACCAGCCACGATGTCCTAAGTTTTAAGTACTTTTTGCATTGGGATAATATAGGATAATATTGCTCTTCTAAGAATGCTATAGACCAGAGGTAAGCAACCTTGGCTCTTTTATGACTCGTGGACTTCAACTCCCAGAATTCCTGAGCCAGCCATGCTGAGGGGAAAGGGAGAGGTTTCCAAGCTGAGCCAGGCTGGCTCAGGAATTCTGGGAGTTGAAGCCCACCAGTCATGAAGGGGCCATAGTTCCCCCATGCTGGCTCAGGAATTCTGGGAGTTGAAATCCACGAGTCATGAGGGGGCCATAGTTCTCCCATGCTGGCTCAGGAATTCTGGGAGTTGTAGTCCACGAGTCATAAAAGAGCCAAGGTTGCCTACCCCTGCTATAGAGCAATGTTGCTCAACTTTGGGAACATTTAAGATGTATGGATTAACTCCCAGAATTCTCCAGTCAGCATGGGGAATGGCTGTCTGGGGAATTCTGGGAGTTGAAGTCCTGAAAGTTCCCAAGGTTGAGAAACACCACCACAGAGTGAGCCCAGAACGAGTGTTTTAAAATGACGCTAAATGATGTTTTATGTGACGCAAGTTATTTGTATGTACATGCACTCCTTATAAATGACATGTTGGGATCACCAAGGAAAACTTTGTCAGTTGTGCCGAACTAAAACACAAGACAAAACCTGAACACTTGCTGAAACATGTCTGTGGAGATCCTCCGTCATCCAGGTCAGGGCTGTCCCAAAGGTGCTTTTTCAAGAGGCAACTGGACTTCCTTGTTTTTCTCTGAAGACGTTTCACTTCCCATCCAAGAAGCTTCTTCACCCCACCATCCAGTCAGAGCTGAAGAAGTTTCCTGGAGGAGAAGCGAAACATCTTCAAAGAAAAACAAAGTCATGAAAAAGGCACCTTTGGCACATTTGCTGAAACAACTCCATAGGATTTCTATTCAGCCTCCTTAAAGCGATCGGAAATTAATTTTGCCATGCCGGAACTGTATTTAGACTGTAGAAATTGTAAGTGGGAGAGATTTTGTTCCTTTCTGCAATTCTCCAGGAGACTTCTGTGTCTTTAGTGTGTTTTCCAACCATACCATTCCTTCCCTTCTCAAAATGTCTGACCAATTTAACCATCCTCAGAGTCTGTCAACTCCACCGGATGCTTCTGTAAATCCCGCCTTTCGCACCAAACACGCCATATACTCTTCAGAGTTCTATTTATGGGCAAATAAAGATCTGTTTATTTGTGTCAACTAGGGGACGCGTGTCCATCTTTTGTACAGCTCTTGCGAAACAAGCGCTGTCTTTGGTCTGAGAAGCTTGCGGTCTTTCTCAGAGGTAAGAGAAGAAGACCAAAAATGCAAGATCTCTATCAGGCCGCGCTGGAGGTTGATACGAACAGCTTCTAAAAGGGCAATCTTGAAACCGATGAAATGATTTTAGATGACAAGGTGGGGACATGGATATTAAAATGTCTGAGTACTTCCTGGATAAGAGGGGATGAGGCGATGAGCTTGGCTTCCTCAAAAGAAATGGACGCAAGATGCCCTGCAAAATAAATTGGGCATCAGGGTTAGATCCAAAATGAGTTTATTACATGCTCCCTCTAAACAAGAATCAGAAGTACTGAAGTCTGAAATGGTGCAGGGTCTCTTGCTTGAGCAGGGGGCTGGACTAGAAGACCTCCAAGGTCCCTTCCAACTTTATTATTATTACTACTATTATTATTACTATTATTATTATTATTAGAGTTGGAAGGGATCTTGGAGGTCATCTAGTCAACCCCCTGCGCAGGCAGGAAACCCTATACCATTTCAGACATGTCCTCAGCCATTCTTAGATTAGTTGGGGATTGACCTTCCAAATCCTCTAGATTCAGTTCAGGGCTCTTCCCTTGAGTTAGCAGACCTTCATCATAATAATAATCATATTATTATTATTACAGTGTCGGGCTCCCCAAGACTCAAGAACAACATGTGGAGTTACTTAAGAGTACTTTCCTTCATTGTTCTTCACCTACAGACAGAATTTTGCCAGACTAAACCAGCTATTTGCAGAACTACAGATATACACTGAGAATTGCCAACCAGACTATCTACTTTGCTGTCTCTTGGTCCTCTGGAATGCAGCCCCTCCCTGCTGGGAATCCAGGCTACATTCCACCTCATCTTGCTTTGTTTCTTGTCATCAATCCGCTGTTGTCCTTGGAAAACCTTTGCAATTCAACATCCTTACAACTCTTCCTGTTCTTGTGCGATGAACCCATTCTGCTTCTTGGATTTTGCAGACTTAAAATAGCCTTGCTCTTAATCACTCTAATTCTCTTATAATGAAATAATAATCTTTCCATTGTGAACCACTTCGGTAAGAGGGAAATATAGAAATATAACGCACGAAGAAATATAATCTGTTGATCTATAATCAATGATCACCTTTTGATGCCAGATACACATCACTTTTCAAAGGCTAGCTTGATACACAATTCAGATTTCCTTCCTTCCAAGCCAATTTTAACAACAATTTTAACAGATGGTGTATATAACACCTAAACATTTCTGGTGTATCCTGCTTCGTGGCGGCCTTCCTAAAACATCTGTCAATGCAGCAGAAGAATTCTCAGTCTTTACAAGGGCCATGATGGTGCTTTGCCCACTTTCTTTCTAGCTGGAGGTCCGACTGTTATTGACCTGGGGGAATTGTAATTTTTTATTTTGGCACAATCATATTAGAATCTGACAAGCATTTGAAGATATAAAACCACTCTCTCTGCCAAAATTGTCCAGTCCAGAATTTTATATTTTATGGACATCTGTGGCCACGGTGTGGACTGAGATGGTCCAGCTCTACTACGTATGTCCAGCTTTGAATCTGATGTGGGAATATTCTGGATAATTTAATTATTGAGAAATTTACCATTTATTAAGTACTAAAGAAGGAATTTAAACTGGCCTCTTGAGAGGCTGAAGTTCTAGAGCAAAGGTTGAACAAAAGCAGAAGGCTCCATCCCATTCCAGTGAGACATAAGTTGTCCATCTTATCAAAGTCTAATTCTACACTGTGATTTTCCCCCCTCTTTCCCATCTACAGTTAGTCCTCAGCTTACAACAAGAATGTTGGTCGCTAAGCAAGGCATTTATTGAGTGAGTCACGTCTGATTTTACATCCTTTTTCCTATGGCTGTTAAATCACTACCTCAGTAATGTTGATTTGGAGTCTTAAGTGTTAAGTGAATTGGTTGTTAAGTGAATTATACGGTCACTAAATGAATCCAGCTTCCCCCCATTGATTTTGCTTGTTGAAAGATGGCTGCGAAAGGCGCAAATGTTGATCACATGACCCTGAGATGTTGCAACTGTCCTAAGTACATGCTAGTTTCCAAGCATCCAAATTTTGATCACCTGACCATGATCAAAATGACCGTAAATGTGAGGACCACTTGTAAGTTGCTTTTTCCAATGCTATTGTAACTTTGAATGGTTGCTAAATAATAATAATAATAATAATAATAATAATAATAATAATAATAATAATAATAGTAATAGGCTCCTTGCGTGCAATCCCAAAACAACTGGAGCACCACTTGAACACCATTGGCATTGACAAATTCACTATTAGTCAATTGCAAAAGGCGGCCTTACTAGGAACTGCTTCCATCTTGCGACAATATCTGTAATACCATCAAACATCCACATCTGCCTATCCCAGGTCTTGGGTAAGGACTCGATAGGTAGACAAAATGCCAAATCCAGTCTGAACATCTGGCTGACTGTGCGATGATTCATCATCATCATAATAATAATAATAATAATAATAATAAAGTTGGAAGGGACCATAATAATAATAATAAAGTTGGAAGGGACCTTGGAGGTCATCTAGTCCAACCCCCTCCTCAGGCAGGACACCCTACACCATTTCAGACAAAGGGCTGTCCAGTCTCTTCTTAAAGACTTCCAGTTTTCGAGCATTCACAGCTTCTGGAGGCAGGTTGTTCCACTAGTTAATTGTTCTCACTGTCAGGAATGGTCATGAGCCGAGGACTACCTATATTGTATCGTAATCATCCACAAGTCTTTGGTTTAAGTGGAGCAGAGAACTCTGCAGAGATAACAGGGGTTAACTAAAAATAAAACCAGAGAAATATCAAGAGACGGTGCTACACACAGAAAGACATCTGTTGCTCTCTCGCTGTCCTTTGAAAAGTTTAAATAAACACAGCTCCAAACTCATCTCTTAAATGATTCATCTGGAAAGATGCTTTGGGCTAATCTATTTAAATGTTCCCTGTTTATATGGGTAATAGGTTTGTTTATCGTTACCGAAAGAAAAAGCACTTTTACATAATTTGGGGTCAGGTTTGGGAAGCTCTGGCATAAAACCTCGGTTTTATGACTCTAGGAAACGTGAACTTGTGAGAGATAAAATGATAAAATGCCGAGTTTGTTGCTGGAAGAAAGGATGTCAACTGAATAAAAAAATAAACTAAATATCAATCCAATTGTTTTTCCAATCCAGTTCTGTAAGTCGTTAACTCGCCTCTTCCAGCATGGACTTGTAAGTAAAACAAGCCAGAAAAATTTGGGTTCAGATGCAGGCACTGCTACCAAGAATGTTAAAGATTAAGTGTCAGCTGAAACCAGAACTTTTCTTGTTGGGTTTAATGAAAAGACAAATAGAAACAGTCACGGAAGACTATTTTTATATATGATGACTGCTGAGAGACTACTAGATATGTATAATGAATTGGTGGTTTATGGGCTTGATCATCAGAAATGGGGGCTTATGGAAGAAGGAAATGGTGATGTAACCTTAGAGAGAGTCGGTAAAATGTAAAGCATAAAATGAATTTATAACCGCTGTCAAAATAATTAGAAACCGCTTCTGTATAATATTTCTGTTTTTCCCCCTTTTTTCTCTTTTCTCTCTCTTTTCTCTTTTTCTCTCTTTCCTTCCTTCTTTCTTTTCTTTTTCTCTTCTGTCTCTTTTTTAATTTACCGTCTTGCTCATTCACTATTCTTCACTTTTTTGTTTCTGTTCTAATATTTATATTGCTCTGTCTTGTTAAAAATTATGTATGTATGTATGTATGTATGTATGGATGGATGGATGTATAAGCAAATCTTGTTATATTTCTGGGCGAGTTTTTTGGTTTGGTTCCAGCATATTTGGAACAGCCTGCTTATCATTAGGGTGTGTGTGTGTGTGTGTGAGAGAGAGAGAGAGAGAGAGAGAGAGAGAAAGAGAGAGAGAGAGAGAGAGAGAGAGAGGGAGGTAGAGAGAGAGAGGAAAAGAGAGGGGGGGGGAGGGGAAGCTCTGAGTAATTTTTATGGAGTGAAGATGTTGGCTTGTGTATCTTGTTAAGCAGTTTTGCTCTTGCAGACCAAAGAGCTGGACTGCACAATCTTTCTGCAGCTGCTCCAGGAGTTTCAGTGGCATTTGGAAATTCCTGGGGCGTGGGAGAAAGGACAGCCAGCCTTTTTACAGCTCTGGAGAGAGATGTCCTCTAGGTCAGCGATGGTTTTTGGGTGGAATTTCTGGGCAGCTCTGTCTGCTGTCCTCCTTGCAGCCCAGACATTCCCGCACACCAATATTAAAATAAGCCAAGGTGAGTTGACATTTTTTTATTCAACCAATTTGAACCAGGGCAATGCTAAGTGCTTTGATGGGGAGGTTAATGTAATGTGACTATTTCAGCACTGGCTGCTAAGATGGATCAAAGCAAACCATTTCCTTTAGTTAAAGGGCGTTTTATTGGCATTTGGTTTCCAGTTTTTATTTACAGGTCACCAGTGGCTTTGCTAATATATTCCCTCTTTTCTTGAGAAATGCCTGCTTTAATAAAAATACTGGATGTGCGATTGTTTTGAAATGTTGTCTCTCACCTTAAGGTTAAAAATGCACGGATTGTTCAAACCAATTGTGGTAGCTATACACCACCACGCTTTGTAGAAAAACTTAATCAATGGTAAAACAGATCAACTTTAGCATTTTGGGTGAATGAGCAGACATGTATTTAACCGATCTGGTTAAATGTATTTTGTGAAGACTTTGTGGTTATTTTTCATATTTTTTTTCTTGTGTAGTTGCTTGTATTCTCCTTTTGTTTGTTAAGCATTTTGTGTATTTTTTTTTAATTGCTTTGTTTGGGGAAGATTGCTTTGAAGCCTAAATAATAATTCTGGGACTTATTTGTGGGTTCATTGGGAGGCTGGGTGTGTGTGCCAATCAACCCAAAAAGTTGATGTGTCAAGAAAAAAACCCTGTCTCAACTGTAGACAAATTTGATATCTCCCACACCTTGTCCAGATGTTGCAGGTTTGAAAAGTTGTGCCCATTTTTTTTCATACCAATGTAATCATTCTAGAATTATATGGTATATCTAATCCAGACAATATTTTTAATAAATGCGTTCCCACATAAAATCTTTAAACTGCATTTCCTAACATCGAGTGGATGCAGGAATCAAACTTGACTCAAAGAGAGATGAACTTTTTATTGCTGTGATGTAGTGGTTGAAAAGTTCTACATTGGAAGAAGTAGACCTGTTGTTGTAAAACTATTTGTAGGCATCTGGGGTCTTGCACCTTTTAACCTAACTGACATCTGTAGATGAAGTTAAAGGAGGTAAGGTAAATTTGAGCACCGCTGGGGTAAAACCTTAGCTGAACCAGATCCTGTCCAGCAAGACATAATGGGATTTTGGTGCGGCAAATTGTGTGAACTCAGCCAACTGGAGTTGATTTCATGAACAATGACTTATTGTGATGTGTGCATTCAGCCACTCAAGATGTTGGGGTAAGGATTAGCAGACAGAGTCTGGGTACCGAACAGAGGGAAAAAAGTGAAGAAGAGGTGAGGTTTAGGGCATGCCAGCTAGTCAATGTCTTAACTGATGTACTCAATTTTAATAATAATCCTTTATAATCAATTTTAGTACTTGTTATTGCTCCTCAGACAGCAGAACTATGTTTTAAATTTTTTCTTATTCTAAGGAAGGCTGGAAAAATGCCCCCTTTCCCCAACACTTACTATTTTAACTGTGGGCTTTGCATCGACAGCATCTCTGTATTTGCACCTTGGTGGAGCAATTCATGGGCTTGACTTACGAACTGTGTCTGGATGGCTGGCTCCTTTTTATTCCTTCCAACCCAATGGAATCTTGGAAATACATTGTCTAAAGAAGCTCAGGGTCTGTCCGTCTGTCTAACTGACAACAAGACAATTCCCTGTAAACAGAAGAGAATTAGACTAAATTTAGAATGCGTAGCAAAGCCAGGGAAAGAAAGATGGAGATTAAAGTTGAGTTGGATCTTCTCGGAGTCTGCAGAGAAGAAAAATCCTGAATAACTTCCCAATGCATCCCCATGGAAGATGCCACTGCTGCCTCCAATTCCTCCATTTTAAGCACCCATCCTTTATGGTTGTTTCCCTTCCCTTTGTTCTTCTCTTTCTCTTCTCTTTCTCTTTCTCTTCTCTTCCTTCCCTTCCCTTCTCTCCACCCCCCCCCCAAACCTTTTCAGGGTCCAACAGCAAATTGGTCCAAGGGCAGAGACGTCCTTTTTGATTATCATCCTCTCTGAGTTCAAAGCTTGATGGATTCTTTGCTAAAGACCATTGACAATTTAACCGGACAGGTGCTAATTAGAAATTGGCCCGCTTGCTGCTTCTTCTTCTCTTCTGGCACATGCAGCCCTGAAATTCCTGGGAGCATTTTTTGCACACCGGAGTTAATCGAATTAGCCTTGCCTACTGGGGTAACTGGTGCTTGAAAATCAGAAGGCCAACCAGTTCAGATGGCTCCCCTTTGCATTCCAGAGGACTTTTTTTTTTTTTTCTGGAAAGGAATGCAGAGATGCCGAGGGGTGGATGAGGTGGGACAGCTTAGAAACCTCTGATTAGGATTTAAATTTAGCGCTATGCTGCTTGATGTTTAAAAAAAAAAAAAAGGAAGGCATTGTAACCTGACTGAATCCTCTCAGCTGATTTAGGATTCTCAGTGCTGATCAGCTGCATCAGATGGCTTTCCCAGCCTGGGCTGAAGAACTTGGAAGTTCTGCCTTCCAAGTTGGTTTCAACTACTAAGCTATGGCCATTGTAAAACAAATGGGCCGGGCTTGGAAAATGTTGGTGCATTTATCTTACATGCGGTAGCTTTATCTAATCTGTGGAGTGGGGAAATTTTAACTTTGGTATCCTTAAGCTCCCGCTCTGTAATTCGGAGGTATAGACTCAACAGCTGGGCCACGTCCTATCTGACAACACTGGAGAGATAGAACACCTTCTTGACCCTTGAAATCTCCACTCTGATAGCCAGTGTATATAGGTAACATGCATGTATGTATATAAATCTCACAGGAAAAAAAGGATGTGTAAACTCTTGCTAATTTTGACATTATTATGGACTTTGAAAGAGAGGGGGAGAGGGGGAAGACTTGGGAAACTATGATAAAACCAAACCCCCAGATTTTGATCAAGTTGTTCAAAAGACCCTTTTTTTCTTTTTTCTGTTTTGGTCTCTTGTAACCACTGATCTCAACAGTCCATTGTGATCAATTCATTAAAGCAGGGGGTCTTCAAACTTGGCCCTTTTGTAACTCGTGGACTTCAACTCAAAGAATTCCTCAGCCAGGCATGTGTGCCTGGCTGAGGAATTCTGGGAATTGAAATCTACAAGTCATAAAAGGACCAAGTTTGAAGACCTTAAAGCCATTTTAAATGATAATTCATTAGGGCATAGAAGAATTGTTTTGTCCATCTGCTATGTAAGAAAAGTCTATAATCTCTGTGTTGTGTGGCTGGGTGAGTATGTAAAAACACACACATACACATATACACTTTGTATAATCTATATACATTGGTACCTCCGTGCTTCTCATGAATGGGTTCAAACTCACAATATTCTGCCAATGCAGCTTTGCAATAAAATAGCACCAGTGCATCAGGTTGCGATTCCTGTCTATTTTACTCTGCAAGGCTGATAAGAGGCAGGACAAGCCCAAAGCACATGAGTTAATATTGGCATCTCCCAATATCGATAGGTAGGGTTGCCCGAATAAATCTAAAACCTCAGGCAGGACCGGAGAAAGAAATATACAAATACGTACCATGTAAAACTGTCCCATCTTTTCTCCCAAGCGCTGCCAGAGTCGATCCTGTCTTATTCTTGCCCTCTCTTCTGGACCGAATATGAAGGCTACTGTTACCGGTATTTTCCCATTAACAAAACTTGGGCAGAAGCGGATCTGTACTGTGCAGAGTTTTCCATCGGCTTAAAATCAGCCAAATTAGCATCTATTCACAGGTAAGAACCATTGAGTGGGCTACTCTCTGTGTTTCCTGCTCTCCATTGTTATGGCTGATTATAGGTAAGTCCTCGACTTACCTACAGTTCCTTAAGTAACTGCTTGAAATGACAATGGTACAGGAAAAGGTGATTTATGACCATGTTTCACATTTACAACCATTGTAGATAGATGCTTGACCACTGAGTCATATTTATGACAGTTGCAGAGTCCTGGGGTCGCACAATCACCTTTTACGACCTTCTGGAAAGCAAGGTCTACGGAGGAAGCCAGATTCCCTTAACAATTGTCAGAGCATGCCCAGTCTTATTGCTCTGAGGTTTACCCAGGAGTAAATGCAGTACACAGTGGTTTGTGTTTAAATGTGGTTTATATTACACTATATCTACAAATATACACTAGAAATAAAATACACACACGTGGTGAAACAGCAAACTCCAATACAGAGCAATTACAGCAGTCAAACGGACAAGAGAGAGAAAAACTCCAGCAAAAAAACTCCGTTTTATACTCAGACTCTTAAAGGGATACACACACCTGCTAAGTCATTCTTATTATTGCATCGTCCACATTACATTACATCTTTACCTAAGCTGATAAATAAATAAATAATAAACTTTCATGCAATATATCTATCTGGCAGCTGGGAAGAGAACGTCTTTGTCTACGACCTTGTAAACAGCAGGGTGCCTGGTATACCCACGGATATCTGGACGGGATTGAATGATCTTAGACAGGTGAGAAAACTCCATTTTTGTGGGCTCCGTGGTGCTCTCTGAGCCTGGTGGCCTGCTTCAGAAGTTTCATGACAAACTAGGTGACATCATCAGTGCTAGAAGAGAGTAAGGTTTACTCTCTGTTTATATACTCTGTTTATATACAAGGAACCACTATATACTAGTGCAGAGGTCCCCACGCTTTTGAGCACCAGGGACCCGTTCCGTGGAGAGAGGTTTTTCCGCGGATTGGAAAGTGCGTGGTTTTGTGTGCTGCCTGCATCTTGCGGATGGGGCTTTGCTTGTTTGTGTGGACCGATTGCTGTGAGCATAACAGTAACAGAGATTGCTTGAATGTTTGCAATCTCTGCTCGCATTAATGTCTGAAGATTGTGATTAAATACAGACTCCAGAAGCATCGCAGTGGGAACTGGAATCTAATTTGTATGTCTGTAATTTCCTCCCATGCTGAATCTTGAAACAATGGTTCAGTTGCAGGCTAGATATTACCATCAAGAAAACAGACCTTCCTCCATCTCTTAGAAGCAGTCATTTGAGATGCTAGGATCGTAGCACCATCTCCCATCATAGATTGTGGCCTTGTCTTTCTCCTAAAACTTTTTTTTATTCCAGCCAATTTATTTTGGGTTTGGTCTCTCATTCAGACAACCGTTGTTCCATAGCTTGATGGGGGGAATTGGAAGAGGAGATTTATACTTGTGTTTGTGTTTCTGCCTCTAAGTCAGTGTGTCTCGATCTTGGGGGCTTTAAGATATGTGGACTTCAACTCCCAGAATTCCCCAGCCAGCATGCTTTAAGACAGTGATGGTGAACCTTTTAGAGACCGAGTGCCCAAACTGCAACCCAAAACCCACTTATGCATCGTCGAGTGCCGGGCAGGTGTGGCCCATTGCGTGGGTGTGGCTGCAGTGGTAACGGCCGACTGGGTGGGACTAAAAAATTCAGTCAATCAATTCCAACTTTGCAAGATCTTTTTTCTCCCCGCGAGGTTGAAATTGACTGATTGAACCTTTTTTTTTTGCACACAGCGGTGGACGCCTAAAGCGAAAAGGTTTTATAAAACTCAGCTGAAGGCCTAGGACTGGGGCGACGTCATGCGTGTCCACAAAGAGGGCTCTGAGTGCCATCTCTGGCACCCGTGCCATAGGTTCGCCACTACTGCTTAAAGAGATATGTGGACTTCAACTCCTAGAATTACCCAGCCAGCATGCTTTAAGACCAGGGTAGGCAACCTTGGCTCTTTTATGACTTGTGGATTTCAACTCCCAGAATTCCTGAGCCAGCATGGCTCAGCTTGGAAACCTCTCCCTTTCCCCTCAGCATGGCTGGCTCAGGAATTCTGGGAGTTGAATTCCACGAGTCATAAAAGAGCCAAGGTTGCCTACCCCTGCTTTAAGAGATAAGTCGACTTCAACTCCCAGAATTCCTCAGCCAAGATGCCAAGGCTGAGAAACACTGCTTTAAATGTCCTTGCTTTTCTGCTTTGGAGGATTTGGAGTTGCGTTTAATCACTGGATTAAAGCTCCAGTGATCTCTTTGGCAGGAGAGCAACTTTGAATGGACAGATGGCTCTCCATATGACTACAACTACTGGGATGGCAATCAACCAGATGACGGGATCCACGCTATGCCGGAGGAGGAAGACTGCGTGCAGATCTGGTACAGATACAGCAGTGGTAGGTGGCATCTGGTTCTCCAATATGTCTTCTTCCCAACCCAAACCCTTCTGCTATCAGCAAAATCTGGGCAGAAGAAGCTAGGATTCCTCTTTTGTGTGGGAGCATGGACAGTCCAGGACTGTGGTCTTCAAGCTTTAGAAAGAGGGCAGAGAAGAAGGGAAGTGGGAAGGGTCTATATCCATATTCCTCAATCTGGAAAAATTTCAGCTGTATGGACTTCAGTTTCTTAGCCAACGTGGATGTTCCTAAGAATTCCGGGAGCAGAAGCTCACCCATCTGCAAGATGTCCAGTTTGGAAAAGGCTAGGCTAGTTTTCCATCCCATCCAGCCTCAAGGTCCTTCTTGCTAGCACCAGCAGATCAAATATCCTGGCATTAAGGCCCTTTCCCTGTCCATGTTCCCCAAGTGGTGGGTGCCCCATTACTGGGGTTTTTTAAGAGAAAAACTGGACACCCATTTGTCCAATGGGGTGTCCTGCTTGAGCAGGGGGGTTGGACTAGAAGACCTCCAAGGATCCTTCCAATTCTGTTATTTTATTAAGTGAGCTTGAGAAAGGTAGAGAAGCAAAATAGAAAACCACACGTATAAGGAATTTTCCACTGAATAATATCCAAGCATCCTTAGGTATGTTAGGGTGGCACTATGGGCAGAACCAGTAGCTAATTTCTTGTTGCCCAGGCCCAGAATGGACATCCGGAAGCAGCATCCACACAGAGAACCGGTTGTTCACCTATTTGAATCCCACCACTCCTTCCTTCCTTCCTTCCTTCCTTCCTTCCTTCCTTCCTTCCTTCCTTCCTTCCTTCGGTGGGATTCAGCCAGTTTGCACCACTTTGGCAGAATCGGTAGCTAATTTTTTGTTGCCCAGGCCCAGAATGGACTTCCGGAAGCAGCATCCACACAGAGAACCGGTTGTTCACCTATTTGAATCCCACCACTGGCACCGACCCTTATAGTCAGCAACGGCTAGCAGAGTAAAATCCACAGGGACTCCTTTCTCCTTATGTATGTTAGTCCTAAGACCTGGACTTTGAATCCTAGGCTGCGTTCTCCACCTCCCACCTGTCTGAGTCAACAGGCACATGATTCCTTTTCTCTTGGCCTTGAAAGGATCCACCATCTGTCCATTGTTTACAAAACAGCTTTCTCTGGCATGAGAATCGGAGATTCCTGGCTTGCTAGCTTCACCCTTTATGCTGAGGCTGGTTCTCTGGCTTTGTGCTGTTTGTGGAAATGTTGTGGTCCAGAAGCCCGACTTTCCAGAGGTCTAAATTGGGGATACAAGTGCCCTAGCTGGGGCGCTAATGCACAGTGGTCCTTCCTATATACCTGCCTCTCCTCAGGTCAATGTTTCTGTGCATCCAGCTGAATTGAATTGCATACTTTATTTGGCCAAGTGTAATTAGACATGCAAAGAATTTATCTCCGGTACAAAAGCACTCGGGTACATGCAAAGCAGCATAATAATAATGCCAATAAAAGGGGGAGTAAAGAACATAAGAAAGATAAATAATAATAATACAGAATAGAATAGAATAGAATAGAATAGAATAGAATAGAATAGAATAGAATAGAATAGAATAGAATAGAATAGAATAGAATATTTATATGGAGTGGAATGGAATGGAATGGAATGGAATAGAGTATTGAAGATTAGACTATACTAACTGGAATAGAATAGAATAGAATAGAATAGAATAGAATAGAATAGAAAATTGCAAGTGTTTTTTTTATAGCATCGCTGCTTGATATAGTGTCCCTTCACACACAACTTCAATTTGTAAATAAGCTGCTGCTGGCTGATGGAGGTTTAAGCTAAGCTTTTCACTAACAATGCTTCAAGTTCGTTCGTTCTTCTTTAAAAATATTACAGATGAAAGACAAAAAAATAAATAAATAAAAATAGAAAAATACCTGCTCAAAGAAGAAGGCATTAAAAAAAGAAAGAAACAAACAAAAATGTATTTTTGCAGATCTGCAGAGATCAAAAAATCCTTTGCTGTGGTCACCCATGACTGATGGATGATCCATTAGTGCATGATCTATTAATCAATACTGCAACCCCCTAAATTGTTGGAGCCATGTGTTTGTAGAAGCCTATCTGATTCTCCTCTCCTCCTTTTTTTTTTTTTTTTGGTCTTTTTATAGCTTTACGGTCTTGGAACGACAATAGCTGCAGCCGAGAATTTCCATTTGTGTGTAAGATCCCATCCTTGGCAGCTGATTAACTGACTTCCTGGCCCTGGAGAAATGAAACATCTGAGTTTCAAACGATCAGCTGGAGTGAAATGAGTGTTTGTTTTTGGTGCTGTATTGTGTTGTTTGTGTTCTTCTCCTAGGCATCCTTTACCAAATGCTGCACTGACTCATGTCCTCTGAGAAATCATTTTTGGATCAGGGCTAAAAAATATTGGAGCAGGAAGATTGACATTTGTTAATTTACGGTAGCCTCAAATCAGGAAGATTTTCTGACTAACTCGGTTTATTAAAATGCACCAGCTTTTGCAAGTTTCTGCCTTTGGTGAGTTTAGGGGTCTTATCAAAAGGCTTTTGTGAGCTTGTGCCTTTTAATAAAGGGGGTTAGTCTGCAAAGATGCAACTAAATTACTGAGGAAAGATAGTAGGAGCTTCTGGGTCTATATAGGGTGGGTGGGTGGGTGGGAGGCAAAATGTAACTCCACCAATTGGAAAAATAGGAATGTCTTTCCTTTTTTTTTTTAATGTTCATCAGCTCAGCTTTAGAGTGATGGAGGGATTGCATGAAGAGCGTTTGCCTTCCAAAAATACCCCTGCAAACTTGGGTATGGGCCAACTTTGAAGGGCGTTGTTGATATTCTCATTTTCACGAGGGCAGAAACGTGTTAGAAATTGTTGAAAATATTCACAGCTCGGGTTATAGGTTTTGGCAGCCGCTTGCCGCTTAGCTTCCAGATGTTTTTGTTAGCCTGGCACTCTACCAATGGATCCACCATCAAAGACACTGATTTCGAACCAGCGTATGGATCATCTGGACCACCAATCAGCAACAGAACTGACCCCCTCCTCACCAGTTGAATTTTGCGCCCCACAAACAACCAGTCACGTGACTGCTGAAAGAAAAGTCTTCATCGTGGTTCAGTCCAAGCTGGGAATAAACATGGCGACTGCTTTAGAAAGAAGGTTGCAGTTTATTGAAGAGGAGGGCCAGACCGAAAGATGGCTCTGGCAGAAAAGAGGGAGAGAGCATATGTAGGGAGTGGGTTTTTATACCTTCTGGAGCCTTTTGTTTGGAGTTGTTCCCTGTTCCTGTCTTAAGAGTTTGGGTGGGGTATGTAGATTTTAGGTCTTTGTCTTCTTAATCTTCTAGCTGGGGGCCTCCAACCTTCCTAGATTTACATCTGCATTTCTACAGAGCTGGTTTCTGCTTGGGGGAGGGAGACTTGGGGCTAATAAAAAAACTAGGCATGCTCTTCTGCCTCTTTAAGATCCTTCTCTGGGGGGGGGGGAAATAACGTCCCATATGACCAACTGACTGCAAGACCACACAGGACTTATAGAAACAGAGAAGAAACAGTATGGGATGCTTCACCTCAAACCCCACCTGGTTCTGAAACATCTGGAAGCTAAACGGCAAGCTTGGAGAACAGAAATACGTTGAAGATACAACTGCGATGGAACCAACTCGGTAGTAAAGTTGAACCAAATACAGGTAGCCCTTGGCCTACCATGAAAATGAGCCCAAAGTTGCTAAGCGAGGTGGTTGATAAGTGAGCTATGCCCCCTTTAACTATCTTTCCGGCCACAGTTATTAAATGAATCACTGCAGTTAGTAACCTGGTTGTTAAGTGAATCTGGCTTCCCCATTGACTTTGCTTGTCAGAAGGTCGCAAAAGGGGATCACGTGATCCCTGGGAACATTGGAATCGTCATAAATATGAGCCAGTTGCCCAGCAGCTGAATTTTGATCACATGACCATAGGGATGCTGCAACCTAAGTGTGACAAACAGCCATGGGGCACTTTTTTCAGTGCCCTTGTAACTTCTAACAATCACGCAATGAATTAGTTGTAAGCTGAGGACCACCTGTGATACAGTAAAGTTGAAAGCTTCAGAAACTGGGGATCAAGAGTGTTTTATTTTGGAGGAGGTTTTTTTTTTTTTTTGTCTTTTGATGAGCATTGCAGTTCCAGCAATGAGAGCTGATTAAGATGTCTGCAAGGACGTTAATTTTCCTTCTTTATTTTTCTCCTTCTGTTCTTCCTCGACTTTATCTCCTCCTTCTGTTTTTCCTTCCTTCCTCACTCTTTGTCTGACCTTCCCTCCCCTCCCCTCCTTTTCTGCCCCCCTCCAAAAAAACCTGGCTGCTAGATCAGCATGGAGCCGATCCCCTGCCAGGAGAGCATTCAAAAGTAGACTGTCACTTGAGATTAAGTAGAGATCACAGGATCCATCAGAAAGAATTTCAAAGGCTTTGCCCTGGTCCTTCCCTGTGTAATGTTAAGAGAGATCCCCCTCCCCCCAGAAAAACAAATATTCAGGCTACAGGGCCTTAATCTGTGATCTAGCTAACCAATTAAACAAGTTTGGCTCCGCCAAAGAAGCTGCCTTGATTTTTTTTAATTAAAAAAAAGCATTTTCAATGCAGCTATTTTTATCAAATGACAGGTGGCAAGCCCTGTTTTAAGAGGCATTTTTCGTCCCTCTTGGAAGGGACATCTGTGTGTTGTCAGCAAGCAAAGGAAGTGTGTCCTTCTAGAATTCTTGTGGGTTTATCACGGGCAGATTAGTCATTCAGTTAAAATCCACATGATTGATGAGATTTCCTCAACTGAGTAATAATTAAAAATGAAATTGGAGTAACATGGGAGTACTGTTTACATCCTGCAGGCCTTGTAAGGGGGCTGACTTTACACCAGGGGTGTTCAACCTTGACAACTTTAAGACTTGTGGACTTCAGGGCAGAATTCCCTAATCAGTCATGTTGAAGTCCACAGGTCTTCAAGTTGTCAAGGCTGGACACACCTCATTTACACATTCCCTGGTCCAATGTGCCTTATTTTGTCCCTGGAGATTTACACAGCTTCAGGAAGAACTAAATAGGTGAAGAGAGCTGACAGGATATCAGAACCATGGAGAGCTCCCACTGGAACACTAGAATTGGGGTATTCAACTAGCTAGCCCAAAACATTGACAATGGGATAACAGAGTAACACAGGGCTCTTCAAACTTGGCCCTTTTATGACTTGTGGACTTCAACTCCCAGAATTCCTCTCCTGGTGACTGGCCCAAAGTCACCCACCCAACTTACTTTCCCAATGTGGGGCAGGTTCCTGGTGATTGGCTCCTAGTTACCCAGCTTTCATGCCTAACCTGAACTCAGAATCTCCCACTTTCTAATCTGGTGCCTTAATTACTAGACTATACTGGCTCTAAGGTCTGTTCTTGGGCCTGTGACTGGGAGGGAGGGGCTTAAAATGCAGCAGCTGACCATCTTCTGAGTTGCTGTCCATCTGCTTCTTCCATAGAGATGAATGGGCATCTGGGGGAGATTTTTTTTTTCAATTCATCTGCCCATGGATGAGCTCAGTCTTTCTCTGCTTGGCTTCTCCCCACCCCACCCCCCGCCAAATTTGGTCCCGCGGAGTTGTGTTTTCAGAGAGACATCTCGCTGATGGTCCGATGGACTGACCTTTTCCGTTAATCCCTTCCAACTTTCTGTTGGTGGGTTGGAAATAATACAAAAGGACGAAGCTTGCCAAAGTTTCTGGAAACCTTGGGGAGCGTTCTGAAACTTTTGTTTTCAGAGAGCATTAAACAGTTTGCTTCCACTTGACCGGTTTGTTTGAGCTGATATTTCCTAAGGAGACAAAAATGTACATAATTGCCTTGCCGTATAGAGCTGGCACTTTGCTGTTGGCTAAAGTCCTGGAGCCTTTGAAGTCAAGTGATCAGGGTTTTGGTCCAAGGCAAGTAAGCAATCGAGGTGTCTGCAAATGAAGGTTGTGAACTGGCGACACAGGAAAGAAGCCTTGTTGGCTAAAAAGTCACATCTGGGTAATAATCCAGGCAGGTGGGCACTGAAAGGTTGGATTCTTACATCACATTAAGCCATGTTGGGTTTTTTTAAATCCGTAACTTGTTGAACTACAGATTGAGACAAAAAAAAAAAATCTGAATGGTGGATGTGACCGTACCTCCAATACCTGGAGACAGTAGAACAGAAGAGAAAGAACTGGAGAAGAATCACAAAATACATATAAACACTGAAAATAAATAAATAAATAAATACAAAGACTTGCAAATAGAAGGAGAATAATCTCGTGGCAAAAGAAAGCAAAGATAGTACCAATAGCAATAGGCACCTTGGGTGCAATCCCAAAACATCTGGAGGACCCCTTGAACACAATCGGCATTGACAAAACCACTACCAGTCAATTGCAAAAGGCAGCTTTACTTGGAATGGCTTACATCCTGAGATGATGATGATGATGAAGATGATGATAATGATAATGATAATGATAATAATAATAATAATAATAATAATAATAATAATAATAATGTTGGAAGGAGCCTTGGAGGTCATCTTAGACCATCAAACATCTACATTTGCTTATTCCAGATCATTGGGAGGGTCTCAATAGGTGGACAAAAATGTCAAATCCAGACTGAACATCTGGCCAATTGTGTGACCAACTATAATAGCTTATTAAACATAATGCCACCCAACTCTCCACAACTCTGAGCATTAATAAATAAGTAATGAATATTTTATAGATAATAAGTCATAAAAGATGGCTCGGCAGATTGTGGAAACTCTAGGTGAGACTCACTCCGGCGGTCATGAGCGATCTAGTTGTTTGGTTTTGTTGAGCCTGCTATGAAATTCCTACCGTGGTGACTTACAAACTGTGGTTTTACAGCTTACTAGCTTGAATGAATCCTGACAATTGCAGCTGATGGTGTCAACCATAATTAAGCTACGGTATAGCAAAACTTGAGAAACCAGCTGGTCAATAGCTTGGAAGCCAAATTATGACAACATAACTTTGGACAATATTATTGGAGAATTATCTGTATCCGTTGTTCCTCAGATGGGCTGTTTGTTCAGTCTGGAAGATTTATTGCTGTTCTGAAAATTCTTAATTAACCTTAATTTATTAAAAATATTTTTTTTAAAAAAGACGATTCACCAAAGAGGAAGAAGGAATGTAGCAATAATCACACTCTTGATGTTAAGCAACTGGATAGAAGACAGGTTGGCCAAGAAACTAGAAATATCTATGGATGATTCCTTAATCCACAAGGAATGAGAACATCTGGGCTTCGCTTGGATGTCACTGCAATATTAAGCTTTAGTGCATTTTCCTTGTATTTATTCATCCCTTTTGAAGCCGAACGTACTAGAAAACGTCAGTCATTGTTTCAACATGAGACAAACCACATCTGGATAGAAAACCAAGTGGTGATGAGACTTAAGGGGACATACATAGCCGTTTCCTGGTTTCCAAAGCTCCAAGCTGTACATAAACAGAAAAAAAAAAATCAGAGGTGGAAAATGTGAGAAAAACTAACAATTTGGCTCTCCGGTGAAGCACAATCCTTGACTACAGGGGAACAAAAACAGTTTTCTCAACTTTGCAATAAGGCTGGGCAAAGAATTGAGCACTTTGCATAATGGTACGCAAAATGTAGGACATTCAAAATGTTATGAATTCCAGGTGGCTGAATCAAAGAGTACTGAGCTCAGAAAAAAAATGCTCACCTTTCCTTTCCTTTCCTTTCCTTTCTTTTCCTTTCCTTCCCTTCCTCATCCTTCCCCTTCCCTTCCCTATCTTTCCCCTTCCCTTCCCTTCCCTTCTCTTCCTCATCCTTCCCCTTCCCTTCCCTTCCTCTCCTCATCTTTCCCCTTTCCTTTCCTTTTCCTTTTCCTTTCCCTTGTCATCTCCCTCTGGGCACTGTACAATAAAATTCTGAATACCATAAAAAACAGTATGTAAAATTGAAAAGGGGCATCGAATATTTAATATTGATTCAAAGGAGGGGAAAAGGGCTGTCAGGGTGCCAACCAGCTCCACGGCTGTGGGCTCCTCTGTCCACCCAAATCAAGGGCAAAGAGCCATCTTTTCACATTTTATGGAAGGCCAAGAGAGGGAAGCCTACCCCGCTTCTGGGGGGGGGGCAATGTTCCACAGGGTAAGAGGCATCAGAAGGCTCTCTTCCTGGATCCTGCTGGTCATAATTCTTTGATAAGATAGATTGACACTGAAGATAAAAGAGAAAGAAGATTCAGTATACTTTAGAACATGGGAAAAAATTTATCAAAACGACTTAGAGAGAAAGGAATGTGATATGTACTAGGTAATATTAAATATGTATTCACATGGGAAAAAATTTATCAAAACGACTTAGAGAGAAAGGAATGTGATATGTACTAGGTAATATTAAATATGTATTCGTAAGAAGAAGACTATCTGGCGAAGTGAAGATGTAAGAAACATATTATTCACTAACATACTGATTATGAAAATATAGGAACTCATTATTACGGATTGTTTTTTAAACACACGAATCCAGACAACAGGCTGTTTGCTAAATGCTAAAGAATGTTATTTTATAAAAATTAATAAAATATACCTAAAATAAATAAATACAAGGTCTTGAAAGAACTGAGTCTTTACATAATATATTCCAAGTATGGTAATGTCTACACATACGCTAAGCCCCTTAATGCTCCAAGTTTTTGCATCCGTGCAACCTACAATTTCATCTGCAAATAAAATAAAATAAAACAAAAACCCAGTCAAGACATCTGCTGGCAGGCGCAGGAACTACATTACAAAAAGTTAAAAAGTAGAAAGTGTACTGTACGGTGTTTCCCTCTGTTCCTTTCCCAGTCACTCACTACACTAAAGATTAAGCTTGGGTTGAGAAAAGATAGTGGCTGAGTTCACAATGAAGTCCCCCCCCCAATCTTTTTTCCTTCTTTCATCTATTTCTATCTTAGAATCTATATTTCCATCTATTCATCCATCCATCCATCTAAAAAACAAACAAGGAAGTAAGCAAGCAGACTAGCCTGTTTTACAAATCACACTGGTTGGCAACGGAAGTTAAGGCAAACTGTGGCTCAGTGGAAACCTTGCCAGAATGGGTGTCTGTGTGTTATGTGAACACAACCATTTTACCTTCACTGTACTCAGTTTAACAATCTGGGGGGCTGCTTCCACACAACCATTCAACGTAGCTGGGCCTGACCCTGTGCTTTGAGTGTGTTGTGCAAAGCCAGAGCTCAGTTACAACTGGGGTGGGTCAACTCAGCAGAGCAGAAGCTGGAGGGCATTAGAGGCGAGGACAATTGGAAAACATCTGCTCCCAACCCGGAAGCAGTGAGATGGTTAGCTTCCTTAGATATTGAATTATAACATTTATCCTATTGTGACTCTATAAAATCTATATTATGATTTTATCATCATCATCATTAAGCCTTGTGCAGAACATACTGGGCAGCAAGTGTTTTCCATTTTATTATTATTCCCATTTTATTATGGCTTTATCTTAATTTTTTATCTTGTATGTTGTATTGTCCACATACTTATCTGCCTGTCTGCCTGCTTATCTATCTATCTATTGATAGATAAGATAAGGTAGATAAATAGGAGAGAGATGATAGATGGGTAGATAGATATAGAGAGATGATATATAGACACACACACACATATCTATCCATACATATATATATATATATTTATAGGTATATGAATATACACATCTCTCTCTCTCTTTCTCTCTCTCTCTCTCTCTCTCTCTCTCCCCCCGTCTCTTTCTATATTATCTATCTATCTATCTATCTATCTATCTATCTATCTATCTATCTATCTATCTATCTATCTATCTATCTATCTATCTATCTCTATCCCTATCTCTCTATATTATCCATCCATCCATCCATCCGTCCATCCATCCATATATACATACATAAACACACACACATACACACACAGCCACAGAATCGAGAGACGCCCACTTAAGCAGCCGCTCCCTCCGGACCACAACTCCCGGCGTGCTCCGCGGCGGCCCATCTTCCCGGCGTGCTCCGCGGCGGCCCGTCCCCCGCGCGGCCCCTCGGTTTCCTTCCCGGCATGCCCCGCGCGCTGCCTCAGCCTGACTAGATCGGAGCCGCCGCCGCCGCTGCGAGAGGAGGAGGAGCCGCCGCAGCAGCAGCCGCCGCCGCCGCCGCAGCAGCAGCAGGCGGGGCCGTCGCCGTCGCCCTTCCGCCGCGCCTGAGGAGAAGGAGGAGAAGAATCCCGCCCCGCCGCCGCCGCCGCCTCTTCCGCCCCTCGGCTCCCCTCCGCGCCTCCCCTCCTCCACCGCCGCCGCCGCCGCCGCCGCCGCCCCGCCCTCTCCCCGCGCCGCTTCCCCCGGCCGGCCATGCCGTCTCGGGCAAGGTAATGAGCCGCAGAGCCCCGGGGTCTCGGCTGAGCGGCGCTTCGTCCTCCGGCGGCAGCGGCGGCAGCAGCAGGCAGCACTATCACCCGCGGAGCTGGAATGACTGGCAAGCCAGGTGGGCCGCCGAGCCGGGCGGGCGGGAGGGAGAGGCGCGGCCTAGCCGGGCGGAGGGGCCGTGGAGGGCGGGAAGGAAGCGGGCCCGGGCAGGGGGAGGTCTGCCTGGCTAGGCCCGGGCTGCCCCCTCGGCCTGGGCCAGCCCTGACAGCAGCAGCAGGAGGAGAGGAAGGGAAGGCGGCGCCCGTTTCTGCGGCCTGCCGCCTTCCCCAGCCGGACAGGGCTTCAATTCCTCCTCCCGGGCTCCTTAATGGGGGTCCAAGGAGGGGGGAGGGGCGGCCCTCTCCCCACATGCCCCCCGCCTTCTTTTCTGGGCCACCCCCGGGTTTTCCCCCTTGCCTGGAGCAAAGGGGGTCGGGGGGGGTGTCGTTGTGTTAGGAGCCTCGTCCCAGTGGTGAACAGGGGCGGGTGGGGTTGGGGCTAAGCAGGGCTGGCTTTAAACCTGGTTAATTGGGCGCCCTGCAAGGTTGGGTGTGTGGCCTGGAGACAAAATGGGGTAGGCTGGGCTGGGTGGTTGCAACCCGAAGGGTCTTTAGGGCCGGGTTTTAAAATTTGGTGGCTTTATTTGGGGGGGGGTGTCAGTATGGCCGTGGAGGGTCCCCTGGAACTCGTGGCCCGTTTTATCCTTCCCCTCTTTTTGGAAAACTTTGACTAGGTTAGTCCCAAAGGTGCTTTTTCTTTTTGCCTTTTTCCAAAAGGCAACTGGACTTTCTTGGTGTTCCCCCACCCCCCACCCCCAAATAGGTTTCGTTTCTCCTCCAAGAATCTACTTCGGGACTGAACTGAATTGAAGAAGCTTCTTGGATGAGAAGTGAATCGTTTTTTTTGGGGGGGGAAACACCCCAAAAGAGTCCAGTTGCTTTTTGGAAAGAAAAAAAAAAAAAAGCAAAGCACCTTTGGGACAATTATGACTTGGATGATTGAGAATCTCCATAGATTAGGGTGGCGTTGGCAGCTTTTCCTCCAAGTATGGGGTATGTTTAAAAAGGGTTGGATTTTCCCCTCTGCAGGTTTTGTTGGGTGTGGAAAGGGGAGACTGGGGGAGATGTTGCCCATGGGAAGAGTAGAGCTTCAACCTTGGGGAAGCTGGACAAACAGGCAGGTTGTTTTTGGTTACGAACCTTAGGAGTTACTTTCGTTTATGGTTATGCACCTGGGTAGGTATATTTCGAAAGTGTACACGTAAAGTTGGCAAAGTGGAGCTAATAAGGTCTGCCAAAGAGAGAGGTGATTCATAAGGTGTTTCTTTCACTCTTCCTCTTCTGTACTTTTAATTAGTCCTTTTCACAGAAGGATTGCTTCTGTAACATTTTCTTTCCTTGTTGTGGGTCTATTGTACACAGAGTGAATTATGGTGCTGTGTGTAGTTCCTGTTTCCTGTGCTGCGTTTGGGATGGGTGAGAGACCACGACAAAGCATAAGGCATTTTTTTTTAAAGAAGACTGTTACAAGGAGAGGAAAAACTATATGAGAGATTTAAAATGTTGAGAAAGATCTCTCTTTCTTGATTGCAATTCTAGGAAACTTCCAACTGGGAGTAATATTTGATGAAGTGCATCATCTTTCCTATTTGTTTCTAAAAGGTGGAAAAATTTACAGTTTTGCTGTAACAAACTATCAGCGTTGTTTCCCTGGAAATATTCCCAAATATGAAATATTTAGATATGCAGAAAATATCAGTCGTATTTCAGTTTTATTTTGCAGGATCTTTAATATGAATTAGGATTTTTTTTTAAAAAATTGGGGCTGTTGGATGGCTTGAATAATTTCACACGGCTTTCGTTTTTGCAACTTTGTTGCCTAGTTGATAACTTGTTGATAGCTTTATGGGAAGGAGAAAGTCAGTGAGGTGGTGTGTTTGCTAGATGTTAAGGCTCCTTTTTTTTCTTTTTTTGTAGATTCATACTTCTTTTTTTTTAAAAAAGAAACACACTACTGCAAACTTGTGATAACGTAGAAAGGCATGCCTGTCTGGAACAATTTGTTAGATTTGTCATTTGACACAGACATAGTCAATTTAGATATATAAAAACAAAAACCAATTTTGCTTTGAGAGAAAATATAACTCCACAAACAGCTTTTATATTATTTTAAGATGCCAGTGATTACTTTAGCTATGCTTGCAGGCATAACCTTGAGCTTTTTTTTCCTTCAAACTATTATGTAAGAGCAGGTCCTTTTGTGATATCATGATCTACTTTTGAAAATTCCTTGATGTAGCCTGGTAACTTACTTGTCCAAGAAACTTAAGGCCCACCTCCCCTTGGGTGCCTGGAAATGGATGCATGGGTGGGTTCTTGGGGGGGAAGTCCAAAGTCTTCTAAAGGTTTGTGTTTTTAAAGTAAGATATATTTTAGTGGTCTATCAATTGGAACGGGTTCAGACCATGGTTGGCTCAAAAGCCACAGTAAGCTTGGTCTGACATGTTACGGTCTGCATTTCAAAAGTGGGCAGGTCCCCAATCAGCCTGATCTTGTGGGGTTTTCAGAGGGGGAAATGGGTGATTAAGATGGCTTTTAAAAAGGATCAGAATGTTTTGGTTGGCCACATGTGGTCTGTGGGCTACATCTTTTATGCAGTCGGGTTAGAGAATTATCTTAGGGCCAGACAAACTGTATCACTAGTTCTGTTTTTTATTTTTAAAAGACGGGTTTTTGGTGGGAGACTGGTTGGTTTCACTCACTAGAGGCATAATATGATGTGCCTGGTGCAGGGGTAGGCAACCTTGGCTCTTTTATGACTCGTGGACCAACTCCCAGGATTCCTGAGCCAGCATGGCTCAGCTTGGAAACCTCCCTTTCCCCTCAGCATAGTTGGCTCAGGAATTCTGGGAATTGAAGTCCATGAGTCATAAAAGAGCCCAGGTTGCCTACCCCTGGCCTGTTGTTTGGTTTCATGTGTTATGGTGAACCCAGCCATTGCAGATTCTAAAGCATTGTTATGGCTTAGAATGACATGTGAATCTAACCACAATCTCAATGTTTCCTACTGTACGTACAATGAAAGGCATAATGCTGGGGCCTTGACAATTCTTTTGAGTTTTCTTATAGACTCCAGAACTTCTTTCTGAAGTATTGTGTATTTATTTTATTTATTAAATTGTTTGCCACTCACCTTACTTCAGAGTGACTCTGGGCGGCTTGCAACATTAAAAGCCATAAAGCCATAAAAGATAAATCTCTCTCAAAACAATAAAAATAGAATTACAATCCAAAGTATACATTGATTTTTCAAACATATAAAGCTAGATGTATTTCAGGTACAAAGATTTGCCATTACAAAGCCCTGGAACACTTGAAAGCATACTTCTATGTCAGGGGTGTCAAACTGCCGGCCCGCAGGGTGGTTTCATCATTGCCGGCAATGGGAAAAAAGTCACGATACATTGTGACACATCAAGTTTGACACCCCTGATCTATGTAGATATTCAGCCGGCCTGGCATCACAAGATCTGCCTTAGTTAGTGACCGCAATTGCGATCGGCAACTCTGTTGTTAAGTGAAAAAGTTGCTAACGCGACTGTGCTTATTAGCTGACTTCTCAACCTTGCAACATGTGCAAACTTTAACTGCCAGAATTCTAGATATACACCTACATCAGGGGTAGGCAACCTTGGCTCTTTTAGGACTCGTGGACTTCAACTCCCAGAATTCCATGCTGAGGGGAAAGGGAGAGGTTTCCAAGCTGAGCCATGCTGGCTCAGGAATTCTGGGAGTTGAAGTCCACGAGTCCTAAAAGAGCCAAGATTGCCTACCCCTGACCTAGATATACATCAAAAGAATTTCATTATTAAATGATACAGGTCACATGATCACCATTCGGATGATTGGCAACTGGTTCATATTTATGACGGTTGCAATGTCCTAGAATCATACGATCCCCTTTTGTGACCTGACAAGGAAAAAGTCAACGGGAAAACCAGAATTCACTTTACAACCATGTCACTAACTTGAACAACTGCAGGGATTCACTGAACACTGGCAAGAAAGGTCATAAAATGGTGCAAAGCTCCCTTAACGACTGTCTTGCTTAGCAACTAGAATGTTGGACTCTATCGTGATCGTAAGTCGAGGACTACCTGTATCTAAAGAATCCATAAGTTCCCCACCCAATTCTGATATTTCATGAGGTTAGACGGATTTGTTTCTTTCCCCTGCTGTCTGAAACCAGACTTTGCATGTTTCGCCTCCACGATGTTGCACTGTTTCTGTTGAAACTATTTTTAAACTGACGGGATAGATGGTAGATGGGGCTGTAGTTGAGTAACACAGCTGTTCCACCAAGGTGGACCCCGTCAGGTGTTGCAACCCCCCCCCCCAAAAAAAAACCAGAGAAAGCACATGGGAAATGAGGTTTTTAGATTTAAAATTTCAGGAAATACTCCAGCTGTAGCTAGGTTAGTGAATTACTAATTTTTCCATCGTGCAGTTTAAATTGGCTCATAATCTGGCTTTTATTTCTCTGGTTAGACAACTTCACAATGCTAGTAAAACTTTCATAGAACCTCACCTAATTTGGATTTGCTTGAGTTGGGGTCCGGAGGGGGAAATATAAAGCATTATTTGTCTTTAATTGGATTCAGACTGTGATTTAGGATGGCTGCTTAATAGAGGCTTGCCAAAGAGCTCCTTCTGAAACATTTCAAGTATGAAAGGCCTCATTCCAAGCATGAGAAGTATCTCCCCCCCCTCCCCAAGTATCCCAGCCTGAAAGTGCATTTTCGCTGTCAAAAATGAGATTTTTGAAAATGAAATGTGTTTTGCCTACGTTAGTAATTAGTCAGTGAGGTTTTGCCCACTATGTAATTGCATAAGTTTGGGCTGTTAGTGGATGGCTTTACAGCCTAAGCTTCTTAGAAGTATTTGTTTTCCATTGTCTGTCTGCAACACCACGTG